CGGTTGAAAAAACTCAGTTCTGTGGTGCGTATGCGCTTTAAGGCAGTACGATCATTTAACGGAGGAAAAGCTCTATGCATGAGTGTTTCATTTTCTTCAGAAGCGTTGGCGGCCACCCACCACGGAGCCCAACGAGAGGACGTTACAAGTTTGCGGATACTAAAACCTGCAGACGCCAGCCGTACAACGCAACTACCATATTTACTCGATTCTACCACGCCCTCGATTGTAACGCGCACTCGGTTTTCACGAAGAAAAAAAAAAGTAAGACATCGATTGCAACGCGCACTCATTTTTCTCGTTGGCCCGCACGATCACACTACTCGGGAAAACGACTCCTTTCGGGAGCGTCTTCCGTTTAAATATGAGGTACGGGGGAAGCTTGTGCCTATCTGACGTGCAACGGAGCATTGCCGTCACTCTTATTTTACCGTGGCCCGATGTCAGCATGCGAACTTGCTTCGCCCCCTTCTTCTCGACAGTTGTGGTGCCAGGCATGTCGAAGTAAAGAGGCGTCTGATCGGCATACCCGATTTGCCCAAGCAGATAGCCGTTGTTGTGCCGCAAGTTTAGGACGAACCTCTGAAAACTGTGAAGCTTTTCTTCGTACTCCTCCGGCAAGTTTTGGCGCATGCCCATTCGCTTTCAGAGGAAAAAGCCTTTCCTCTTCATAAAGTTAGTTAGCCAGCGCCTGCTCACTTTGAACTGGCTCCGCGTTAGCCCTTTTTCTAAAGCTAACTGCATAGCCCGCATTTAGAGCAGTTCTGTCGTCACGAGCCGCTGTGCCGCTCGCTGCTCAAGCACATACTCGGCGAGCAGGTCTTCAATTTGCGGAAACCGACCCTGCTGTGGTCCACTGAAGCCTTTGCATGAATCTTTGACAATCTTCTGCTTTTGTTTCCGCCAGTCCCATACGCCCGTTTCGGGAACTCTGAACGACCGCGATGCGGCCCGATTTCCGTCTGTTTCGGCACATGCGATGACTTTTCTCTTAAAAGCGGCATCGCGATGCACTCGTCAAGTTCTGGAGTCGGCCCTTCCATGTTGTCGATGCTAATCAACTACAAGATGACGAACTCCTCAGCACACGTACGAAGTGCCCCACATGGGAAACACATAAGCAGAAATGGCCGACACGCCATGTTGAAGCACGTAGGGGGCGGCCATTTTGGAAATGCCGATGGCAATAGAATGACCGTATTCATTTTTTTTTTCGCACTTGATTTTAACGCGCATGTGATTTATGAACTCGCTTAACCGAAAAAAGGTGCGTGTTAGATTCTAGTAATTACGGTATAACCCAATGTGCCTAGACCAAGGTAGGCTATTTGCACAGGGTTAATCCTTGCCGCCAGGAAAATTGGAAGTAAACAGAAGAGATAAGTAGAAAAGACAGACTAAAGGTGAGAGATAAAGATGAAGTTGTAGGGGAGAATAGGAAAAGGCGACTGCCGATTTCCCCTGGGTGGGTCAGCCCAGGGGTGCCGTCTACGTGAAGCCGGGGCCAAAGGGGTGTGTTGCCTCTGCAGGGGGACCTTAAAGGTCCGATCACCCAGATCACCCAGCGTCAGCTCAACCCCCAGGATCCCCTTTTCCCCGTACACGGCAAAGCCACGCCCACTAGGCGTGGGAGGGAGCCGAAACCCCCCCGTTAGCTCGGGTCCATGGTGTCGCTACACACCAAACACCTGCTTTCACAGGCGCCCCTGCGGGGTCTGAGATAGCGTGCCGCCGTTCGTGGCGCTATGCGGGCAACCAATGGGAACGTGTCACTGCGATGCTTCTGCGTGACTAGCGATATGAGGTGGCGGTGGCACTGCTTTGAGCCACAAAGGAGCACGAACAAACAAATCAGACATACGTATGATGTTGGAGAGAGACACACATCTATCACTTTTCTATGTGTGTGTGAAAAACATTTATTCATAGAGAGTTTGCAGGTCCATAAGGTCCCTTTGCACAGGGGGAGACCCCGCTGGAAAAGGCCGCTAACCGTGCCCGTTGGACTAGAGCTCTCTGAGCCTCCAGATCTGAGCAATTGAGTAGGGCTGCCTCCCATGCCTCTCTAGTTGGGGAAGGGTTAGGGGGAAGGATTCATTTGACATCCCCATACCATGTGAAAGTTATTGGAGACTTCCCCACAGTGAGGGCACCGCCCATGGACTTTCAGGTCAAAATGTTCTACTACTGCAGGACACAGCAAAGTGTTGGTCTGCAGATGCCTTAGAATTCGTTAATCTACCTTACTCAGGCCCTTAGCAGGCACTGGAAAAAGCGAATGTTCGCAACAGTACACCAGCGCTCGGCTGCACGTATAATGCAAGCTGCCCTACTACCCCTAAGTGGCGTCTCACCACAAACACTCTCTGAACTAAGGCGGACTTGACGGCTGCCGTGAAAGAGCGAGTGTTTACACTGGCATTGAATGAAATGAAGGAGGTGTTGGAACAACAGAGCTGGGCTATTTGGTAGATATTCATGTTAAAAAACTGGGCCAGCACACACGGATGCAAGAGAGAAGGCCCAAGGCCCCACACCAGAATTTCAACGTAACAATGGCATAATGTGAGAATGTATGACAGTGCCATGAAGGCATCAATATTTATCAGGCTTGCCTCAAAAATGGGCCATCCTATGACACATCCTATGCACTTGAAGTGTGGTTCCAGGTAGGCAGTAGTGAAATAGCTGCAGCATCCGACCACAATAATTGTTTCATTGCAAGCATTTCATGCACTTGTTACACACATTAAATTAGAAAATTTTTCAAGTGAAAATGCCCATCTGCGGAACGAAAAGCTATTTAAAATGAAAAGCTGAGATTCAATATGAAATGATGTTCTGCTTGGGTAAGCAGAACATATCTACGCTTACTGTCCGAAACCTAAACAAATGGAATGAGTACGAAAGGAATAAAAGATCAAGAACAATTCTTTATTAATTAGGTTTTCCATAGTTAAGGGGCTTTGGTATCGTCAAAAGATGACAAAAAAAAAATAAATTTTTTGAAAATCAAGTTTACAGTATCTGGAACTCCTTTTCTGTCTGGTTACAAAATATCTGCACTGAAAACTGTGCAGAAGTGCTTCAGAAAATTCATTTCACCCTCCTAGGTAGCAAAACTTTTTCTAGAAATCGCGAGAAAACAACGATTTTCAGAAAATCATAGCTTCACGATGACACGGCAGGGAGCCGGCTTCTTGGGCTCATCGGAAAGAGCATTTCACCGTGTTTATATTGCCCACCTCAGCTGGCTCTTCCCTTTAAAAACAAGTGCACAAAAAGCAAATGTTCGGAGGTTTTTTCAAGGCCCCCGATTGGTTGTCGCCGCCATGTTGCCTCAGCTCGCCTCGCCATTGGCCTGATGCTCGCTCCGAGACATAGTCGTCTGCTGCTTTTGTGTCACGAGGAATATGGCTCTCAAAATCGCTACAATCCCTTAGGATATAATTACGCTTTAGTTCAGAGCTGTAACGAATGTATGATCGGATTACTACGAGCGGGCATGTGGTCTACAAGCGCAGCGCGTCATCGAATTCGTCTTTAGGCCAAACTCCGCTGACGGCGAAGACTGCGTGCAAAAATCGAAGTGCTAACGCACTTGTGGCGACGCGCTTCTTTGCAAGCAACAAAGCACATCACTCACTGGCTCCTTGGAACCGCGGACGGGCATTTTACGCATCGGCAGCGGACCCTACAGTCAAGCTCGTGGCAGGAGTAGCTACACATTTCACTAATCGTCACCAAACGCAGCCGCCAAGTGCATCACACACCGGCTGCCCCGTCCACGTGGCCGCACTCTTCACGGTCATATGGGGTGCTGTCAATAAGCTTTTGTGATGCGATTTAGACGTCCTTGGAGCCGTTTTTAGTGTCTCCACGAGCGTCTATGAATGCTCCGAGACAAAGAAAGCCTGGATTAGGATTTCCGCAACCGGTCGTGTGATGATGCTTTTCATGGCTAGAGTGGCAAAAGAGCATGTATGAGGCAGGGGCACGAATGTTTATATGACCGTCTCCCATCATTGGAAGTCAAATATCACGAGACAAACCTATCACAAGTTTTAGGTGCTTTAGAGACGTAAAGAGAAGTTGAAACTTTCAACACAGTTTTCTCAATACTTGTTTTTTTGGCATTATGCTCAGCCCCTCAAGGCAGTTTAATGAAGAAATGAGTTGTCTCTCATTAAGTATTTGTTCATTAAGTATTTGTGGTATCGCCTTGAAATTTTTATGGAAGCACTGTGAGGCAATGCTTAGTGTCTGTGCCAATTTTCATTAATATCCAACCAGAAACAAGAAAGCTTGTCGAAAAAAGCCTCTAGAAAACTTTGACAGGCTTTTCCTCACAAATGTGTTTTGGACATTGCGCATTGCTCGTGGAAAGTGTAGCACAGGAATGATTGGACTGATTTTGATGCAGTTTTTTTTTTGCCTGAATCACAAAACAATTCTTGAGGGTCTGACAATCTTTAAATTCTTGTTTATGGCCCGATTTTTTGTTCTAGAAGATGACTTGTACATGGCACTGTTTCCAGCAATGTGTGTAGGCAACCATAATGATCTCTATAAAAAAAAGAGAAGTGATGAAAAATTCTGGAATTGTCATACCCAATAGTCTTCTCTTTAGTAAATATCAACACCATTTGCAGGCTCCTCGCACGTTTCGTTAGAGCGCTAGGCTTTCCACAAGCAGACCATATAAGTTGAACCATGTAGCATGATGTTTGCGAACTGCTCAAGATATGATAAAACTGCGTATCTCACTATTCAAGACACTTATGAGTATGCATGCCAAATTTCATTGCTCTAAGTCAACAAACAAAACAAGTTTTTGTGCAACACCACCATCTCCCCTTAGAGTGTTTGACGAAGAGCTAAAACATCAGGAGTCTGATTTTCAATGTTGCCATGTTGCCACACTTCATTAGTTGGCTCACTTCACAAAATCACTAGCAACTTATCAACACAAAGGTGCACTGAGAAAAAAAAAGAATTACATCTTTTGTGCGGCTGGCACCCTCGGCGGTGCGTCTGATAGCGAACAGGTTGGATGCTTCAGCCAGAAGCGAAACCGTCGAAACCACGCTGTCTAGGCATCTAGAATAGAAAATTAGGAAAAAGAGGTGCCACATGATAAGCAAGTGTAGTGGTTAAACTAGACTAGCTTTCTTTTTTTAATGAAAAAAAGAAAATAGCTTTTTAGCAATCTTTCTATTCTTTAGGACTGCAAAATTCTTCTACACTAATTCCACACTTGTATTAATAATGATAATATCCGGTGTCGAAACTGTGGTAAGATTATCAGAGACACCGTAGCGAAGGGCTCCAAAAATTTTAACCGTCTTCCATTATTTTAACGAGCACCAACATCGCACAGCAAACGGGCCTCTACCATTTCGCCTCCATAGAAGTGCGACCGCCGCGGCCGCATGAATGTGGTCAAGAGCAGCAATACACGGCAGCGTCAGTGTGCAGTTTTTTCAAAACGAAGAAAAGAGCTCTCGGTTCTCACTTTACTCCTACAGAAACGGTACGGAGGTTTCACCAATTACGAACATTGTGATGAAGCTGTTGGTGTCAAAAACCATCGGGGCAGCAAACTTTGTGCAACCCCATTAATTGTTTGATCTTGAACTACCCACTTATAATGGTCACTGGAATACACTTGGACCGTAGTGTTACATACGTCTCACTCCTCCGAAGCGATGTCCCACAGATGCTGGTGGAACGGGACGCATTTTAGCCACTACCAAATTTAGCAGTGCGTCTCAGAAGTTCTGCAGCTGGCTTTAAACTGTATAAATTGATCAAACACACCTCTGCATTCCAGTTCAATTAAACTAAAGATACGATCACGAAAAGTGCCCCATATCTTACCGACTTTCATTAACACAATCATAGCTTGTACAGATTTCAGGGTAGGAATTTTTTCAATGGTAGCAGCCAAGACCCATTAGCCTACAGTGTACTATCAGCGCCAAAAAAATACCCGAACAGCGGCAAGCTCTTGTAATGGTGTAGTACGCACCATCCAACTGTTGAGGTGGAAAGGCGCGCATATTCGCGAAGCTGCCGAACCCACAGTGCAAGCCTGTCAGTGGTGGCGATTGAAGTGCGTGCTACGTCATTGCTTGTGATTGCTGCTTTTTGGGTTTTACCGGTATTTTAGATCATTCGCCGACTAATTGTCGTACCTGGCGAGGAACACAAAATAGTTCGAAAAAGTTTTTAAAGGGACCCCCGAAACGGGTTTTTCAAAGTTTTCTCAGCATTTGGGCAAGAGCATAATCAAACCATCCTAAGAAACATATTCAGTGAAGACATGACGATGCTGAAATGTAAACCGGAAGGGTTAAAAAATATGTATATTTGTCATTTTGAATATTTCGAAAACGGATGTGCAAGAACAAGGCCAAGTACACACCCGAGCAGAGCCCCGTAGATGACGGCTTTCGCCAATTGAGGTGTCGTTGCAAACTGACAGACGTGGTGACCCAGATCTGTCAGTTCGGCACTGTCGTTCATCAAGCCCATATCTTGGAGGTCCTTGATGGCCTTGGTCATCATCTCGGAGGAAGGCGGGTCTGGAACAAGGGACAGGACATCCTCCGCACACAAGTGTGGACAGTAGAGCTGCGTACAAACAAGAGAAATCAGGCACAAAGCTCCTTAGGTGGGCTAGTTGCTTGGAGAACATTGGGGCAGAACAGCGCAGAAAACGAGACTGAGAGCACACACGACACGGGGATTACCGTGAGTAGGAGAAGCTTATAGAAACGCTTTAAACAGCTAAAACCGGGCATTCAAAAATCGACAAAAACAAAGAATCAATGTCTAACGAAAAAGGGTTTGTAAACGAGTGACAAAACTAAAAAAACTGCAACCAGAAAGAATAAAACAAACAAAAGCACCTGACAGCAAGACGTGATAGCACAAGAGGCTCAAAATAGCTCATTTATTTCTTTCTTTTTTTTAAAGAAGGTCTCCTGGCAGTGTTCTAATGCAAGCTGTTCCCCCTTTTTTTGCAAGTTACATTCAAACGTCATTATAGCAAAGTAGCATGTTACAGAAGAATAACTTCTTTTTGGTGCATAACCTTGAAACAAATACATGTCTATAAACAAACATATCTATAAATAATCTATAAATAAAGCTTTAAAAAAACGCAGGATGAAGATAGTCGTGTGCGGGCCATAGAGGAGACCCACGCCGAGGGAGGCGCTGCGGAGCGTGGCGCTGTCAGTCAATGCGGGGAGAAAAACTGGTTACTCGAGTGTTGACCCTTCCACTGTCCCTTTCAACCTGCCTTGAAAACGCGTTGCTTTGCTCGCACGCTGCACGCGTTCTGCACGAGTTTTTGAGAGTTTCGCGTCGCGCGCGGTTATGATGAATACACTTCTGTCCGTGTTCAATAGAATCGCCGCAATTGAGGATTTTTTTTTCGTGGCAGCAATTTGGTAAAAGGGCGGGGTCTGCTCAGCCATGTAGCCGATGCGAAGCAAGTTGTAGCAGACGACGCCATCCTCGTCAGAGCGAAGTGCGTTTCGCAAGTTAAAGACAACTCTGTTTACGACGTGGAGTTAGAGGTGAATACAACTTTCTGTACGTTCATAATTATATACCTGTTTTATTTGGTTTGCTGTGTGTGCTATGCACTATGTTTGTTACTCGATGCATGGGTCAGGCCACTTTTCGTGCTTTAGGTTAAGCGATGCTAGCGCTGTGACTGCTATTAGTTGGGATACCTTAATTTACTAGCACCCACCCAAGTTATCGTGGGGTATATACACAGCACTTCAAAAATAAATCGTCTCTTTGGGGCTCCTTTCTGACCCACAACGAAAATTTACATCTATCTCACGTGTCCTTTCTTGCATTATCACCGTTCTCATCGCGGGTATTTTGAGTCCACGAACAGCGTACGTATATTATCATGATGAGCGCCCTGCTTTCAGAGAAGCTTTTTTGTGTGTGCCTAATCTGTAGGGGAAGAGCACATTGCTATAAAGGCATTTTATCTTGGTCCCTAAATGCACCGTGTTGTTTGGGCTGCCCCTGCACACTCACTAACAACTAGTTCACTGTGTCTGCCAATGAACGTGGAAGAACGGCTAATGCACTTTTTTTTCTTTTTTTCGTAGTTGTCGTGGTCGTGTCTACTCAAACGGGAGCTTCGCATCTCCAGCGGCAAACGTAATTGCATCGCTGGCGTCTTTAGCGATACTAAATCACTTGAAAGCGTGCCATAGACATCGAGGAAAACAGTTCTCTTCATCTTGCATTGCTTGGTCGTCTTGAGCAATACCTTGCGGCACAGCCTGCTCCACGGAATTTTCTGCTGATCTGGCTGCCCTCACAGAATGACGCTTCCACCTAAGCAAAATAAGGTTGTGGCAGAGATTAGATCGTGCCGTTCACAACAACGTTTATACGTTGGAGTTTTTTTTTTTTTATTCAGATATTGTAGGGTGATAAACATTGAGCATATCTGTAGTGCGCCAGATAATAATAATTTTTTTTATCATCTTCAAGTACAAAATGTACAAGAAGTCTGAAAGTAAGTATACGTTTAAGGGTTTTCCGTGATCCTGTTAGTAACGCCTTACATTCAGAAAATAAAACAAGTACCGTAATTATTCGAATCTAACGCGCACTTTTTTTCCGGTCAAGCGAGTTCATAAATCGCATGCGCGTTAGAATCGAGTACAAACAAAAAAATTAGGGTCAATCTATTGCCATCAGCAAATCCAAAATGGCCGCCCCCACGTGCGTCGGCCATTTCTGCCTATGTGTTTCCCATATGCGGCACTTCGTACGTGTGCTGAGGAGTTCGTCATCTAGAAGTGCATTAGCATCGACGGCGTGGAAGGGCCGACTCCAAAAACTCGAGTGAACCACGATGCCGCTTTTAAAAGAAAAGTCGTCGCGTGTGCAGAAACGGACGGAAATCGGGCCGCATCGCGGTCGTTCGGAGTTCCCGAAACGTGCGTGCGGGTCCGGCGGAAACAAAAGCAGAAGATTGTCGACAGCAAAGCTTCATGCAAAGGCTTCAGTGGACCACAGCAGGGTTGGTATCCGCAAATTAAAGAGCTGCTAGGCGAGTATGTGCTTGAGCAGCGAGTGGCACAGCGGCCCGTGTTGACAGAACTGCTCCAAGAGCGGGCTATGCAATTAGTCTTAGAAAACGGTCTAATGCGGAGCCAGTTTAAAGCGAGCAGGTGCTGGCTAACTAACTTTATGAAAAGGAAAGGCTTTTCCCTCCGAAGGGGAACGTGCATATGCGAAAAGTTTTGCGGAGGAGTACGATGAAAAGCTTCACAGTTTTCAGAGGTTCGTCCTAAACTTGCGGCACAACAACGGCTATCTGCTTGGGCAAATCGGGAATGCCGATCAGAGGCCTCTTTACTTCAACATGCCTGGCAACACAACCGCCGAGAAGAAGGGGGCGAATCAAGTTCGTGTGCTGACATCAGTCCACGGTAAAACTACAGTGACGGCAATGCTCTGTTACACGTCAGATGGGCACAAGCTTCGCCCGTACCTCATATTTAAATGGAAGACGCTCCCGAAAGGAGTCGTTTTTTCGACTGGTGTGATTGTGCGGGCCAGCGAGCAAAATGGGTGCACGTTGCAATCGATGTCTTACGTTTTTTTTTTTTCGCAGTGGAAATCGGGTGCGCGTTACAATCGAGGGCCCGGTAGAATCGAGTAAATACGGTACTGCATATGAAATCAAACTCTATAAAAACATGTACGATGGCAAAATGCCCCATTGAAAAAAACTAGCAATTGTGTCCATCTGTGTGCACAGAAACACTTCATACAAGAGCTTCACGGAGATAGCTGCGTATGAAAATTTATTGATTAAACATTTTGCATTGTCTCTTGCTTGAATAAGTTTTACTTTGTATGAAAACTATCAAAAAAGTAACGTGCTTGTTACTAACCGCGTTCCAATCTTATCCCTTAAAGTATAAGTAACGGTGTGAAAATGCCATGTTTGATCAAAACCCTTCTATTTTCGCTTTACTTGATAATTGCACATACGCGGAACGAATTCTCGCTGAGCTTGAAATCAGAAATCAAGAGTCCATCAGAAAATGCTTTAAAATACATAGATAGTTATGCGCATCACTGCCTATCATACCTCTGCGCCGTTTACGCGTGAGGTGCCCATTTCTTGTAAGCCACTGGAAACACTGTCGGCACATACGACGGGTGCAGACTTGATTCATTTTTGCAGTTTCCCACAAAATATCTGCTACAAATTATTGTCCAAGCTTTTGGCAACCACACACTTCCGTCGGCGCTGCGCAGATTTAACAATATATAAAAACACATTACCAATACAACATAAGCACACAGCTTCAACTACTACGTCCTCAACAATATCGAATAATAGTAGCAGCATAAAATATTTCTTCCCTATTTATTAACAGTGCTCTAAGGACGGGCGTTGAAAATGTATACTTTTAAGATGGGGACGTGCATCTCCCAGTAACTTGATAGATTAGAGGAACGGTGATGCAGGAATTAACACCCGTAATTTTTAATGCATTGTGCGCGTGCTAATTTGATGAAAAAAATTGTTTACATACTTTTTTCGGCGCACTGCTTTAATCCATTTCTGTCGTCTGCTTGTTTCGTACCATCGGTTTGGGAATCGGTAGAATTTCACTGGTGGAGTCGACCTCTTCGTGTTTGCATGGTTATTGTGACAGTTGACGACGCAGCAATGTCACCCCCTTTTCTGTTGGGGTGACATTGCGGAACGAGGAACGTTTCACGTGCAGCGCGTGCTTCGCAAATGCGTAGAAGCCAAAGAGAGCGGAAGGGTCGGAAGACTCTACTGTTGTGCGCTTTTTCTGGCAGGGGAAAGGCAAGCGCTGACGTCGCCGGGCAAACTTGAGCGGGTCTCCCCTATGGGCAACTGACAAGAAGTTTTGCGGGCTGCATTCACCAGATTTGTTCCTAAATACTCCTTTTCTGGCATGAAGCAATGCCGCCACCTCACCGTGCTTATGCACCAGACTTTAAAGCCAGTGCATGCAGAGACATCACAGAGGCACGTATCCATTGGCAACGTCATAGCACCATGAACTGAGAGGTATCATCTAAAAACACCGTGCCTCAAAGAGCCAGTGTGATGTCCAACAGTGATAGTGAGAGACAGTAGACATCGCTAGATGGATAGAAGCTTGATTTAAACAAAAGCTACCTCATCTGACTACCCTCTTGAGGCATCACCTAAAGGGTCCTCTTTACCGCAAATGTGAAGCAGGCGCTAAGGCTAGCCACGCGGAGAGTAGGCAAGAAAAAAAAGGGAGAAGGCAGTTAATGGTCGGGTCAAGCATATCGAACTGGCACTGAAAAAAACTGCCAGGCCTGCACAAAACGCGCAGCGCAGTCACAGTGAAAGCTTGAAGTCACCTCTTAGAGCTTTTTTCGTAATACTCTTTGGGTAACTGCTCCAAGCACACTTGCAAGGTACCCACTACATAATAAATAATCATAACTTTTTTTGGTAGTCAGAGGCATTACCATGTCCTCCTCCATCATTCCTCGAAGAAGCATGGTACCCGCTACGCACTTGCAAAGAAATTTGTGCAATGTTTTTTTGCTGGCTCTTTATTACTCACATTAAACTTGTTATTGAGCCTGCCTAAGGCCAGTTTGCAATGGAATTTCGAGCATCGGCCTGGCTCAGTGGTAGAACACTCAGGGGACCCAGGTTCGAATCTCATTGTATCCTTGGAATTTTCTTTTCTTTTTCTCATTTCGCGTGATAGCGGTTACGGACACTGGCAACGGCGGACAACACGATCCTTGTTAGCATTTTTAAACAGCTTTCGCTGTAAAAGCAGAGAAGACGCTGCCATGACGAACCGACCCACCTTGGCGTCAAGCACCACCCTGGTCAGGTCGATGGTCAGTATTTCGGGCAGCTGGAACTCATCCCGTGTGCACAACGCATCCCGCATAAACAGGTGGTACGATTCGCCGGGCCGTACGCGTCCCGCGCGACCTGCCCGTTGCCGGACACTGGCCCGGGAGGTCGGGAATGTGCCGAGAAGGCTCACACCCGTGGACGGGTTGAACCTCTGCTCCCTGTGCAGGCCTGTGTCCACTACGTATGTTACGTCTTCGACGGTAATAGACGTCTCGGCGATGTTGGTGGACAGGATAACTTTGCGCACGTCTGAAAAGGCAGGACGGGGCAGGAGTGAGGACGCCCCGTAGAAAATGCGGCTACAGTTTGTAGTCGCAGTAAACATCACAGGCAATTTCACTCAGAGCTCAATATAAAAAAGTTACATCTTACCCGAAAATAAGTTCGTTATATCCGAAAATTCATTATAAAGGCATATGCTTAACACTATATCAACTGCGATACAATTTCTTCATTATATCGTTGTTTGAGTGTAGTAATACCCAATATTTGCTGTAGCAATCGACAAAAATCAGCACCAGCATTTGGCCGCCTGGCATGCGGCAATGCTAGAGGCAAAAATCCTGTGTCGAATCGTGCGCGAACGGTCTTCTTGTGCAGCTTTCGATATAGTTCTAATCCTTGCGCCTAATGCAGCTTTACTACCACGAAAGCTGAGAGAGTGAACAAGACACGGGCAACCCAGCAATTCCCTTGGCAATTAAGCACTTGCCGAGATGGCAGCGCCCTCGCTTGTGCGGCACAGGTCTTGGCCGAATGTTCTATAAACATTTTTCGTGATGCTTCCTGGTTATTTCTTGGTTATTTCTAGAGTCTATATCTTTATTTGGACCTTTATGCACTAAATCCTTGATATAACGTAATATCGGTTATAGCTAAGTGAATGAAAATTTGTCTTGCAATAACTACAAAGTTAGTACTTAACAAATTTTCGAATATAACGAACTTTTTTGCAAAACTTCACGGCAAAGCAACTTTCCCTGAAAGATGCTTTCATTGCTTAGCACCCCTACATTGCAGTGAAACAACTTTTACAAGCAGTAACATGCGGATTAATATACATTATTTGTGCATTGCGAATACTTCGAAAATATTCGATAATTTAAATTCGAATCAAAGTGAACATCGAATACTCGACTATTCGTTCAAATATTCGAAGCATTTTAATAGTCGCACAAGCCTAGTTTTCTCACTAAGCATCAAGACACAGTAAGAGCACTAATACGCAAAAAATCATTTTGTTCTTGAGTGTCCCTTCAAGAAATGTTAACATTCTGTTAGAACTGTGTTGACGACTGCACGGCCATACGACGTAAAGCAGTTGATGGACAACAAACGGGGCCCTTATTAAGTGCTACGCACTTGATAAGACAAATAATTGTAGGCTTCAAACCTAAAAAGGTTGCCTTCTCTATCTATGCAGCATTTCACATGACACAAACTAAAGATAAGTTGAAACTCACAACAGACCTAAATCAGTTTAACAAATCAGCCATGTGTACACATCTAAGAGGAGTGTGACATTAACCGAATTGTAAACGCTATGGCCACATAAGAAAAAAAATGTTAGTAAATTGCTTTTCAATATTTATTTTGCTTTTTATTCTACCTTTTAAGTTATGAGCCATGCGCAGGCCAAATATGCTTCCAGTTTCGGGCGAAAGCGCAGTGGCGCTCACACTTTCGCTTTCTTTGCTAAATTATTACAGAAATGAAGTATGGCCAACCGAAGTTCATATTTAGTTCGTTGTAACAATTAATTCAACCAGCGTTTGTTATGCAGTTCAGTTGCGTACTCAGGTGACATCCTGTGACAACACTTGGCAACAACCTGCTCTCGCTGACAACACAAGAATTGGGTACAAGCTCCGCCGACAAAGCCCGCATTGATCTGGCCTACTTCTGCAAAGAGAGCAACCAAGAGTCCACACTTCCTTTATGCTCTTTTGAGACAGAATTTAGGCTTATTGTAAAATCGAAGTTTGCTGTTTTTAGGCCGAAATATCTTTGTCGCCATCGGAATTCGGCTGTAAAATTTGCCAGAATGTTTGAGTTTTCATCCTTAAAGTAAAATTTTCATGGCTGTTCGAGCATCCTGCGCAGATTATTTTACGAAGGGGTATCAGTGCCACCATTTCGGGCTGTTAGCCTTCATGTTTTACATCTTCAACAACTAAACTAACAGCGTTACCGTAAATGCACAATGAAAACGATTGAGTTGTTGCATATGATGTTTCACAGCCTTATTCCCATCAAAATCTACAAAAACAAGAAAGCATCAGCTTAACAGCCAAGACAGTGGCACCCACATGTCTTTTGCAAAACAGCCTATAGACTTTAAAAATCCAGAGTTCAGAACATGCCGTCTGAACATTTTTTCAGTCACATCACACTCATCTGGTGTACAGGGTCAAGCACATCTGATACCCATGTCACACCATCTCGGCAAAACCAACCTGGTGGAGGACTCGCAAAGATCTTCTGCTGCTCTTGGTAATGGAGACGCGAGTGCAGGGGCAAAATCCACTCGTGAAATCTGGCCGGTGCTCGCCTGCACAGCTCTGCCCGCACGTTGTTGATCTCGTTCCAGCCAGGCAGAAAGCAGAGGATGGCGCCAGGCGGCTTCATCTCCATAAGGTACGTTAGAACATCGGGCACGATTTTCATCGGGTCGTCGCGGCTCTGAAAGCGGACATGACATAAAAGCACCAACAGTTACAGTGTAATGCCGACAAGCCGAGAGATGCAGCGATGCATGCATAAGACTAGCATCACTGACAACAGCGCCTATGTGTTTATGATTGTACACTACAGTATCTAATAATACTCGCTTCCTTCTGAAAAGCTTTCCAACAGTGTCCCAAAATAATAGAGAGGCGGCTTTGTCTACTTCTTCCTGAAGTATAGTAGTTGACCTACATGATGAATTCATGCATAGTGGGTTTCAAATCAGCACAAAAACTAATCGATTCCACTTAGTTTCATGAAATTTGGCCACAAGATATAGAAAATACCTCTGTCTACGTACCTCTGCAGACAAGTATACATGTATTTCATAGATAACCTTTTACTAGCACAACACCTAACAATATGAGATGTTAGCTTTCCAGGAATCATGCATTTCTTATTCTTGGTATCCTTTACGATTTTACAATGATGTTCGACGGTGCAGCAGCGTAGAGGAAGGATACTGTATTTACTCGCGTAATCCTCACATTCGCATAATTCTCGCATCCCCCACATTGCCCAAGAAAAATATGATTTTTTTTTCCTCGAGTAATTATCGCATCCCCGAAAATTGCCGCAATAATGTCGTCTGCTCGTTCCAGCCATTGATGATGATAGTGCGCGCCATTTGGTGCCATCTCGTAAGCATCAAGTGTACTATTGCACAGAGGTTCAATCTAATCCAAGCCAAGCTGAAGTGACTTGTGCGCTTTGGCAGCTTGGGCTAGTTGGTATGGCATGATGATAGTTATAGCGCGAGAACAAAACGACGTCACAGAGACAAGAAGGACACAAAAGACACGAGCGCAGGTGTCTTTCGTGTCCGTCTTGTCCCCGTGTCATCGTTTTGTTCTCGTGCTATTACTATCGTCAGATTAGTGCGCGTTGTGGCGTGTTATGTATGTTGTGTCGGTAATCTTGGCACGTTATGGAGCGATACTGAAGCTACACGGCTGCTTCAAGCTGCAAGTGATAGATCATGCACTAAACAACGGCGACAGGGCCGTCGGTAGGCCCTTTGGAGCCTACGAGTTTTGTGTTCGCTACTGGTGACGGTAGCTGAAAGCCACCAAGACGCGTTGGACCTTCCATGTGCCTAAAACTGGAATTGGCAGGTAAACTTCATTTTGTCAGAAAGAAACTGCAGACGATTCTGTTAAATAGCCATCAACCCAATACTGACGTCCTAGGCTTACTTTTTGAGGGCTCCTGTTGAGCGACGAATGCTACCGCTACGCCCGCAACGCCCACAAGCTTTGCGTATGGTATTCTAATTTCCGACTATTTGCTTCCACTTTTTGTGTCTCAAATAAATCTTGCCTTGTTGAACCTCTGCTCTTACTGTTGAGGTAAGTTCTAATTCAGTACTTCTTAAAGCTTGCTGTAAGTTGCTGGTGTGAGGAATTCCCTTTGGCGGCCACTACGTTTTTTTTTCGCTCTCTACGTTTTCGTGGAAAGTTTTCCCCGCGTAATTCTCGCACCCCCCAACTTTTACGGTAAAAAAAGTGCGAGGAATTATGCGAGTAAATACGGTAGGTGATGAAGAGATGGCACCACTTTAGCAATTCTAAGAAGCCTAGCACTTTCAGTCACTTAGGATCAGGCCCACTAATGGTAAAGTTAGCTTTCCTGTTATGCAGTTTGAACAACAAATGGCGGCTTTTCGTTTGGTGGAAATAGCCGGCTCAAGCGCGGTTCGCTTGAGTAATGATGTGTAAAATGTTGAGCCACCTATCTTGATATAAGCACTCATAATAGACAAAGCTCGTTCAACTAGAACCACGTCTCCGCTTCAAGCACGACACGTGCGGCCATTACTTGGGCAAGTTATGAAAAGGGTCCATTCACGAAAGCTTTCCGTGAAAACGAAACATCCACCACACTGTGTGTGCCATCACCTTTTCCAAGGCAGCTTTGGTGACGATGTTCTCTGCAATTATGTCTTCCAGAAAGAACTGAGTGACGGGATGCGTCCTCCCGGGAATCCTGATGATGGGCGCATCTTCAAAGTACTCGGAGAACTTTTCAGCGTTGATAGTCGCGCTCATGAGAATCACCTGCAGGACAAAAAAGAAAAATGAGAAACGGTGACGTAAAACTTCCTTCTTTAATTTACACTCCAACATCGTTATAATGGAGTTGAAGGGGAGCCACAACTATTTTATCATATCCATTATTTCGCTATACCGATTATAACAGTTTGTGGCAATGTATGATCAGATGGGCGCATACCTATAAGCATGCCAAATAGGAAACCGCTTCGCGGCCCGATGTACCCCTACGCGACCACGCACATAATGGAAAATAAACACTGTCGGACCTCATTAATTCAAACTTCCGATTATTTGAACTCACACTGAGGTCCCGTCAAAGCTATGTGTATTCCAATGGGCGAAAACGCCCTGTAATGGGAATACGCAAGCACTTGCGACAATTAAATCGAACATGTCGTGCTCCGAAAATTCTCTCAGCACCACGCCCAGTCCCGCAGCGGCACCTCTCAACGCTGCGCGCAAAGAAGAAAAAGAAGAAAAGAAAGGAAAAGACTGGCGGATTGTTTTCTCTCTCTCTCTCTCTCAAATGCCAATCTGCGACACGCCTGTGCCACGCTTCTTTTTCCATCGTTGTACCTAGAGACCCTTCTCCTTTCAAGGCCGCGCGCGAAAAGAGAGGGAAAAGAAAAGCTGTCGCGGAGAGTCCTCCTTTTTTGGTGCAGAGGGTAGCAGCGAAGACGCAGTCGTTGCCGTCGTCTTTAAGGCGCGGAGAGGGAAGCCATTTTGCACCGAGGTACCGCTTCTCGGTCATGTGACCCGCTTCCTCAATCCTCTCCGCTGGCTGTGTGAGAAGGACGGCTCTCTTGGCAGCGCGTGGCGTGGCTGTAAGGTTGGTGGGGTAGTTTTGAAAGAGCCGCGCCGAACGAGCATCAAACTCTGAAGAAAACGATATACTTAAAGGGACACTAAAGTCAAACAACAATTTACGTCAGAGTGAAAGCTGAATGTATGACAACATCATCAACAACAGTGCCCCACTTACAGAGAAGTTGAAGTAAATACACAAGAACACAAGCACCGCAGTAGGATGTTTTTAAAATGATCGCGATGACATCAGAGGGAACGCCTACAATTAATCACTAGTAATCGATCTAACTGCACTAAATAAAGAACCTTGCGTGGATTAAGAGATGCAATAAAATGCTGCTTGTTCGTTTATGTTTAATTCATGGAAAAAAGAATCGCCGGTCGTTACTATGAGGAATGGCGCGAGCGTTGAATCGCTCGCGCCATTCCTCATAGTAACGTCCGCCGATTCTTTCTTCAATTCAATTTTCAAATTCAATTTTCGCGTGGTTACACGGGACAGGTGGAGCCATCTAGCGGGGCGCAGTTGAAACAAAAGCGTCTGCAATCTTGAAGCCAATGGCGGGAAATTGATCAATGGCTGTTGTTGCTGCAGTGGCTCCCGCTGCTTTCAGCCAGCTGCTATTAGCGCAGTAAAGCCGGGCAACATTATGCATGACAACAGTGACGTGAGGCTGTCCGGTCGGTCCTCCTCTCTAGGTGGGTAATTTGAAGTGCACTAACCCGATGCGGAGCAGTAAATGTAATTTTATTTCAAAATAGGCCCTTCCTTCACACAAAAATTACACTACGTGATTTCTGGACCGCCATATCAACAATCAACGTCGACTTAATAGTTGACTTTAGTGTCCCTTTAACACACTACGGTCGTTTTTTTTTTTGATAGACTATTTGATAGACTAAACTAGTTTGTTAAATCCATTTACCGGTCAATCTTACTTCGTTACAACGAGGTTTAAAATGCATGGTTCTCAATGGAGCTTTCAAGGGGAATTTCATTTACTTCATTATATCCAATTTTTCGTTATATCCCGTTACATTATAATGCGGTTTTAGTGTATTAACGATACCTCAAGGACCTTGTTTCATGATAGTTTTGAAGAGAGCACTGCATTACAGTACATTTAGAATATTACAAGACAAAAAAATAGTGCTAAAGACTAAAATTATTGAAAATGCGCTAATGTTGCCTAACATCACAAAAAAAATTTGCCCAGACAGATTCAGCATTTGAAAGAACACGGCGCCGCAAGCGACGTATGAAAAACAAATGCCCAAGGAAATGCATCTGGCTGTGGCAGGAAGGTACATGGGTGGTATAATGATCAATGCAACAGGACACTGTGAAAAGCATATCGCGTATAAGAAACATCACAGGAGAAACTTTGCACTAAAAAGTGTCTTCGCGTATTTGGTATGCTGGCAGTGCCTGAGAACAAACCCTCAGTGTGAAACGAGCTTGCTTCTTCCGGGGAACTTGTGCACAAAGCGTCTGCATACATATTGACGCGTGTGTACTGGTGGACCAAAACGACGATAAGGGGATTTGGCGGACACCAGGTAGTAGAGCTCTGGCTGATCGAAGATAAAGAAGGCGATCTTGCTGTTCGGCTGCTGAAAGTCGCTGTGTCAAGGTTTATCTGCCTTTGGTACGCGCTGTACCGCGACACTGGTGGAAGTGCTGGGATGCAACCCTACCTAATGCTCCATACTCCCACTGGGAGCCGTTCATCTAGCTTGGACGCGTTGTCACCCATTGCAACTCCCCTGCACCGGTTCAGTCGGCGGCTGATAGGCCTCGCTCCAGAGTTCACGCCTTTCAGGGAACCTCGCAAGTGCCGATTACCTCTCCAAATGGCCAACGCCAGTCCACAACCGGCGCGCCAAGGCCCCCCGCCAACACAGCCTTCACAGCTAACCATCTTTCACCCGCTGGTTCCCGATCACTTTAGTGGCGGCGCCCATGAAGACGCGGACGACTGCCTTGAGCACTACGAGCGTGTCGCCAAGATTAATCTGTGGCCTGAACAAGAAAAACTCTCACGCGCCTATTTCTACCTTGACAGCGGTGCGAAAATTTGGTATGAGAACAGAGAAGCCAGTCTGTTAACTTGGGGCGACTTCCGACAACAGCTTGTCGATACGTTCACCAATGTCGATCGACGCGACCATGCGCAGCAGCTGTTGGAGCTACGGGTTCAAAAACCCAATGAAAGCGTTCCTATGTTTGCTGAAGATATGACTCGTCTTTTTCGTCGAGCTGACCCGAACATGAGTGAAGATAGGAAGTTGAGCTACTTCATGCGCGGCGTTAAAGAGCAACTTTTCGCCGGGCTACTGCGCCACCCTCCAAGTACCGTAGTTGACTTCATCAAGGAACTACGGCTATCGAGCGGGCCCTCCATCAACGATGCAGGCAGTATCATCGAATGTCTAGCAGCGCCCCAATCAATGCTGCCGCCATACCTGAGGATCAAAGCTCCCTGCGAGACCTCATTTGGGAGATAGTTCGCGAAGAACTGCAAAAGTTCCGGAATCCAGTTGCTCAAACCTCCGTTGCGTCTGTCGCTGAACTGGTACGCGACGAAATCCGCCACGCATTTTCTACCGCTGGTCCTGGTGACGAGCACCGTCCCATGAGCTATGCCGATGCTCTGCGGCGTTCACCATCTGGTACATCGCCGCCATATCGGGTGATATGGCGAGTGCCGACGGCTCCTTGGTCACCGCCGCAAGAGCAGACCCTGAGCCGACCGCCAAGCCAACCGACGTACCACCAGGCGTCCACAGCAGCACCATGGACATCGTCGCAAGAAGGGAGGCTCAGACGTCCACCGCTCCGAAGAACAGACGCATGGCGCACAATCGATCGACGTCCACTATGCTTTAACTGCGGAGATGCAGGTCATATTGTCCGTCATTGCTGGCACCGCAGTGATTCGTTCCGCCCTCTTCGAACGAAGAATACATACCACGCCGGGAGGACGCCTCTTTCCATGGAGCCCGTTTTCACTTTCACGAATAGCGTACTTCTGACGAGGAGGCAATACCTACCCGTCAGCTAGGTTTGAGACGTCAATCCCGCTCTCCTTCTCCCGCTCATTTACCTTCGTCACACCGACGTACCTCCGCGGACCTTAACGCAAGAAGGTCACCCAGCCCGCGACGGGGAAACTGAGGGCGGCGACCTCCGGGGGTAAGGTTGCAGGCCATGAAGATGATGACGAAAAGCCCCCGATTACACGATGCTGTAAATCCGACAAGACATGAAAGCGACGACATTGTGACCGCCGACCTGAGTGTTTTTCTTGACAGCCAGAAAGTAACAGCCTCAGTCGACACCGGTGCCAACTTTTCTATTATCAGTCCGGACCTCGTCATCCGCCTCAAGAAAGTGAAGACACCGTGGACAGGCCCTCAAACAAAGACGGCAGGTGGTTAGTTATTGATGCCCTCTGGAAGATGCACAGCGAGAATTGACATAGGAGGTTCTTCTTTCGTTGCGTCGTTCTCGCCGCATGCTGCAAGGATCTAATTATTGGTATGGACATCTTACGAGAGCACGGCGCCGTCACCAATATCCCAGACAGTTTGATTACATTCCGCAACAGTTCGGGCGCACCTGATTGTACACAGGCGCGACGAAACCAATTGCGTCTAACTGATGACGATGTGGTTCTCCCTCCTCGGTCATGCACGCTTGTTTCTGTGGCAGCCGCTGTCCAGTTTGACGGCGAAGGAGTGGCAGACTGAATAACCTCGCTCCTTTTCACACATGGCATTTCCGTCGCAAGAGGTATCGTCAGTGTCGCCGCTGGACGCAGGGACTTGCTTCTGACAAATTTTAGTGATGAGCGCGGGCACCTTCCAAAAGGCATGGCCGTTGCTTACTTTGACGATATCACAGACGCAGAAGGCTGCTTGGCAGTAGTCGACGAGGCGCCAAAACTTGATTCAACACCAGTTCTTGACGTTAGCACTACTTTGCCTAGGAACGAGCGAAAGAGGCTTCTTGAGCTACTGGCCGAATTCAAAGACTGCTTTTTGACAACATCAAGAGTTGGCCGCACGCCTCTAACCAAGCATCGGATAATTACCGAGAACATGGCGAGACCAATTCACCAAAACCCCTATCGCGTGGCTGCAAAGAAACGCGAAGTGATACAAGAGCAAGTCGACAAAATGCTAGAAAATGACATCATTCAGCCCTCAAAAAGCCCCTGGGCGTCACCTGTAGTCCTCGTTAAAAAAAAAAGATGGCAGCCTGCGTTTTTGTGTTGATTACCGAAAACTCAATCAGGTGACAAAGAGAGATGTGTATCCACTTCCTCGTATAGATGACTCTCTCAACAGACTTCGACATGCTCGTTACTTTTCATCGATGGACTTAAGGAGTGAGTATTGGAAAATCGAGGTAGACCCAAGAGACCGCGAGAAGACTGCTTTTGTGACACCAAATGGCTTATATGAATTTAAAGTCTTGCCCTTTAGTTTATGCTAAGCGCCTGCTACCTTTCAAAGACTTATGGATACCGTACTTTCTGGGTTGAAGTGGAAAACCTGCTTGGTCTACCTTGATGATGTCGTAGTTTTCACAACATTTGACCAGCACCTTAAAAGACTTGAGGCAGTTTTACAAGCCATACTGTCCACGGGCTTGACGTTGAAGCCTTAAAAGTGCCACTTGTGCTATGAAGAGCTGCAATTTTTGGCCACGTTGTCAGACACGCAGGCGTTCAACCTGATCCTGAAAAGATCGCAGCTGTTGCACAGTTCCCGGTGCTGACTGATAAAAAGGCTGTCCGACGATTCCTCGGACTATGTGCGTATTATAGGCTATTCATCGCGGACTTCGCACGCATCGCATCACCGTTAACCCACCTCACGAGAGAAGACGTTGCTTTCCAATGGAGCAACGAAGAGGAAGCTGCTTTTAAGAACCTCCACCAGCGACTACAGACGCCTCCAGTGCTTGCCCACTTTGATGAGAAAGCCCCAACGATGCTACACACTGATGCCAGCAATATTGGTTTGGGAGCTGTGCTTGTGCAGCTGCAAGAGGACACAGAAAGAGTAATCGCCTATGCAAGCCGAACACTAACACGCGCCGAAACTAATTACTCCACGACTGAGAAGGAATGCCTCGCCGTGGTATGGGCGGTCACAAAATTTCGCCCGTATTTATACGGCCGCCCTTTCAAAGTCATCAGCGACCACCATTCACTGTGTTGGTTGACAAATCTTAAAGATCCTACCAGGAGATTAGCGCGTTGGAGTCTCAGGCTGCAGGAGTACAACATGACTGTCGTACACAAGTCAGAAAACCGCCACATGGACGCCGACTGTCTATCCCGCTCACCCATTGAATCGGCAACTCTATCCGATGAGGAGGAAACAGCATTTCTCGGTGTGCTTGACTCAACCGCTATTGCACACCAACAACGCGGCGACCCTGAGTTACTAGCCCTAATTAATTACCTGGAGGCAAGATCTCAGAAGGCACCAACTCTTTTCATAAGAGCGCTGTCATCATTTTGCTTACGGGGCGGAGTACTATACAAAAGAAACTTGCCTTCGACAGGATCTGCGTATTTGCTCGTCATCTCAGCAGCCCTTCGCTTCAAAGTACTCGAAGCATGCCACAACGAGGCGACTTCAGGCCACTTAGGTTACACAAGAATGTTGGCCAGAGTACGGCAGCGCTACTTCTGGCCAAGACTGACCATAGCCGTAAAACACCATATTCGTACTTGCCTCGACTGCCAGCGATGGAAGTCACGGCCGACTAAACCAGCTGGCCTCCTGCAGCCCGTGCAGGTCCCAAGAACACCATTCGACCAGATTGGCATGGATATTTTGGGCCCACTTCCTACTTCTACTGCTGGGAACCGCTGGGTTGTCGCGACTGATTACCTTACCCGTTATGCTGAAACAAAGGCTATCCAGAGAGGTACAGCAGTGGAGGTGGCACAATTTTTCATCGAAAACGTTGTCCTGCGGCATGGTGCACCAAGCGTCGTAATCACAGACAGAGGAACCGCATTTACAACAGCTCTTTTGGAACAAGTCCTCATGCTGAGTGGAACAACCCATCGTAAGACCACTGCCTACCACCCGCAAACGAACGGGCTTACAGAGCGTCTGAACAAAACAATTGAATACATGCTTTCAATGTACGTAGACGTCGAACACAAAAATTGGGACGAAATCTTGCCATATATCACGTTTGCATACAACACTGCCAAGCAAGAAACAACCCGGATGACCCCGTTCAGCCTAATTTACGGAAGGGAAGTACGAACCATGTTAGATGCGATGCTAGCGCACAAATGCGACGACATCGAACCGGACGGCGAGATGTTTACAGAACGAGCGGAAGAAGCAAGGCAACTAGCACGCCTGCGAATCCAGCAAAAACAAGAGTACGATGCAAGCCGCTACAATTCTCGCCGCAAAACAGTCGTTTACCAGACCGGCGACAGAGTATGGGTTTGGACGCCCATACGGAAACGAGGACTCTCTGAAAAGCTCCTAAGGAGATACTTTGGGCCATATCTAGTACTGCGACGACTGAGTGATGTTACTTACGAGGTCGTCCCCGACAGTTCATGTAGTACAAGGCTTCGCCAGCACCGTCCTGAACTAGTTCACGTTGTACGCATGAAGCCTTATGAAAGGTAGTGACTGCGCAAGACACTTCTTAAAGAACAGACAAAAAAAAACTGCACTACTGGTTTAGCATCGGGGCGATGCTCATTAAGAGGGGGGCAAATGACGCGTGTGTACTGGTGGACCAAAACGACGATAAGGGGATTTGGCGGACACCAGGTAGTGGAGCTCTGGCTGATCGAAGATAAAGAAGGCGATCTTGCTGTTTGTCTGCTGAGAGTCGCTGTGTCAACGTTTATCTGCCTTTGGTTCGCGCTGTACCGTGACAATATGTTGCGAGAGCTACTTTATAGAGAGTAATGACTACGGGGGGTGTGGTGGCAAGGGATTACAAACAATTACACGTTTCCCGAGGCTGAACGCGAGCTTGCTAGATTTTAACTTGTTACCGCACTCCCTAAAAAATCAATATTTGTTAGGGTGAATGGAATTTCTGGGCTTCAGCACGGCACAGCATCGATACAGTGGATGTTCCGCTGCGAGAGAGTTCGATACACGTGGGCTCCAGCCCCACACTTTTGCATGAGAAATTCGAGGGTTTTTCTCAACTTTCCGATATAGTCAATGATTCTATATATATATGAGTTCGACATATCCGAGATCAACTGTACCACTACTACTATGACGACGAAGCTTCTGTGAATAGTGAATTTTAGGTTTGAAGCAAATTCGAAGCAAACAGTGATTTTAGTCAAATAATTTAGAATCGAATAGTATATCGCATATTATGAAGAAAAATGGTCAGATTTGTTGCAGCTCCCCTAACGGGCACAATATTTTGAAAGAATGAGACATGGCGTGTTGAAATGCCATTTCTTTGCACCAAAGAAAGCAGGAACAATATTGAACAGTAGCAGGATTCGACTTTCGGTATAATGCAAGTCAATGCAAGCCTGCGAAATTTAAAAATCTGCTGTACTTGTAGCATATAAGTCGGTGTCACAAGCGTCTAAACTGAAAAAAAATATATATGAATCGATGTGAGGGTAATATTCTCATTTAACCTTAAACAGGGGTTTCGCGGTAGGGCAATTTCCCCTTAATACATGTTTTCACGGCTTGGTGCCACTTCACCGCAGTGAAACCACTTTTACAAGAGAGGGTACATGTAAAACTGGTGTACACCTGGACAGGTGCTTTTCATGGCTTAGCACCTGTTCACTGCAGAAAAACCACCTTTACAAAATGTCACACGAAGATTAATGTGCACTTATTCGTTCGTATTTAATACCACGGTATGCGTTTGAATATTCGAAGCCTTGAAACAGTCGCACAAGCCTAATGACAACAGCAACAGGGCAGACTGAGACAGCTTCGTTGAAAGAAAAAAGCCCACCTTGAGAGTGGCGTTTGTGAAGAGCAGCTCGCGCAGGAGAGCAAGCAGGAAGTCGGTGCGAACATCACGCTCGTGTACCTCGTCGACGATGACATGGGAGACTCCCAGCAGGTTGCTGTTGTGCTGCAAGTGGCGCAGCAGGATGCCCACCGTGCAGAAGAGCATGCCCCCGCGGAGGCTCAGGAGCTGCTTCGAAAAGCGCACCTGGTATCCGACGGTGTCGCTCAACTGCGAAATCGTCAGAACTCTTAATTGTTGAGGGAAGGGAAGGGGGGTTAACAGGTGGCACAATTAACATACGCTCGCACTTTGAGTGCCAGCACATCGTCGAAAACTAAGGAAGTGGCAGCGACTCGAAATGAAGTAAGGTACAGCAGGAAAACTACACTCAAAACCCATTGCCGCAGACCCTCGTTTAAGGAAAGGTGAAGGGACCAGCAAAATATGTTCCATTTACCAGGAGTTCCATTTACTCAGAGATGAACAGGGGTGCAGCATACAACCATACAACCAATCACATCAGAGGCAATATTGCTCGATTTAAGCAGTAGTTCCATTTAACAGATTTCCATTCCACGAGAGTCTACTGTATAATGAAGTCTCATCTGACGCACACACACACACACACAAAAAAAAGAAAGCTTGGAGGATGTTTTAACTTCGCCTTCAAGAGTGCAAGACAATAGCATAAGTGGGCCCTATTCGCATCTCCTCATCGGCTACATGGCTTTGCTTCTTGCTGGACATCTGAAAGGGACACTGCATAAGAACAATGGCTTGGTTTCGATTGACAAACTGCACTCCGAGAACTCTAATGCCCTGTGTTTCACTATCATAGGTTCATTATTGGCGTAGCGAATCAAGGCTCAAGTTTCACTTTAAATTTCACGCTGAAATTTCCACGTGCAAGGTCGGAAATTTCGAAATGTATTCTCGGTATTTTCGTGGCATTGGCTGGATGAAATTTTATGAAAATTTGTATGCTAAGCCTATGGCACCTACACGTTGCAATGTACTCCACTCTTACTGACTGGAAGCCAAGTAGGACCAAGTGCACGCCTTCAAAATTTTTGGTGTGGAAATCGCAAAGCGGCATCATAACCCACATTTCCTTTACACGCGTTTTCTCACTAAGCGTCGTGTCGTTAAGAGTGGTGTTTTCGGGATTGTGAAACTGTACCTCACTAATACGTGAAAGATTGGTTTGCTGTTAGAGTCCCTTTAAACATGGCGTGAGGAAAGAAACGTCCGTGCGTGTAACGCTCACCGTTTACAACTATTCTAAACAATTACTGCAAGTACAGCTGCGAAGAGCTAACTACACCCTAGCTTTTTCTTTTCCAAACCCCCGAAGCACGTACTACGTGTCCGGAAGACAACAGAAGCGCTTGCAGGACTGTTGACAGTTGTTGCTGATGATAATTATTTACACTCAAACCTCATAACAAAGTTGCATCTTACTCAAACATATGTTTGTTATATCCAAAAATTCATTATAAAAGTATATTCCTAACACTATATCAAGCGCAAGACTAATCTTCATTTACTTTGTTATAAACAATATTTTGTTACATCCGGGTTCGTTATATCAAGGTTCCAGTGTATCCCCAAGTGCATTATAATGAATGGGCAGCTTTACGCCATGAAATCATTGTACAATTAACATGCTTTCAAGCCTTGCACAATTGTGCTCTTCTGTCACACAATTTCACATGTGCTAGGAAGACTCCTCACACTGTGCAACATCCGTACAATAAGTTTTTTTTTTTTTACCCTGCGAAATAGTTTCAAGCCCTGGCATGGCTCTGTGGTGTAACACATGACAGCCAAGCACAAGACTTGGGTTCAGTTCCCCATGGAGCAAAGTTCTTTTGTCTATTTGTATCTATCTCGATTTTTCGCTCACAACCAATGAAGCCGCAACCGCAATAAATGTATGTCTGAAATATGCCATACATGTATGTTCGTAAGACTAAATTCATGAGAGGACCATTTTTTATTCACTTAGCTTAAACAGATCATTTGGCATATCTACGTTACACTTGGGTCCGAATGATAGCACAAAGGGGAACAAAAGTTTGTCAATATCTTGTACCGCCTTGTTAACACATCATGGATTTTTACGCCACCTAATCAAATCTTTTTAAACCAAAAAGCTTCCTAAATGAGGTTTGAATATACATGCCAGATCATGCCAGCACTTTACGTCAAATGCTATTTATATGTGCAAACATCCTGTAACCCTAAGCAGCAAAAAAATGTCACAAATCTTTGGTTGTTCCACCCACTTTTGACTAAAAAAAATCTGCAAACCCTCACATTACATGTTTCTGGTGAGAACTGTCCTAGGATGACATTCCGAGATATGCTTCTTATAGGCATCAACACTCAAACTTTGATATAACGAGCCCAGATATAATGAAATAAAAAAAAGTATTGCAATAGATATAGTGTTAGGAATATACATTTACAACAAACCTTTTGATATAACGAACTCATTTCCCAGTAAGATGCAACTTTGTTATAAGTAGGTTTGAGTGCATACCACTTTCGTGTCATCTCACTATCGAATCCTTTACCCTCATCACTCAGATGTAAAATTTCTTCTTTTGAATTTACTTCAAAAACTCTTGCGTAATTTATGGCGTTCCCTTCTTTTCTTCAGTTGTACCAAAATTTTTTGGGTGTATATTTTACTTATCATATTTTGTATATTTCGGTTCCGTATTTGTATTGCCAGCTATGTTTTTATGATTAAAGCTGCTACTAACTCTTGTTTCATTTATTTGTAACCATTATCGATGGTCCCGTTGAAGTTTTATACTTTGGGACCCTCGTCTGTATATTTTGCATTCTGTAACAATCCTTTCTTCATAATAATAAACTGATGGATTGATTGATTGATCAATTGTATTGTTTGCATGCTAAAAAACTTTTATGTTGAAAATCATAAACTATCCAGAACTTTTTTTTTAATTCTTTGAGACACGTTGTACAATTATTTTTAAATAACTTGTTTTTGCTAGTTGTGTAGAAAAATGCCAGAGCAAGATAGAGTGAGGAGGCTTTGAACAACCCCCTAAATGTATTCCGGATAAAAAAAGATTACACTTCAGGCCCAATTATCAGACAAGAAATTTTCCAACTGGGAAAGACTTTCGATTTGAAGATTCAAATCAGAGTGGGTGAACATCTATAGGAACCTTGTCAGTTCCCGGCTGGAATTTGGCCACCTTCCAGCTGGTCATAAGCCTATTTCTAACCAAGTTATAGTAGTAGTGCGATAGCCGAACTATCGAACCCGTAAGTCATTCCAGCTCGAAAATTTCAGGTTGGAAATGAAAATTTCAGCTGAAAATGAAAGTCTTTAACCTCTGGGTCTTTGTTCACTTAACTTCATTTTGCGAAGCACTGTTGCATACGATGGCTTTGCCAAAGGCAATTACACACCGATCCATCGAACTCACCTCTTTTCCCAAGTCGCGTAAAAAATACGTATCCTTTTTTACTTCAACAAATATATTCGAAAACCAAATCACACTTATCTCTAGCAGGAGATTTTATTGTACTTGTGCGAAGAACAAAGATGACATCGGGATAGATGGATACTTAACTATAATTAAGATTAACTACCACAAAAGAGAAGTCAATGTATTATGACATTATTTTCATTTGAAATGTAATGTAGTCGAACCCCTTCATAAGAGACACACACCAATGTAAGGGACATATGAGACACCAGCGGGCCTACACAGAAATAGGTGTTAACAAAATCAAACGTGGTACTCTGCTCAAAAGAGTCACCTCATATAAAAGACAAGAACTCCTTCCCAATGTGTACCTCTCATTAAGGGGTCCAACTGTATCAAGTGCCTTGAAATAATGTTTCATAAACCTAAAACAACACTTCTTTGTAGGTCGAAGTTGAAAGAGTTGATTACAAAGAGCAACGCCCCTTTACGGGGGGACAATGCTCTTAAAAATAGTTTTTCTATTTCTTAATTTATTTAGTTGAAGCTTCGTCAGATTATGTATATGTGAGTTCCGATTTCAACTACACAATTATTTTTACAATAAGTAGTTTTTAAATTCATGTACATTTAGGGGCGAAACATTTTTTTTTTCTCAAGCGAGAAAGTTAAAAAGCAAATCAGCATATCACATTATACTGTAATCGGAACTGTGTCCAGTGCAACAAAAATGAATGTTCTAAACCCACCGTACAAAAGTTACTCTTTGTTGAACATTTTAGAGTCAGTTAACTTCAAGCAGGGACTTCACTCATGAAGGTTTAGCATACCATAAGCTTTCTGTTATTGGGTTTAGAACATCCATTTTCGTTGCACTACATGCCGATTTGCCATACGCCACGATATGCCGATATGATTTGCGATATGCTGCTATGCTATCACCGCAAGAGGCACATAAAAGATTCTTGATTTTAAAGTTAACACTACGCATTACACTAGAAAAATAATTGCATACACTTAAGCTTTAATACAACAATTTGCCTATAACAAATTATTGGTTATAACAAAATAAGTGACCAATAGCTTCACAATAGATACAGTGTTACGAATAATCATTTATAACAAATTTTTTGATATAACAAATTATTTTCGTGGCAGATGTTATTTGTTATAATGAGGTTGGAGGGTATATGAAAACACCACTGAGATGTAGATGAACTCCTAGTTTCAATTAATTAAGATTAATCAAGATATTTTTTAAATATTTTAAATGTATGTCCCCCTCAACAAGTTTTTAATGGAAGCAATGTGCAAGCTTACTGACCTCTTCCCTTCGCTCTGTAGCTACCCGCTTCGCCATGGATACAGCAGCGAATCTCCTCGGCTGGGTGATCACAATGTTGCAGCGGGAGCCAATTCCCTCGCGCACCCAGTTCTCGAAGATAAACTGTGGCACCTGTGTGGTCTTGCCCGACCCAGTCTCGCCGCAGATCACAACCACTCGTTTGCGATTGACAGCGCTCAATATCTCGTCCCTGCAGTGCGAGAATGCATGTCCAGTGTTTTTGTGTGCCAGAGGATTGACCCTTTACTGCCGAGTATCACGAATTCGCAACATACCGAAAAAGTTCGAGCAAGCAAGACACGAAATGCATCATCATCATCATCAACGTCATCATCAGCCTACTACGCCCACTGCAGGGCAAAGGCCTTTCCCATGATCCGCCAATCAACCCAGTCTTGTGCTTTCTGCTGCCACGTTATACCTGCGAACTTTTTAGTCTCATCAGCCCACCTAACTCGGTCTCCCTCTTCGTGCGTTTGCCTTCTCTAGGAATCGTCAGTTATACCCTTAATGACCAGCAGTTATCCTGCCTACGTGCTACGTGCCCGGCCTATGATCATTTCTTCTTCTTGATTTCAACTAGTATTATATAACCCACTTTGCTGTCTTTCTATCTCTCAAGGTTACACTTATTTTTATTTTCATCGATCGCTGGGACGTCCTCAATTTAAGCTGAAACCTCTTTGTAAGCCTCCAGGTTTCTGCTCCGTAGGTAAGTACTGGTAAGATGAAGCTGTTATATACCTTCCTCTTGAGGAGGGTTAGTGGCGGATTACCATTCATGATTTGAGAATGCTTGCCGAATGGGTGATCCACCCCCATCCTTACTTAGTCTTCCAGTTATTTTACTCTCCTGGTTTGGCTCCATGGTTACTACCTGTCCTAAGTAGTACACATATTCCTTTACACCCTCCAGCGTCTCTCCACCTATCTCAAAGTGCTGTTTTCTGCCAAGACTGTTGCACATTACTTTAGTTTTGTGCATATCAATTTTCATTTTGTACCTACTCTTCTGCTTTGCGTGACCAGTTCAGTAATTATGAGCTGTAATTTGTCCCTTTAGTTACTCATCAAAGCAATGTCATCGGCAAATCACAGGTTACTAAGGTACTCGCCATTAATGAAATGCTTGCCACCTTTAATGCCGGCTGTTAAGTACTCGCGAGAAATGTAGCTTTCAGCATGAAAAATCTAGCACCATCTCATGTAAGAAATTCTATACAAGAATCTATACTAGGCTGAGAGCGCGAAGCACGTGCAACAGCTCTCGCGTCTTTGTTCTTTCTGGCCTGGGGTAAGGTTAGTTTTATCATCAATAACTGTTTGTTTGGTGAGCATGCACCGAAGATGTGCCACACAATGTGTTACCTAGATCTGAAGTACGTTTCTCGTTGCAAGGTCCTTGATTCTGTGTCATACAGGGAATTTGTGACATACCTAAAAGTATGCATTAAAGTTTTCTTTTACAGAATTTAATGACAGAACATAATAAATGTCGCTATTTGAAGCAGGAAAATAGAAATTGTTATTTTATTCAGACGTTTCATAATTCAGACATTAAGGTGGTACCGACAAAATTTTGCGGCCGAGGTATCCTGCGGGATCAATTCCAGTGAATGCGCGTACATCACCTGCAAAGTATCAACAGCAAATATAGCTTGGAAGGTACTTTAATTCAACTTTGAAGTGTGCGTGAGCGATAGACTCCATCGCACTATAGACACCCTCAAAAGGGACCCTTGGTGGCCCCCTACTTTCCCGACCGGACCATGCTGCCGCAAGTTATGACGACCTCATACCCGCAGTTTTTTGTTGTTTCTTTTTTGTTTTTTTTTTTTTGCTCGCGTTTGCTCCAACAGACTATCCCTCGGCAGCTGCTTGAGAGTCCGTGGCCGGGGCGCACGAGTTGAAAGTTTGGTTTTTGATGACATTGCTGTTTCATTTCCTGTTCAGAAAAAAATTTTTTCACGCAAACCGCATGGAAGTGCATCACAGTTCTATGTGCTGACACAGTCGAGCGTTGCACCTGCTAGGTTGGAATAGTTGTACCCGGTGGCTTTTAGTTTTCGAAACCGAAACTGACACTGGTCGGTAATAACAAACCTGTAATTAAAGGGACCCCTTTGAAATTTTGTCAGTGTTCAGGCTCGAGCATCATCAAACCATTCGCGCCACAAATTTAGCGACACGCCGTCTAGAAAGGCTGCTATGGACAATAGTATCATACCCTCCTTCTCACCTATGCATGACCTCCTCAACTCCCGAGGCACGCTGGCATCACTGGCGGTCACAGAGCTCTGACATGTGCACTCGAGGATTTGGGCTTTTACCAGTCTAGATCTCAGAGATTGCACGCCGGAAGGTTGTGCGCAGTGTCGGAGATCTAGACTGGTAAAAGCCCAAATCCTCGAGCGCACATGTCAGAGCTCTGTGACCGCCAGTGATGCCAGCGTGCCTCGGGAGTTGAGGAGGTCACGCATAGGTGAGAAGGAGGGTATGCGCTGGAAGGTTGTGCGCAGTCTCGGAGGCCATCACACAGTGTGCCCGGCAGCACGCACGCCGTCATACCTGCTCCAACAGGTGCTCCCGCCTCCTACCAGTAGAATTTACCTCAGCACATTCTATAGCCTACGATAGCCAATCGGATCAGCAGCCACGGTGACTTCAAATGGCCAGAGTATGGTGCTCTTTGAATGGGTGGTTGAAAACTCATTTGGCCGAGTCGCAGCGATCTGCGCCGATCTGCAGCAATTCGCAGCTTTAAAGTGTTGTAATAAATTATGCAGTTTATGCAGAGAGCTCAAATTGGCCTCTAAATGACCCCCAGAACTTAGTAAACCAGTCTGGTGTGTTAATACGAAATTGCCAAGACCGTTTCAGGGTCCCTTTAATCATCCGTCACAAGCTGCACAAAAGGACGTGTTACGACTAACAGGCTCCCAGGAACACACTGCAGCAAAAAAGCGTGAGGCCAAAATTTTTGTGCCTGTACTCCTTTGAAAGAATAAGAACAGCACGAGCTATATTAATGCTTGGCTACGCTTGTTGCTGTACAGTGAAAGGTACACAAGGCGAATGCTACGTTAGAAGGCTGTTCCTACAAGCGGGCAGTTTGCACTGCGCAAACAGGGACCACAACAACCCAATTTTCATTTAAACGAAGAATTTCCTCTGCACGAAAAAAGCACTACAAGGCTTCTGGTATGCTATTTTGGAATTCTAGTTCCAACAACCATGCCAGCTTAATTGTGCTAAGTGGCCCTTTAAAGGAGCACACACACAAATTTTAAATACGGTGGAACCTCGATTATACAGCTTTCAAACCATGCAAAATTTTCATATAATCCGGGCATCGTATAACCGAAAAACTAAGATTATAGGAAATGACACTCAGATTTGCCCTAAAAAACGGGTACAAACTGCCTGAATAAGCCCACGGCACGACCTTGTGCCTCTGCAAGGAAGGTAAATGAATTTATTCTTGCCAGTTGCAGCTAATGACAGCATTACTTAATTGAAGGAGGTGTGAGCGACTATTTATTCTCAACGTTTAAAAAAATCAAATCAACACTCATCTTTCTACTAATAAATAGAGTCCGAAAATTGCCTGCGCCTGAAAGCGAAACCGAAACCGCATCGCCAATAGCTTCCCGTCACAGAAGTCAGATGTGCAGCTTTCTGGGCTAGTTGGTTCAAAGTAATAAGAAAAAAAAAAAAAGAACCAGCGAAAAATCACACAAAGACGGCGAAGAAGAACAACTACACAGGACAGGTGCCGAACTTACAACTGAATGTTTATTGTACACACACAAAGGACCATCTGAGCCATGCCAACCTTGGGCACCTAATCGTCCATATCATGAGAACGTGCGAAGCAACGATAAAATTTGAAATGTGTAGCTTACCAGCTATCTAGAATCGCAAACTATTTCTCTGTGAGGAAAACTGAGGGTTCGCTCACACATGACCATTTGCCGTGCTCACAGGTCTCATGTTCAATCTTGTTTCTGCCTTTGCCAATTACGATCGCTGATTTGAAAATGGGACACAGCCGCAGCTTTTGGAATGCAGAGTCCAGTTTCCACCAGTGCTTGTGGGGAGGAGATAGTGGTGTTCAGTTGTAAACATTCAGTTGCAAGTCCAGCACTTGTCCTGTGTAGTTGTTCATCTTCGCCATCTTCATGTAGTTTTTTGCTAATTATTTTTTCTTCAGATAGAGTGTCATCGCTATCGCATAATGGCGACGAACCACGAGATTGCATATAACGTAGAATGCCCTCGTGTTCGACTGAGCTGCACGCATTGTAATTTGTTGCTTTGTGAAGTGCAACTGGTGGTGCCACGCTCTTAATATTAGCTTTCACGACAAGTCAAAGTAATCTTGCAGCACGACGAAAACGGCTGCATCATGCCCTTAAGTTGCGCAAGCCTGTGACTGCGCGTGCGACCAGCTGAAGTTACTCTGCGTGGATAAAGCTTGACAAGGTAACGACTTCGGATGCGTATGCAGGCTATCAATGTGTATGTAGAAGTGCATGAACTTCCAGGAAAATTTTCTATTCTATGAAGACATCTTGTGTTACTCTCTACTTTTCAAATCGTCAACATAGGAGTGCATATTTCACACTCGTGAATATTTGGTCGACGTTTGATTCAAGCAAATATATATTTTGTTCTTTTGGACGGAATCTAAAGGCGGGTTCACACTTAGCCTCGAAGAGAGCGAAAGCAGTGAAACTCTCCGGAAACTGGCTCGTTTTGCTGCCCAAGCAGCCAGCAAACCACGCCGCGCGGCCAGAATGAAAAAATAGATCCGAGACCAATTTTCCTGCCACGCGAAACCGAATCCGGTTTCTGCTTCATGGCTTTGGCTGCGCTAGATTAAACCACGTGACCTAACCAGCCGCCACAGATTCAACATGACGGCAAAGGAGTCGACGGCGGCTCGCAGCGGCTCAAATTGCAAACTACTCGTGCAGCACGACGAAGCTTGATGGCCACAACATGGATGCATTCCTTGAGAGCTTGGTTTGGGTTACTATCGCTGAGAACACTGAAATTAGACGGTGCAACAGCAGCAAGTCAATATGCTCCAGCGTGTCTCGCTTCTGCGTACAGCCGGTTGAATCCGCCGCCGCCGCTGCCTTCGCTCGTGTCGTTTCTGCTGGTGTTCCTGCCGGAAGCAACATTTGAAAAGGCGAGAGCCGTTTCTTCTCAGTACTTTGCGTGAACGACTAGAATTCAGTACGAAATTTAGTTCTCGGAAAGCAGGCGAAATTGAAACAATTTTCAAGGTAGCGGCGGCAGCGGCGGTGGGATGGGGCAGAACGAATGTCAACATCTCCGACGCCCCCGATCGTGGTTTTCCGGCCACTCTGGCGTTATCGTTTTCGCTTCACTTCTATAGTGTACGTAAATGCGCCTTTAGTCTTGGCAAGATGCGGGGTCGGCGTTAAACTTCATCGTGTGACTAAGGTTTTTAATACATTCTAATAGAGTTTTTCCTGGAACAAACCGATTTGTCGTGAAATGCGGGTCGTCGTGACATCTGGGAACGTATAATCGAAGTTCCACTGTATTTAGAGATTGTTGCTCTAAATTAGATTATTAGCTTTGAAAACCCCAAGAAGAGTACTGCGATGCCTGAGAATGCATTGCATATATTTTGAACGCCCGTTACGCTGAAACTACACTTTCAATTTCGATATAGAGGGCGAGGGTTTTCTGTGTTGTGCCATGGCAGTGTGACTTGCCGTCTGCTTGTGGTACACATAAACAAAAATGAGAAAGCCGTCTCAAGCGACTAACAGTAATTTCTGTAATCTAGGCTGCATGCAGGATACAGAACTCGCAAACCAAGTCATCACCATCTAGTAATTACGTCAGGTGGTTCAGGAATCATTTATTGACTTTACATTCTAAAGCCAAGCATAATAAACATTTGCAGCACACCCGAAGTAAGCTGTAACATCTCAGAAAGGTTGTGCCTTTTGAAACAGAAATAAGCTTTCACGATTGTATTTATACACGTGCCACAAGGCAGAGAAAATGGCATTTACCTCCTAATGCCTTCAGATTGAAGGTCATTCGCGCGGTGCCACACGAATGAACGAAATGGCATTCGCTCAAATGCCATTCGTCACCTAATGCCATCGCCAGAACTCGTTCGACTGAGAAATGCGTACTCTCGATGGCACAGCTGATGAAGTAGTTGTATAAAACGACATTTGATTCGACTGGAAGGAAACTTTTTCATAATTTATTTACACTCACTTAAACAACTGCTTAAAAACTTCTCTTGAGCTGGTAGGCACTGTAAATAAAGTAAATGCGTCAGGCGTCATTTCCCTTTTACGCTGTGGATCTGACTAGCTTTGGCTTAATTTGCTACACGGTCGGTCTCAACGTCATGAAATGAGGTAACAAGTGCCATCTAACTGCAGCGTAATATGCTTATTTATACTTTTAATTATTAACGGATGTGTATGAAGCTTGTAAACACTTGTTTAGTTTTTTATTGCTACTCACCCGATGCTCACGAGGAAGGTGCTGCAATCGACATCATCAAGTCAAATGTCATTCACTTTGGACGTGTAGCAGCGCCGCCGAAAAAAATGTCATTTGGGAACTGAATGCCTTCGCTACTGAATGTAATTTTCTACGCCCGTGTGGCACGGGTATTAAATTACGCTCTCTGGAAGGGCTTCAGATTCCAGAGGTGGTTTTTCCCCGAGTGCGTCAAGCACCTCAACTACAGCATTCGGAAGCAAAATCTCGGGAGGCGACATCCCCTTTTCTCCGCGATTTACACTACATGACTTATGCCATAGCAGAGCTTCAAGAGACAGCTCTGCCGCAATGCAGAAATGTGATAGGGTGAAGCACAATTAAAATCTGAAGGGGCCACCGCTGATTTGGCACCGACTGTATGTCTTCCAGAAGTTCGAACATTAAGATTCTGATGTGAATAGAATCAAATAAAAAACACTATTAAAAAAACATTCGAAATTCCGAATATCCTCACGCCCCTAATTTTTACCAATTAGGAACTACACAGGACCTCGCCGATGCCGTCAAAATATGTAAACATTACTGTGATTCGGGCAGGAATTTCGAGGCCACACGCATTTTTCGTGTTTTTTTTTCTTTCACATCAACCAATTGCTTACTCATTGTTTTTTTGACGCAAACAGGTTGATCTTGAAATTTTGAACGAGTAATTTACTACTATGAGAAAAATCGTCCTTCCCTTCAAAGGTGTTCCTTTAGCTCAGGTGAACTTTCTTTACAGCAGGCCTTTCAGGGTGTCCAAACATACATGCTAAACATTGGCTAGACATAACACGCATCGTTACTCCACCTTACCTGTAAGGGTAGATTGGGAGCTCCGTCCTGGCCCGCTGGTAATTGTAGCTGGTTTTGTAAAGCCAAGACTTTTCGGCCTTGGTCAAAAGTTCACGATCCCGGCGGATGTAGTGCTCGTCCGGTGACCTGAGCAGTCGGCCGGTCATGATGTCTCGTATCTTCTTGTTTTCCCCGCCTTCTGCTGCGTTCAGCGACGTGTCCATGCAGGCTTCCTCGTCCTCAGGATCATCGTTGCGGAGTCGAGGTGCACTGGCCACGAGAGCCTGCAAACAAATACATTTAAACCTTGATACAATGAACCCGAATATAACGAAATATCAGTTATAACAAAGAAGATGAAGAATAGTCTTGCATTAACTATACAGTCGCCGACCGATTTTACGGACTCCAAATATTCGGACTTGTTGGATATTTTGAACTTCAAAAGTGCACAGTCAGGTTTCCCATAGGGCTAATGCATTTTTTCGACCGAATTTTTGAACGAATTCACCCCTAAAGTGAGATTTTTTGGACCTAATCGCTTGTTTTGAGCCGTGTCACGAACCTGTATGGACGCCACCATGATGGATTTTCTGCCGGTTCGACTAAGCTTAGTGGCCTAATTTTAAGATGGCTTTCCTGCCTCCAAGATTGGAAAGTAAATGTCATATTTCAAGTTTCGGAGGTCGTGTCTGCTTCAGAAAGCGCGGCACGGGACCATTTTCTCGTCTTCGGTCAGCCGTAGTGGTCAGCATTGTCGTCTCACCTTACAGGGAGGAGGTGGAGCTGCGCAGTAGTGGAGTGAATGTGCCTGCCACAATGACATTAGACTTCTCTCATGCGGACGATGACAATTTTGTGCGCGAAGGCCACAGATGATGAAATTCTTCGCCAGGTTGTGTCGCAGCCGGAGAGCGGTTCGGATGGTGACGACGATCGCTCGCAGCTGTCGGCAGCGAAGATAGCCACCACGGTGATGCTTTTGTCGAGTATTTACAGAGACAATGTCACCTTGGCGCAAATATGGGCGAACCAAATGGCTTCCAAGCATAGTATGAGGCAAGGCAGAGTCATGGGCTTTTTTAAGCCTGCTTGATGAAATAAAGTTCATATTTCTGACAAAAGGAATTTTTCGGACTGTTCAATTTTTCGGACCTTTTTTTATATCCCCGCCAGGTCCGAAAAATCGGTCGGCGACTTAGTGTTAAAAATATACCTTTAATATAGCGAATTTTCGGATACAACAAATTTGTTTTCGTGTAAGATGCAACTTCGTTATAATGAGGCTAAGAGTAAACAAAAATAAGGGAAGCTTTGCACTGGTGGCGCAAAGCCCGAAATAACAGCAGATGCGTCCCTACAAAATATACGCTTCACTCTAATTGGCAAGCAAGCACAACCACCTGGAAAACGCGGACCGGCCTTCATCTTCCTCTTTGGTCTATTCCCTTACATGGTTGCCTATTTCATCCGACTACATTTCCTTAAGTGGGCATCTAATTCATCTGTCTACATTTCCTTGTATGGGTGTGTTTCATCTGCGTCTGTTTCATTTGTCTATGTAATTTTCTTATGCAGGTGTCTATTTCATCTGTTTATCTTCCTTCATGTGGTGCATATCGGATTCCTTAAGCCCACCCTTCCATTACGCCTGCTCACCTTCGCATCCCTCCTTCTCGTCCTCGCTTCCCTTTTACACCCCTTGCTATATTATACACTCAAACCTTGACACACCGAACACGGATATAACGAATTATCGATTATAACAAAGTTAGTGAGGAATAGTTTTGTCGTAGGGTTACAAATATATGTTTATAACCGAGTTTTTCGGTGTAATGAAGTGTTTTCATGGCTGCTGTGACTTTGTTATAATGAGGTTCGAGTGTACCATGCGTAACTATGCTAAGATACGAGCTTCTTAGCACATACAAATTCCTGTCCCTCACAACGCCTCCTTGTCGTCTTCTCGCCCCCGATTTCTTTTTCCCCTCCTCGCACTACATGACACATGTATACGCCCCGCCAAGGTGGTCTAGTGGCCAAGGTACTCAATTGCGGACCCGCCGGTCGCAGGATCAAATCCTGGCTGTGGGGGCTGCATATCCGATGGAGGCGGAAATGTTGTAGGCACGTGTGCTCAGATTTGGGTGCCCGTTGAAGAACCACAGGTGGTCGAAATTTCCGGAGCCCTCCACTACGGCGACTCTCATAAGCATATTGTGGTTTTGGTACGTTAAACCCCAGAAATCAATCAATGGATCAACATGACACATGTATGAATTACTTTATTGAAGCACTGTCAAGCATTGACGTGGCTTTGTTGCAGAACACCTGCCTGCCCCCAGGCAGGTGTTCTGCAAAGAAATTATTATTTATTTTTCGGTCACAGAGAACGCAGATTTTTCGCTCACAACATGATGCCGACACTGAAATTTGTGAGAAATGAGCTCACCATGGACTTGTGCGACGGTGTTTAATCTTAAGTCTAGCCTGTCACCTAATCAAATGCACCAGCACTGAATGGGTTCAACGCAGAAAATGAACCTGAGCACGACATTACAGATCAGAAGTGCTAGTGACCAAAGTACTTTGATTCAAGCATACAGTAAATAACCCCAACAGTCAGAATTTTTGGAACCCTCCACTACGGCGTCTCTCGTAATATCAAGGTTTTGGGACGTTAGACATCATAAATTTCAGTCGAACCCCTTTAAAGGAGAAATTCGTTGGAGAGCAATTCTTCCCCTCTAAACAAGGCGTCTCTTGTAAGCAAGGGTACCACGCACTCTTATCAATGCATATGTCAATGTAAGCACACTGATATCTGCTCTACCAAACTGTACCCGTTTTATCAGTGTCTATCATAAAGGGGTTCAAGTGGAATATTAAACTACTTTCAGTTGTTTCCACTCGTATCACTCGCAACAGTGCACTGCACATTCTCCTTTATGCCCCAGTCAGCACTTGCCTCGAACTCCTTTAGGAGGTTTTCCATTTCATGGACGGAGGCTTCAGGCAGGGCTACGGCAACTGGAGCGGTCCGTTGCCTCTTGCGTCGCTTCACTTCTTGGTCCGAAGCGGTCTTCGGACTCAAATCGCTGTCGACGTGCCCTTTCACCACGAGGTATTGGATAAGGGCTCTGGCCGCCAGTGCCTCAGCTTCGGATTTGTTGCGGCCACTGCCTTCATACACCAATTCCCGTGGCCACTTCACCACAACCTTAGATGTCCAGTGGGCAACGCCGTCTGAAAAGCCCGCGAAAGTAAGTTATAAGGCCTACCGTGCCGAATAGACACTACGTTGCAGGCTGCGTGAAAATCTTTAAGCTCGAAATAGGAGCGCGAGTATCCCGAATAGCTCGCGAAAACAGCGACATCCGATACCAAAACTGCAAACACAACAGTTTGTTATTATGACCATGGGCGTGCCAACTGGGTAGGGAGTAATTGCAGCCCACCTTCTCCAGCTGGTCGAGTCTAATAACATGCATCTCAATGAATAAAAAATGAAGATTGAAGCAATTACATGTTTCTCAAGATGGCCTTCCTTTTATTGCCAACTTTCCAGCACTGAAAATGAAACATCAGGAGGCTTCAGCAGCAAAAAAAGCCAGCGTGGCCATAACCTTGCTCTTTAAAGTAATGATGGTACAGACTCGTCCGTGCAAAAGTGCTTGCATCTCCTTCCAAGTAATGCTAAGCACCTACTTAAATGCATGTTGATCAGCATGCAACTCTCTGTAATAGTTGCCTTGCAAGGAGGTGATGTGAATACACATATTCAAAAAAACGTTTGCCTTGCTGCAAAGCTTCACTTTCAGGTTAAATGAACTTACCGTATTACCCTCGCATCGATTCATTATTTTTCAAGCTTAAAAGCTTGTTAAACCGTCTTATATGCCCTTAGTATAGTGAATCTTATAACATATTCTACTGGTTAATCCCTTGCATTCTACCGGGAGTCGAAACCTGCTAGTATTGAAAGTTGTTTTCATTTCTTTGAACCAAAAAGAATGGCGTTTGCACAAGCCTTTTTCGAGTTTCTGAAAAATATTGCACAGGTTGGTTGCATCACGACAAATATGCCCACTTTTCTTAATAATACATTACATATACATTACAAATTCGATTTGAAGTTATTCAACCAAAATCACTATTCGCTTCGTGTTCGCTTTAACGCTAAAATTCCCTATTCGCACAAGCCTAGTAGGACCGTATGTAGGAAATGCAGGGAAACTCACCCTGATACACATTGGAGTTGTACACGGGAATCAAGCTACTGTCATCTTTCAGTTTGCTCACGTGCGCATAAATATTGTGCAAGATGGATTTGCACCGTCCCAGCTCCCGTTTTTGAGTCCACGATTTTAGTCGTTGACTGGCTGCGGTGGAGTTCCTACAAGCAACTTCTCGTGGCCGTATGGCAACTTCTTGTGACTGTGCACCACGCAGCTGTGCAGGTGGGTACGGCGTTGGTGTGCCTGCAAAATAAAAAGAAACAAAGAAAAAAAGGCGCACGTTTAAAAATGCAGCAGAGGAAATAAAGCTTGACGTCAGTGTGACAATATCAGGGGAAAGTCATTGCTGGTATTTTTGAAGCCTGATGACAACATGCTGTCGTGAACATTTAAAAAAAAAACAGGGCAGACCTGAAGGGAACAAGAAGTTTGTAAAGCTACTCTGCGTGTCGTAAGGTGATGAGAAGATTGTAGTGTACGAGAGAAGAAGATCACGCGAGTCAGTTCCGGTTCACGACTAAGTATATGGCACATCGCGTGGACAATTAGAAGTCAGCATTTTTTTACAGCGAAAGCTCTCACAAGATTACAACAAGGGTCGCGGGCGCCGTAGTTGTCCGCCGCTGACGCCAGTGTCCGTAACCACTATCGTTGCAAAACGATAAAAAAGCTATGTAAATAAGAAACACCAAGGACACACACTGTTGCAAACTGACCATATGCAAACTTCATGCCTGTAAAGGAATCGCCCTAATATGTGTAACGAGGTGCTTTAGGACATCTAAGGAACAGACAGGTGTCACACAATGCGAATTGCATAACAAGTCGGTCGTGGAATGGTACAAACCATTACAATAGGCATAATTCTTCATCGTCCTTAGCCACAGCATAAAAATCTGCACGAAATTTCTTGCAAGTGTGTAGCAAATAGCACACTTCTCCGAAGAATGACGAAGGATGGCATAAGGAATGCCTGCCTGCCTGCTACACAATGATTAATGGTCTAGTGGGTACCCTGCGAGAGTGTTGCAGGGCACCCACTACCCAAAGACAGTTTTAAAAATGGGCTCTGAAAGGCCGCTCTTCTAGCTTTCGCTGCGACAGTGCTGCATGTTGCATGCAGGCCTGGATTTTTCTTTTTTTACTGCTGTGTTGCACACTCTCATGACGATGGGATATTCTGCCAAACAGACCCATGGTAGGCCTTCAGGAAGGCCTTCATATTTTAGAGGCTCTGGTTGCTTGCATACTTATGTAAACTCTTTTTAGCGTGCACAGAAGACAAGGACAAAAATGTCAGTCACACAAGTGCACACGTGCCTCAATCTTTCTTGTCCCCGTCTTCTGTGCGCACTAAAGAAAGTTTAAATAAATATACATACCAACTCAACCAGCTATCAGTTTTGGTGCAATCTCGTTGATTGCCTTGCTTATGAGGTTTAACATTCCAAAGCAACCCCGGCTACGAGGGAAGCCATAGTGGAGGGCTCTGGATAATATCGACCACTTGAGGGTTTTTTAACCTGCGCTGAAATCATGCAGCACACGGGCCTCTAGCATAAACTGTGGGGAAAATGAGATTTCCACAAACGGGATCAAAGCCGCATCTTTCAAGTCAGCAGCCGAGAAGTGTAACCCACCCGCCATGGTCGTCTAGCGGTTGGGGTGCTCAACTGCATACTCTAAGATCCAATCATCGAATCCCAAACCACAGCAGCCACATATTAGAAATGAAAATGCTTGAAGCCCGTCTACTTAGCTTCAGGCTCATGTTAAAGACGTGCAGAATGTCGAAATTTCCAGAGCCTTCCCCTACAGCATCCCTCATAATCCTATCAAGATTTTGGGACATACAACTGTGTATCCACATACACTGCGGTGGCAAGCGTCACAAGAAGTTGAAAGGTTTCGAACCGCTTTTTCATGTAATCATCAAAGATCTCGGTATTGGAGTTTGCAGTTTCCCGCAAATTGTTTGCCACAAGTATTTCTCGAATCCGTCGAGAACGAGCAAAGTCGCGAAGATTGGTCACACGTTTCGAGCCCCATGTTCTTTTTTTTTTTTTCTCGCCCTAACAAACTCCCCGGAAGCTACACAGGGAGTGATGGTGCTGGGGAACAGGTTATGTCAGTGCATTGCGATCTTGAGTGCGTGACAAAACAGAATCCTCCTCTCCTGTTGAGATGACCATGCAAACTAGTGCGTCATGTTAGCAGACTATGAGAGCAGCTGCGGCCCCCCATGGCAAGATGCGCACCAGATCTAAACGCTGCTCTTGGTTCATTGTTGCCTATTGACCGATAGCGTGCTACCTGTTGTGTAATGCGGAAGAGCAGGCGCTGGCAGCTCCCGCATGAAAACGGCCTCGGTGCGATACAATGACCGCTTTAAAAAGGAGCGCCTGCTAAAATGGCAATCTCGCACTCTGCTTGTGGGCTCTCTTTATTACACACAACTCCAAGATTTGCCCGACCTGTTCACAGTGTACGCTTTCTGAACAATGTGTGTTTCTTTTTCTTCAACAAGCCCTGGGAGTGCTTCAAGACCCTGTTGAGTAGAGGCTACTTATTGAAAGCGATACCATACCAGATGGAGAATTTTGAAGAAAAAAGAAAGTAAGGCTTTTTAGACTGGTCTGTTCATCAGCTCAGGTATTCTTAGCAGATTTAAATAAATGCTTACCATTGTGCTTTGGGAGGCCAACTGTGTCCTTAGTTTGAGGGGCCAACGGTGTCCCATTCTGGGCCGCATTGGGATCCAGTGAGGTGCCTTGGGAAGAGGTTGTGAAAGGACAAGGTTCCCCGGCAGCTTCTAAGGCTGGACCTTGCTTGATGGCTTCAAGAACACCCATCCTCTGCAAGCAAAAGATAGAAGGCACCACACTCTGAGATTCGGACTTCACACCTAATCAGTGATGGGAAGTGTCATGTACCGGTATAACAAATTTAGAGTGACATTTTAATGCAAGAAATATAAGAGTATAAGACCAGAGGATTTGTTCCAGGCTTGGTGCTTCCCAGTGTAAGTTTGGACGTTGCACAAGTGAAATTGCACAAGCAAAACTAAACATGTGGACAGGATGGCGCTTGCATTAGCAAGCACAGGGGACTGACATCAGACTGACATGAATGGCGCTACTTTATTTACTTCTAGAATCTTTAGCTGAAACAGGTTAGTCTCTGTATGGTTATACTGCCTTCATGTCTTCTAAGGTGTCACTTGGAAGCAGTGTTCTTGCATCGCGAGGACATGTGCAAGCTATCGATTCACCTCGACTCTAGAAGTAAATAAAGTAGCGCCATTCATGTCAGTCTGCTGGCTCCCCCTTTCCCCTGTGCTTGCTAATGCAAGCGCCATCCTGTCCGCATGTTTAGTTTCGCTTGTGCAATGGCCACTGAAGCAAATGCACGCCCCACGATGACACTGCCATACCCTTTTCCAGTGTTCCAGGAGAAGGTAAGCCTGTGTGAACAGCTTTCTGGCGGACACCACAGAGGCGCTGCTGCAGCTGCTGGGAGAGGAGGCAGAGGTGAAGGGGTGCTAACTTTTTTTCTTGGGACTTCGGCTTCAGCGTGACAACGATGTTGCTGGAACATGACAGGGCCTCTGTGCATCAATGACAAAGGAACCAGCATGCATTATACTGATCACACTAATGTCACATCCCACCACTTTGGTGCTCCGACGTAGCTGTCTCAGTGACGTCAGTGCAAGCCACCCATTCGTGAAAATGCATGAAGTAAATGTGGCACTAGTTCTGCGGCCATTTTTAGAGTGTAGAAACGCTTAGGAAATGTCGTCTTGCCATTTATAGAGTGACACTACAAAAAAATCCGCACAGATTACTGGGAAACTAAGCTTTCACTAAGGGGAAAGCCCATACCAATCTGGGATTCGAACAAAGGACCAACGCCTTTCTGCTGTGGCCACTCTGCTATCCCAGCCAAACGGGATGCTTAAACATTGCAGCGAGAGTCACCAGCCCGGAGCACGCTATTACGCTGAATAAGGCATTTTTTGTTTAGAGTTGAGCTCGTTAAACAGCACATTTGTAACGCCATGAAGCATAACTTTGATAGAGAACCTAAAAGCCAGAGCATTAGCGTGTGAGTAGTTTCTCCCTTGTGTAAAACAAGTTACTGAAATTTTCTTGTATGCAAGTACATCCTCCTGCTATTTTTGTCATCGAAAATTTTATTGAAAAGCGATTGATCGTGAAGATGAGCGTGGAAACAGCCTCACAGGAGGCACTGTCAGAGTGAACGATTACTGAAAGCTACCTATCTTAAAGGTATTCAACAAAGAGCTTGCGTGGTCGCACTGACCAACAAATTTATTCAGTAGGGATGATCGTAACATTCATCCATCTATATGTGTGACGTAGTAAGGCAGTGACTGATGGTAGAGGATGAGGAAGAAGAAGTCAGAGCGGAATAAACATGGTGTATGAGCCAGGCCACGTCTGCCAGTCATCATAGCATCACACAAGCCAACAGGATGAAGACCTGCCAGCCCCTTCATCTGTCGCTCATCGTCTACGCAGTTCTCCGCATGACACCCTGAACATACATGGACTACCGTACAAGCGCCTAGCATTACGCATCGGCCAGCATCATGTCAGAAGCATCTACTGACCTTCCCATCCCCAAGTACACTGGAGCAGCGGACGATGGACCCGTACAAGACTGGTTCGACCTGTTCGAGCTCCACGCTACCGCTGCATCTTGGTCGGAACGGGAGATGGTTACGAACTTCAGCGACTACGTCACCGGTGAGGCATTTAAATTTTACCTTACCCACATATTCGAGAACGACGAGTCTTGGCAAAAGATAAAAGAAGAAATTATCATCTGGTTTCAAGACTATAATGAAGACTCGGTTACAACCAGCCATATCGATGCATTCAAATTCAGTAATCACACTCATATGCAGCCTTGACGCATTTGAGCACAGAGCAGAAGTTTACAATTCCCGTCAGGCGAAGTCAGTCGTCTGTTCATAAAGACATCCCAGCCGTTTTTCTACAATGCCCAACCTTCCACCTGGTTTCCCATCTGCACAAATATCGCCAATGCTAACCTATTCAATACAATTCACAAATCAAGACAATATTCAAGCACCCAATGTACTTGACTCTTCATCTTGCTTACCTAAGCCACCACCTGGTTTTGTGCCAAGTAGCTCGTCACTCTCATCGCACCCCTCAAGATATCGCCACATACGCAACAGACCACCTGAAATATCGGCCAAATAACTTGTAAAGCCCCTGCCATTCCGAAAGCGGTTGTACTTCAGGAACGCTTGGCTAAATTCTCCCGCAAAGAAACAAACATACGGAATCGGAACCATGTCAAGCCATGTTTGCGGCGATATGCTCAGGAACCGGACCAATCAAAATTCGAAACAGTTCGGAGTCACCATTCAATGCAAGTTTCGTCAACAAAAACGAAAAGGTATCTACTGCTTTCCTTGACACAAATCATGCTTGCATCCCACTCGTAAATGATGCTGGGACTACCGACAGTGTCTCCTCATTCAACGACGATTATCACCCGCGATTTCCTCAGAACCATCACCAAACCAATAAAATACGACGACGAATGAAAACTTCAACGGAAGCACACTCACAACTTGAACAACTTAAAAAATTAAGTATTTTGATCCAAGGGCCATTTTAAGAAGTAGGACGTTTCCGGATGAAGGAACATTGCCACAGACACTCTCTCCGCTTGCGGTTACACAAATGACAACACCACGGAAAACGCCCAGAAAGACACGGAAGCACTTCTTGCGCGCCGCTAGCACACAGGCATCTAGCCGTCACCATCTCTCAAAATGCACGCATTCTAGATACAATGCATCTGTCGCAGCCACGACTCAGAATCCAACGCATGAGACATCCAACCTTCCAACGCTACAAGGACTCCCAACCTTGTTCATTTTTCGCTACTATCCAAGCTGTGTCATCATCATTTCCCACGTCGAATGCATGGTTATGCTCTCCAGAACGCAACAGCCAACCTCGCCCACCTGAGGTCTCCTAGATGTCCCTGGACTGCCTTTCCTGTGAACGTTCTTGTGCAAGGGCATGGAACTGCCGTGTTGCATAGAACTACTCCATTTTGTGATATTTTTTTTTTTATGATAAGACACCACTTGTTCATGCTTCATAGTTTGTAGCTCACGCATTCTTTCAGGGGGAGGGGGAATCCTGTGACGTAGTAAGGCAGTGACTGATGGTAGAGGATGAGGAAGAAGAAGTCAGAGCGGAATAAACATAGCGTATGAGCCACGCCACGTCTCCCAGTCATCATAGCGTCACACAGGTATTTGACTGCCAACGTCTTGCGTGCATTACTGTACTTGTGCACAGTTTAATCTATTAAACTTTTTTGGGGAATAGGAATCGTTTTTTTTTTTTCTTCACTCGCAAAGTTAGAAGCTCGGTTATTAACATTGCAAAATTAGCAAAAAAGTCATTAATTTTGTGATGAACCCTTATGGCTAAGGGAGATGCAGTACGCCACGGCGCACGATCGACGTGGAAGTATACGTAGCAACCGCAGTCTTGAGAAAAAAATGCGAGCAACCAACAGGACGCTCCAAATGCACAGTTTTCCTTTTAAAGCGTAGCACGTTAACAAGTTCCTACCTGTAGCAGGGTGCACATGCGAGCACTCGCCATGTTGATAGCATCCTCCTTAGATGATGTTATCGCATCAACCGACAATTTCCTGGGCCACTTCACCGAAACTTCTGCTTTCCATTGCTGCTGGCCATCTGCGAAAAGGACATCAGATCCCAGAGAACGATTGCATCAAGGGCGTGTGCGAAATTCCCACGCGCGCGTCAGTCAAACGGCTGACGAAAGCCGTCGAATAGCACCTCAAGATATGCGCGGAATAACCGATAAAATCGCTCAAAAAAATTGGCACCCGAGTGCTGCTGCCGAGGCTTTCCATCGCGAATTTCCAATGCTCACCCAATACGACCTTGCAAATCGAAAGACAGTGGCCGGATCCGCAGTGTTTCGTCATCAGGTGATCCAAGGAAGCCAGGGTATCGGTCGGATCCATGGCGACTGGAAGAAGAAGATTAATCAAACCGTTCCATCAGTGGCCCCGAAACAGCTGCACAAAATTCGTACCGGTGTTATCGCCCTGCTGTAGCTCGACGTCTCCCGTACTAATCAGCGCATCGCCTGAGCTAAGCGCCGTGCTCTCTTTGCGTAGGATCCTCGGACCTCTCGAACAGTGCCTACTGCCAACCTGCACTGACCTCATGGCGCATGATCGCAGTCGAACTAACCTCGCGACCGTAAAATTCATTCTAAAAGATGACAAGCGCGCGCCCGCGAGCGCACCAGCACAGCTACCACGCGCCAGAGCACGTTTTTTTCCCCCGACAGCGCTTGTCACGTGACCATAATAACACAGACCACCTATACCAACGCCTCCTAGATCTAGGAGGCATTGCCTATACACCACCATGATAATACTACCTTTCGTACCAAATATATTCTTACTAAACATTAAAACGTGATTATTGATTGTACTTTACAAGTTTTTGCGCCATCTAGGATTTAAAAATTTAACTATGTATTGTTTAAAAATTTACATTTTTTTGAAAGTTATAAGTTGTACACAAAACGCTAGATAACTCGTAAACTCTTATGTAAGTTGATGGTGGTGCGTAAATGTGATTGATGTTTGTGTGAAGTGTAGGCTAAAGCCTGGTTAACGCGCCATCAGCTAACGACAAATCAAAACGCTAGTTTCGCGTACTAACCCGTTGCTTTATATCGCTCTAGACCAGGCTGAGAGAGTGAATTGTGGTTAATGAGCTCGTTCGCTGGTCACATAGAGTTTCATTTCAAACTGGTCATCAGCGCAGGAACTTGTTTTTTCAGCTTACTTCTCTTATATCGAACCTTCAGAAGACTGCTTTAGGTAGTGCGTAGTTACTTATATTTATTGCCCAAAGATAGCGTGATGATCGGCTGATTCTCGAGATCTTGTCCAATCAACTTACGCGATTTGTAAGCATGTGGGTTTTCGCAGGCTTGCGTGAATCGTGATGCAGTGGTACGGTACCTAGAATGTCCAGTATTCTAGGGAACATAGGAGTAGTGTGTGTTGTGTTCCCAAGTGTTGAATGGTCGAAGCGCCAACAGTGTTTCATTCATTCGCCGTCAACGAATGGTTCGCGCGAACGGCGTGCTCGCTCTGGCGCGTGGAAATTCGCTCACGTTTTCGGTCCCGTAAGCGTCGAGTAACAACCCTCGTTCGCGCAGTACTTTAAAAGAAGTTGTAAATTGTGCTGCGTGGGATTGCGCAAGTTGGGAGCCAGCTAGCATCTACGGCTGACTCACAGATCCCAGCGCCCCCATCCAAAATTGTCCATTAAGGAGAGCAAGATGGCGGAGGGCGGTGTGGAAGGTGTCCTATGTAGGCAAGTAAACATGCTTCACAATTTGTATTTCGCGATAATAGCCGCCCGGATACAAAACGTGGCGATAATAACACCGCTGTGCAAAGCCTGCACAAGCGTTGTTGTCAGTTGGCCCCGGCAGAGTGCTTTTTGAAGCCTAGTCCTTGTCCCAAGTGTAAAGTGTGTTACCGTGCAAGATGCAGCAGTGAAAGGTAGCGTTTCGTAATGTTCCTAATCTAATTGAGCGCCTGGTAACATTTAGTCCGGGTAGCCTAGTACAGCGGTGAGCCGTTGTTCTCTGCTAACTGAACTTGTTAACGTCGATAAACACGTTACGTAACTATGTAGGTTACCCTACTACGGTGCCACTAAGCGGAAGAGCGCGTACCAAAAAAAGTAACAAAGCAAGTTCTACGTGTTCGTCCGTGGACCGTTGTCGCCGATACAGCCACCGGCTAGCGAAAAACACGGTGACTTTTGTTCGTGGCTAGTATTTTAGTTTTGTTGCGCGTGCTGCCAAAGCTTCCCAGATTTGCATCGTTCGGGCAAGAAATGGTGACACGACAGCACCGCGCGGGACTGTTCTGCCATTCAAATAGTAGGGCGTTTTAGAATACCGTTCGCAACTGCTGCGGACGAAGCGGGCGCCATATGAGTTTTAGAATAGCGTTTGCCCTGCTGCAAACCGCGACGCACGATCGCAGTGACACCGTAGCATCGAAACCAGCGTTTGCGGGCCGCGATCGCCGCACGCTATTTCGGTTTTCTGCGCACGGAACGCGAACGCCGACTCGCGTTACGACGCATGCGCAGTGGCAGTGTCCTCACCGCAAGGGCTCGTGGTGCGCCATTCTAATACCCCTTTCGCACGTGGCAACTTAAGTGCACTTTGAGCGAGTGTGTACTTGCGCTCACGAAGTGTCATTTTGGCGGTTCGCTGCTACACGAGAAAGTGAAGTGTACTTAGGAAATGGTGGCAGTGGCGATTGACGGATTTGTAGCACAACAGGGGATTTATTTTTGCGCCTGTGTCGCATCTTCGGACCACGTTGTCTTCGTGGAGGTAGCACCTGTGGCACATGCCATCTTGAATGAATAGAGAACAACTCGCCTATGCATGTGCAAGTGTACTGGAAGTAAACAACGCGACGGACGCGGCCGAAAAACAGCCCGACGGTTAATGTAGCGAGGTTATTGTTGTATTTTATGACTTCTTTATACATAACAATATCCATCATAACAAAAACAATGATTTAAACATATGAGCGCCGCTTTAGGCAACAGCCTCTTTCTGTACAAGCCACTGGTACCGAGGCTATACACTTCATCGCAGCCGTCGCAGTGAAGTGCGGTTGGGGAACGTACCTGCTCTAAGCGCACTTAAGTTGCCACGTGTGACAGGGGTATAAAACTCCCTACTAGTCCCGAATGGTTATCTCTAGTCGCTGCCGCACTGGCCTGTTTCTGTACTTTGATTCAGGCAACTGTTGGAAATGAACTAAATGTCTTGTATATCTCATTAAGAAGCATCGAAGCATAAAAGCCTCAAGTACAACAGACAAAATAGAGTTGATAGAGCTTTCGAAGTTGATTAATAAGCGTAAGGCATCCGATGTAAGAAGGTATAGCATGGAGAGAATTGAACACGCCCTGAAGAACGAAGGAAGCGTCAAAGCAGTGAAGAGAATACTTGGAATAGGCAAAAACCAGATGTGTGCACTTAGGGACAAGGAAGCCAAAGTAACTACCACTATGGATAGAATAGTAAAATTAGCGGAGGAGTTTTACAGTACAGTAGCCAGGACAACCACGACCTTAATAATACAAAACTAGCAGTAACCCAGATGACACCCAACCAGTACTCATAGAAGAAGTCAAAAAAGCCTTGGAGAGCATGCTAAGAGGCAAAGCTGCTGGTTAGGATCAGGTAACATCAGATCTGCTGAAAGATCGAGGACAGATTGTGTTAAAAAAACTAGCGACTCTGTTTACGAGGTGCCTTCTGACGGGAAAGGTGCCAGAATCTTGGAAGAATGTGAACATCATCCTAATGCATAAAAAAGGAGATGACGAGGACTTGAAGAACTACAGGGCGATCAGCTTGCTTTCTGTAGTATACAAGCTATTTACAAAGGTAATTGCTAACAGAGTAAAGAAAACATTAGAATTCAATCAACCAAAGGAACAAGCATGATTTCGAACAGGCTACTCAACAATCGACCACATTCATACTATCAATCAGGTAATAGAGAAATGATCAGAATATAGCCAACCACTATACATAGCCTTCATAGATTATGAGAAGGCGTTTGACTCTGTAGAAATATCAGCACTCATGCAGACACTTCGAAATAAGGGCGTCGACAAAGCATATAAAAACAGCCTGGAAGAAATCTACAGGGGAGCAACAGAGTACCAATCAAAAAGGGTGTAAGGCAGGGGGACACAATCTCCCCAATGCTATTTACTGCGTGCTTATAGGATGTTTTCAGAGGCTTAAAATGCGAATACTTAGGCATAAGAGTTAATGGGAGTACCTTAGTAACCTGCACTTCGTCGATGACATCGCATTGCTGAGTAATTCAGGGGACGATTTGCAACTCATGATCACGGAGTTAGACAATGAGAGCAGAAAAGTAGGTCTTAAAATTAATCTGCAGAAAATGAAAGTAATGTACAACAACTTCGGAAAAGAGCAGCGCTTCCAGATAGGTAATAGTGCACTTCAAGTTGTAAAAGACTGTCTACCTAGGGCTGGTAATAACCGCGGAGCTGAACCACGACACTGAAGTAACTAGAAGAATTAGAATTGGGTGGAGCACATTTGGCAAGCACTCTCAAATCGTGACAGGTAGATTGCCCCTATCCCTCAAGAGAAAGGTATATAACAGCTGTATCTTGCCAGTACTTAGCTGCAGAGCAGAAACCTGGAGACTTACTAAGAGGGTTCAGCTTAAATTGAGGACGATGCAGCGAGCAATTGAAAAGAAAATGTTAGGTTTAGCCTTAAAGGGCCACTCACCAGGCCCCATAACGAATTTTAGTTAGACAGTGGAAGTTGTTGGGTGTCCGATGAAGAACATTTTGCCACAAAAATGTTTCGAATCGTTTGATCACGAGCGGAGAAAACAGGTTTTTTGAAGTGGTGCGAAACGAGGATGAGAGGAGGCGAGCTCGAAACTTTTGCCGCTCCTCCGCATAGCTTTCGCAAGCCAAATCTCTTTTCCTCTGCCTCAGGCACTCGACCAAGAGGTCACTTGCGTATGACGTGCCCAAACAAGCCCAACCCCCAATCATGCGTGTGGCATTACTTTGTTGACCAGCGTTATTTTGTGGTCTTCTGTCTGTTTCTGCGGGATGGTTTGGAAACGCTGGCTTAGACGTGGTAGAATAGACGAGCACAATGAGTGCGCAAACGCGTAGGAGCACTCCATTCGCTTCTACGGCTGTCGTCTGCTCGATGCGCTGACCGTGGGGACGCGAACGCATGTGAAACGCTGGCACATTAGCCTCGCATTTCGTAGCATTTCACGGGAAAAAATGAAAAGAAAACGCGCGCAATTTGTATTGCGTCTCAATATTTATTTCAAGTTTTATTATTCCCTTAAACCAACAAAGACATTAACTACACATGTTGATTCAAATAATTTTTGCCCTGTCACGTGGTATACTGCTGAGAACGTCGAAGCAGAGTCGTGTACGCAGAGGACCAACGTCACTGCATTGCCGTGTACGTAGGGCCATTCATACGCCCACGTCATGCCCTCATTCTCTAGGCGTGCGCCGGCAGAGGGGAGGGAAGCAGCGTTCATCTTGAAATTTTACCCATTTTCGCAGCGTGTAACGTTGCAAATTTTGGCAGACATGATCATGAACGCCTCATCTACGCATTGCGCTTGTCAGCTCAAAGTTGTCAAACCTGGTGAGTGGCCCTTTAAGAGACAAGAAGAGAGCAGAGTGTATTAGGGAACAAACTGGGAGTAAGGATATTATAGTTGAAATCAAGAAGAGGAAATGGACATGGGCGGGGGCATGTAGCACATAGGCACGATAACCCCTAGTCATTAACCGGATTACTAGAGAAGGCAAGCGGGTTAGGGGGCGACAGAAGTTTAGACGAGCAGATGAAAATAAGAAGTTTGTGGGTATAAATTGGCAGCAGCAAGCAGAGGACCGAGTTGACTGGCGGAACATGGGAGAGGCCTTTGTCCTGCAGTAGACGTAGTCAGGCTGATGATGATATATATCTATATTTTTCATCGTTAACCACCGCATCAGCTACTGCAAGCTTATCGAATGAGCACTCATCTTTTGCTTGGGGCTTCTGAGGTTGTGTCGGTCTTCCAATTTTATGAATAACTACCTCGGTTTGTAATTTCCTTTGTCGTCTTTTCTTTTGGTACCGTCTGTTGAGAGTTCGCGTTTAGTGTGTTAGGCTGGCTAGCTGGTTTAAGCTAAACATTCCTTGCCGCTTCGTGTGGTTGTCTATCTCGTCTACAATACTTGTTCGCTAAGCTTTTACCGTTTGCGCAGTGTCGGCTTGACTGGAACGCGCTTTTGCTATCCTTTTCAGTTTGAGATATGATGCCGCATCAATGTGGCGCTCGGAAACAGGTGAAAGTTTCCGATGAGCATGCCTGGGCTATTTTATGTAAGCTTATATGTAGTAGCTGGACATTTAGGCCTCTTATGTCCGCCTGTTGTGCGTTCAGATTAATTGTGATCGGTAACTTGACGAAACCCTACAGACGCAGGAGTACGAAAACGCCGCCGCAATGGCTTAGAGACCATGTCACGGTGTGTTGCCAAGCGCAAGGATGCGTCTCGATGGGGACGTAAAAACTGTGTTAGGTTTATTCAGATGCAAATCACAGAATTCTAGGTGTTCACAGAGACCCACTGCAATTGCTTGCTTTGTAATGATATTGTGGTTTTGGCATGCAAAGCCTCAGAATTCATTAATATGTAACGTGAAGGCAGCTAGTAATGTCACGCTGCCTAAACTTGTCACCTAGTATGTGGATACGTTTCTCCGTTATGTTGTTAAAAATTCTTAGCTTGCACGCCCCATGCTGCTCTCATTTTCATGTCCCACACTTTTGGAACATCCGTATGTGCAAAAAACGTGATCCAGGGACTGTGATCATACTATTGAATTAAAACTTTGCAATTTCTGTGGCTTGTCCTGGAAGACTTGACTCCTTGCTGTAACATCATAAAAAGCTCATTCGTGTAGTAGGCCAAATTTCTTTTGTTGATCCTAAATACATTTTGTTCATTCTCACACAACTCGTGAAAATGGGTTGAAACAAAAGCCGTAAGAAAGGGTTTTAAAGTGTTACGAGGCCTCTCAACAGCTTTGGCAACTGGCAGCACAGTGCAAGTGGAACAGCAGTTATAAGATTCAACTTTTTTTTTTCATTTTTGTGTGTACTTGTTTTCCGAAGTACCTTTGCGGTGTCTTATGCTGTTACAACTTCATAAAGAAAGGGAATTTTTTTTTGTGAATTTTGAAAGCAGCGAATAAAAATCAGCCATGTCTTTCATTTGATGTTTGCATGTTTAAAGGAGCCACAAAATCTAGTTTCACTTCTGTGTCACTTTGCAATGGACAGTTAGCTGCTTTGCCAAGATGAAAAAAAAAATCTCGAGAGAAGTACCGAGAATCTTTTTAGGCTGCAAACGAGACCGTTGTCACCCTGTGCATTGTTGAACAAACCGGAACAAGAACACTGTTAAGCAAGAGTTTAAACTTGAAATTCTACTGCATTGATACTGCTTGCCAAAGAAAGAGAAGTAATGCGAAGGCTAAACTTGAACATCTGGCTCTTCAGCATGATCTCCGAGACGGGGAATTGGGCAATTTTTGTTAGGACACATTGAAAATTGAAAAAGTTTTCGCGCTTCGGAACACCTTGGAGATCGAAGTGCTTGTGCACCATATCGAAAGCTCTACTTTTGAACGCGAGCTGTTGTGCGCTGCTTAGTGACTTTTGTGCAGCCTCACAGTGCGATGCACCTGTTTTTGAACTAACGGTGCTGCTTGGTGGCTTGGCTGAAGTTTGTCATCTATTACTGACAGTGCATCACGGTTCCACAAAATCTGTGTTGTTATTCCGCTAGTTCCATCGTTGTATGATGGGAGCGATCGGTTCTCGCCTCATTTGATGCTAATACAAATGGTGGCAACAGAGTTTACCCTACAGATGGTACGTTAGATGCAAGGCTGTAAAATCCATGCTACAGATGGTACATTAGATGCAAGGCTGTAAAATCCATGCGAAAAGTTTGGTCGGCAGGATGTGTACGTCTGCATGTCTGGCGTTTGACATTTTGCTGTCGTAAATGTGGCGTCCACGGTGGACTGGCTATGGCTGCTCACCACTGCAAGTAATCGTGAAGGTCGCATTACAAAACAAAGCGAGCCAGAGCAAACCATACACAACCGTATAAATAATGTTTCAAGTTGAGGTTTTGACAGTAGTCTGTCTGGTCGGGAAGCAACACGATCGAATTAAAAGGTCACTGACTATTAAAAAGTGCAAAAAAAGACGTTTCGGCTCCCCTGATGGGAGCCTTGTTTACAATGAAAGCGAGGACGAGTGAAGTAATTACAGCACATTTTGAAGCCCTTATAAACATGGCTTCATCAGGGAAGACGAAGCGTCTTTTTCGGGCTTTTTCGTGGTCAGTGTCCTTCTTTTGATTCCATCAAATAATGTTGGTTAGTTTGAAAGCACAAAGCATAATCATTTATTCCTGTCTAAAAATTTTAAAAAGAGATCACATTACGTGTGGTAAAATCGTTCAACTATTTAATGTGAACGGATCAACTGCAAAAAAGTCCCTCTAGCTTCGATAGCATTGTAATGATGTATGAAACTTTGTCTAGAGTACATTTATATCTCTGCTGTTACAAGGAATGTTGTAGATAATGAGCTAATTTGATAGTACTGATGCTACATATTTGTATTAAGGTTTAACTGCACAAACCTTGCTTCTTTTTCGTTGTTGCAGATATTTTTTAAGTGGCGTGTGCAGGGATGGGCAGCGGTGCCTCTTTTCGCACGACCGTGCAAATGGTCGAGTTGACAATGTGTGCCGCTATTACCTTAAAGGCGAATGCATCTACGGAGCACGATGCAGGTGAGTCATTCGTTTTGAGGATCTGAGCCCATTTTAGACTGTGCAAGAAAACCTTGCTAACCTTTTGTTTTAGTTTAACTTACTTCCAACAAGCATGTTTACACGTTTGAGGTATGTGGTAGTAAAAACCACTAGAAAACAACTTGACAAAAGTGTGAGCTTAGGCTTGTTGGGGACGCATGATTGTTCACGTAACATGGAAATTCTGCTCGGGACAAGAAGAGGGACAAGTATAAGCTCTAAGCTTCAATAAAAAAAAAAAGAAAAAAAAACCCTGCAAGTTAGAGCTCGTCTTCGTCTCTTCTCCTGTCTTGTCAAATTTTTGGGCTACATGAGCAGCAGTCAAGCTTGACAAAGGTCCCGTACTCCATGGTGTATATGGCAATGCAAGGCAGAAAAACTGAGTACACTGATCGGACAACACAGTTACAGTACTCATAATCTTTGCCCGTAGAAACTCCTCGTTTTTGAAAACTTGTCTCAGTATATCCACCTCTCTTTGCTCCTCCTGCAATTTGTAAGGGGCTTCTTCTGGTGTCCAGGCTGTGCCGAACTTTCTCTTGTTCTACTGTGCACCGGTTCGCACTGACTTATACGTAGACCTTTGTTGGGGGCCATAACTGATCGCTAAAGTTGGCTATATATGGCTGCGTGATTGTCAGTGCTGGCGCAATGATAAGTCACTAGTGATCACTAACGTTCACTGCAGTAGACTCTCAAGTGAATGCAAATCTGATAAATGGAAAAGATGCTTAAATGGAGCAACTCTCTTTGATATGATTGATTTAGTACTTGTGTTCAGTACCCCTGTTCATCTCTCAGTTAACAGAACTCCTGTTAAATGGAACGTATTTTTCTGGTCCCTTCAGCTTAACGAGTTTACTGTACAGTGGTGGTCAAAATTTTGCGAACCACGGGAGCACGTGTCATACAGCACCGCGGCACAGTCTGAAGGCGGCCTGCAAAGCTCGAGAGCGCAAACTGCAAATGCACTCTCTTTTTTATGTATCAGCCTAGCGTGTACCGGAACGCCAGAAGAAGCGCAAGGTGTCATTTCTGCTTTCGCCATGGAAACACCGAGCAATGATATCATGGCAAAAAGATGTAATTTGCACTGGCAGTGCTCGGTGCACGCCTCATTTTGCGCCTTAGTCCCAGACGCTCTGCGGTGCCAAGAGCATACATGCGGTGTCAGTTTTTCGAAAATAGACGTCAATAATAAGGATACTGAACAGATTTCATTCGTGGAAGATATGCACGCTGGAATTTCTCGTGGTGTTCTGCGTGTCTCCCGTAGCGCCTGGGACTAAAAAGCAGAATGCGGCGCACACCAAGCACTGCCAGTACAAATTACCGTCCTTTCATCACATCATCGCTCGGTGTTCTTGCACGACAGCAAAAGTGACACGTTACGATTCTTCTGGCGCTACGGTGCGGCCGCTATTAGAGAGCTTTAGTTTAGCGTACGCGACAGCGGACACATGGACTGCGCGTAAGCGTGAGCACTTTCGTCTTGGAGTGCTACTTGGCGCCACCTAGTGACGAGGCAATAAACAGCAATAGCCAACCATAGTTGACACGAGTCAAGACATGAGACATGAAGCATCAAACATTCCGGGCGTCGAAAGGCATCCCCGTCAGCTTCTGTATTTTCACAGCGATAACTGTTAATTGCACGGGGTCCATGAACGAATTTAAGCTCCTCACAAAAACAAGGAGCTCTAAATCGACGGCAAATGTAAAATGCACGCGGGATTTACTCGCAGCCATGACCGCACTGCTGCTTGTGGTGCTGTTGGTCATGGCCATCTTGGTTGTCGTGCTCTCACCAGGGGGAGATCTCGCGAGAGCCACTGCTAAGGTACCCAACGGCTCTAGCGTGCGCAACGCAAGAGCCCAGATCTTTTGTACGCATTTCTCGTGTGCGCAAACGCACGCATCTCTCTTACGTACAGCGCATGCACAGCCGTGCTCCCTCTCTTGGGCGATGGGTGCACTAAACTAAAACTTACTGTTAAGGAGAGCGAGCGAGCTGGCTGACACGTAAAAAATGGAGCGCGTGCGCAGTCCGCGCTCTCGAGCTTCGCAGGCAGCCGTCAGACTGCGCTGCGGTGCTGTTTTGCACGCGCTCCCGTGGATCCCCAAAATTTTAACCTCCACTTTACATAAAGAGGTCTGATTCTGTATGATTGTCAATAGGCTATTTAATTTTGTATGATTGTCAGTGCTGGCTCAGTCATTGATCATGAGTGATCATTAGAGCAGGCTGCATAATGCTGTGTGATCGTCAATGCTGACTCGAAGTAAGAGCTGAACTAATTTCTATGTATTCATGCTGGAAGACTGTGTGTGCAAACGTGGACACGAGGGAGAAGTAGACACTGTAAACACTAGCATTTGTGGGTGCTTGACTTTTCTGGTGTGCAAAAAGCACCTATGGGTCATGGGTGAGTGCTTGAATCGGCTATGTAAGGCTGTACAATTGTCAGCACTGGCTCAATGTTGAACGATGACTGCTTTTATTTCAGAGAATTTACGTCATTGGCTCTCTCTCCCTCTCTCAGGTATGACCACATCCGGACCAAACCCCGGACCGACAACGGTGCGTGGTCTGGGAGGCCTAGTCGCGGCACAAACCAAGGCAGCCGGTCACAGTTAAGCACGGCCGAAGGGACAACGCCGGCCTGCTCGTCGTCAGTCAACCGCACTCCACACACAGGTTAGTTCTTCCGTGCGATTCCAAGAACTGCGGGGTGTGAAAATGGATGGGTTTGGCCATTTAAATAAAGTGAAAGGAAAAGAATGGCAGTGCACTTCAAACTTGAATTCAGTCGGAACTACTGTGGGCATACGGAGTCATTATGTTGGTTAATTGGTTATGGCAGCTGTCTCACTGCCTCGGTGTGGGGCCACAGTATAACTTTAAAAATGGCTCCACAAGGAGGAAGAATGAAAAGTTAGAAGTGTGGTGTTGACTAGTACTTTACGAAAAGTGACTCTTAGAACCAAATGAATAGCCCAGGAATAAATTCAATATCAAATATTTTTTAATGCTAAACAGCTTTTATTTATAGGTACTATATAATGATTGCCACGTTAAGAATTTCCGAGTGCGAACTACGACAGGGACAAAAAGTGAGAGGATGACGGCAGTGCTACTATCAACTGGTAGTAGCTCTGTTATCACATAATAGTATTCATATTTTAGCATTGGCCTTTGAGATAACCAGAATCTCCACATGCACAGAGCTCTTTAGGGGGTGCGAATCACCATTGTAAAGCTGGTAAAGCCCTACTCCCCAAGTGACGTAGTGTGCTGCGTTATGTAAGCTCTGACATTGCATGCATAGAATATATCCTCTGCCTACGGGCATGAATTTTGTTTTACTCGTGCACCGATGTTAAAACAAATCTGTAAAAAATTTGTTAACTAATATAATGCCAATTGACTTCATTACTGACTTGAAGCATCACGCAGACGCTTAGCTTGTACCTTTAATACCTGTGTTGCAGCTCATTATTTGTAAAACTTCAGAATGTGGCAAAGGGCCTTCCAGGCACACATTCTTGCTGAGCATAGCTAATGAGTAATTACCAACGGTAGTGAGATGCACATTTTTGTCACTTCCTGTTCGCTGTGTTCTAGCAGACACACTTGTTTCACTTGCACATTGCCCCGTATGTGGCATCGCACTTTGAACGCATGCAGATGCCTGCATCCTCTGTGTGGACATCAACCCTTTCTCATGACAAGCGCCCAGTCTTTTGTTGCGAAATGCATCTCCGAAGCACCAAGTGTGCAGCTTTTAATTCTGAAATCACCTTCCCGTTATGGATGTCGAAAGTCTTAGGAAGGTTAAACTACAATCTTTTTCGCTTTGACCCTCTGTTCTGGCGTGGCGTTTGCATGCTTCGCGGTGCACGCATGTTCTTATGGTCAGTCGTTTAGCTCGAAATCGCAGTCAGTCGTAAAGCCTGTTTGTTACGGCGAAATGAACTCGTTATAGTTTGGTCTTTTCGCATCTTCTTGTGCCCAATCTTCTTGCTGTTTTTCCGAAATTTTCTAGGTACCAACAAGCTGGCTTTACACTACATTCAAACCTCGTTATAACAGTCTCAAGTTGCACAAAAATCGGTTCATTATGTCAAAAATTTGTTATAAAAGTATACTTCTAACGCTATACTTGTTACAAAACTGTTTTTCATTTACTTCGTTTTAACCGATATTTGCTATATCCAGGTTCATTATATCGAGGTTTGAGTGTTTATCAGTTCACAGCAAGAATGCTGCCAAGTCTGCGTGCACCAAGCATTGTGATATAACTCCTCTACAGCCAGTTGTTTTGTTCATGGAGGTCATGCTTCGCCTACAGGTAACGAGCCAGAAGGGGGTAGTCACACAGGAGCAACAATGTACGACATTTTAAGAAATTGTCGATCAGACAGGAATATTGCTAGAGCCAATTTTAGCGAGAGGACGTATTTTTTTTTAGTATTCTCGCCAAAATGTCGGCTTCGGTGACATGTTTCTATGTTCGACCGTTTCTCATCACTTCTTCCTCCTCGGGGACTTCTGTCTCGTTTGAATGAGACGTTTCATCGCCAGCTCTGGCTCAGTTACTTGTCTGCTGGGATTCCGCATTGGCCTTTACTTGCAGTATCGTCATAGAGAGGTAATAGAGCAAGCCGTAGGGAGTGTCAAAGCGTCGTGGTGCCGTGCTTCAGGGTGATCGTCTTTCTGTGCTTCTATGTTGCGATGCAGGACAGTTTAATTTTGAAGAAACGACGGTCGTGACGTAACAAGCGTTTCTCGCCGCTCTTTCTTGCTTCCGTTCAAATTCATGAATCTTTCCTCATTAGCATTAGCCTTGATAAAGCATAGTAGTATTCACAAGCACTAAAAAAAAAAATCAGAAAATCTGTTTGAAAAGACAAATAGTATCATCAAGATTGAAAAGCTAGTTTTTTGCTGACCATCTCAAGAAGAATGTTTCAAAGCACTGGTGTGCCATAGAAAACATACTTTGTTAGATGTCACCTTTGTTTCATGTCAAAAACGAAACTTTGCATGATAAGCTTTGAGCTTTATCTATTGCAAAGTACCCTTGAGAGAACCCCTATCTCATCTCAAGGCAACATGATGGTGATTGCAAAGCCTACTGTAGGTCACTGTCTGCTGAAATGAGCCATCAGTTTCCGCGCCCGTCTAGTCCAATAGGCTCCTGAACAGCACTTAACGGTTTATACGATTACGTGATTTAGAGACAGTTTTGTTGGATTATGCTTACATATTCGGTGACAGAATATACTTTTTGGCGGTTGCTGCAGCAGTGCAGAAAAGTTGTACAGTCAACTGCCGATTTTTCGGACCCTCTAGGGAGTGAAAAACCGTCCGAATATTCGGGCAGTCCGAAAAAATGAATGCAAGCAAAAAAAACTCATTATTTTACTGATAATTTTCAATGCAAGCAAAAAAAATGCACCATTTTGCTAATATTTCTCAATGCAAGCAAAAAACGCACCATTTCATTGATATATCTCGGATTAAGAGGGTCAAGGTCAAAGTACCAGACTTCCCTAACTCTGCTAAAGCATCAATGGGGTGGCTCTGAAAAGAGCCGTTAAAAAAAATGCATGCAGCCGACAACAGGTGCCGTCAGGGCAGCTGGTGTTAGAGCTGCAGTGGCTTGAAAAACTTGATGATCCTTGTTTAAACGGTGTTCCGCTTGCATGTGATCACATTCGCCTCGATCTGAGGAAGGGTCATGTCATCACTGTACACCGATGACAGCGTCATCAATGCTCGCATCAATTCAGCGGTCGCAGGTGGCGCAGGCGTTGGTTCCTCTTTTTCGACATCGGATTCGTCTGAATCCGCCATAACCTCACTGACTATTTCGTCGTCGGTTAGCTCTGCGCAGAAGTCCATCTCGTTGTCAGTGTCGACGAACTGCTCAAAAGTTACTTCCGTGGCATGGAAGCACCAGCAGAGCGGAGGTCGTTGATAATATCGTCCATGAGAGGGCACAAGTCAGTCACGCTGTCGCTTTCTCAGGCAAGTCTGCTGCCTCTGTGTCGAGTACGAAGCCCGCGTGGCGAAAGCAGTTGCGAAGAGTGTCTTGCGTTACTGCCTTCCATGCGTCCGCAAGCATTCCGACAGCAGACCGAAGGTCAACGCTGTAGCCTTTCCGTTTTCCGAGCACAAGCAGCACCATGTGGTTGAGTATACGTGAACGGTACAAAAGTTTCAGATTACGGATAACGCCTTCGTCCATCGGTTGGAGGATCGCAGTCGTGTTGGGCAGCATGAATTCCAGCTGGATAGCCTTCAAGTTATTGATGTGACCATGAGCAGCACAGTTGTCAATGAAGAGCAGAACGCGTCTGTTCTGTTGTTCAAACTTCCTGTCCAACCTGCGGACGTAACTCTCGAACAACTGCTGCGTTATCGATGCCTTTTTGTTGGCTCCATATAACACTGGCAGCGTCGCCCCTTTAAAACACCTCGGGTTCTTGGACTTCCCGATTACTAACAAAGGAAGCTTCTCGCTGCCAGACATGTTGCTGCCGACAAGAACGGTCAGCCGTTCTTTGCTATGCTTGCCACCATGGCATGCGTCACCAGCAAAAGCGAGTGTTCTTTCTGGCAGCAGCTTGTAAAACAAGCCAGTTTCGTCGCAGTTGAAAATTTTGTCAGCAGAGAACTGCTGCAACAAAGACAGTTTTCCACTGCGGTACTGCGCAGTAACTGCACTGTCGACGGCGCCGCTTTCGCCACACATCTTCTTGAACTTGAGGGCATTCCAATGCTTAAAGTTTCTCAGCCATCCATCACTGAACTTAAAATCCGTGATGTCTATTCGCAGCCAGAGACTGGCAACCGCTTGGCAATCATTGAATTAAGCCACACAATGAGTGCGTTCTCAAGCTTTGGGTGAACACCTTGACTTGCATTCATCTTTTGGGCACCAGACGGTTTGTCGGCCGCTTCCAAGATCTTGTCTTTGTTCCTCAAGAAATCGGAAACTGTTTGCTTGGAAATGCCGTACTCCTTGCTCACGTCAGCCTGCGATCGGCCACTCTTCACTAACTTAATAATGGCGGCTTTCTTCTCCATCGTTAACCGACGGTACTGTTTTCCGCGCTTCGATGCCATTGGCGAGGACGACCAAGGCGAAGTGGGGGCCATCACAGGCAAGCGAAATCCTCACGATGTGAACACAGAAGTTTGCTGACGAGCGTCGAAGCACCTAGGCTTAGCGTTGCAGAGCACACTTCACACAATCGCACAACCACGCACTAGGCTAGCCAAACACCATGTGGGCTGCATAAACAAAATGGCACGGCAGTAGGCGACTGTGCCTCGGGTACTCCAGAGGTGGCGCTGGTAAACATTCAAGATAGCCAGCGTGGCCAGACCAAATTGGTGTGTGACGGTTAGTTCTAGTTTGAAGTGGTGAAACGCTTCGCGAAAGCGCTGCGTGGGAAGCCAGAGTGGCACGCACGAGCACAAGCGCTAAACCGAAAGGAACTTTATTGGCGCCAAAGAATTTCCAGGTGGATAGTTTCGATTGTCAGCGAAGCACCCTTGCACAATAAACACAGCCAGTGTTAGGAATCTTGGAGGCTGTGTGTGTTTCGCCGCTAGTGATCGAGTCCAAGCAACAGATGCCGCCACAGTAGACCGGCGCGCTCATTTATGCGATCGTAATCGCATGTTACGCAGTTGTGGTGGTTTCCACTGGAGGTCAGTGGTGGTTTCCGACCTTCCATCGCGTCAAAAAGTCCGGAAAATTGGACTCCAGGGGGTTCGAGCATCCAAAATTTCAGACTTCCTTATACATTGATTCTATGGGGCTCGTGGCGGTGCCGCAAAGATGTCCGAATTATCGGGCATGTCCGAAAATTCGGGTGTCTGAAAAATCGGCAGTTAACTGTAATATATTTTCGTGGAAGTGTTCGAATTCTATGAGCTGAAAATTGTACTGAGATATCTGGGATTTGCAGAGAAAACCAAAGCTGGAGTGGTGATATATCAGCAACATAAAATCTGCTAAATGGTAAGCATTTGCGAATGTGTAGTTCCATTAGCATAACTGAAGTAGCGAATTTGGGATGAAATAAACTTCTCACTATAATAATTTTTTCAGTTCATACTTCCTGTAGTGCCGAGGTTCGTCTGTGGAACTTCTAGAAGCAAACTAAATGTGGCTGTAGGAACGCTGTTTTCACATCGCATGTTCAGGATCCTCTGAGGCATGGCAATATCTATCCTGGCGTTTTGATGTCATTGACATTCATTTTAATGAAAACAAGTACCATATACATCATTTCATATGTCAGGTTCAGTGTTATGGAAGCTAGCGACACTGACAGTACTTGCGTCTCGCTAAGAAATAGTTCAGCGATTTCACCATCTACAATGTCATTTTTCTTTTGTTTGTTGATACGGTGGCCAGTAGGTCATTCTAAATCGCTCAGTGTCTATTTTTTGTATTGTGGCCTCTGCGATTAGTTCTGGCAGTGTGCAGCCGAAGCCAATCGTGGAGGCTGCGTCTACATGAATGAAACCTTAATGCAAGATCCACAGACTTGCACATTTTGCTGACCCAACTTCATGGTGGCTTCCACAGCAATGCACCGGATACTTCAGATAGTGTACAGACTATTTTCTGTGAAGCATCCAGGTGCCGCCATATTGGCCTGTTAAGGCAAAGCTTTATAGTTTCTGTATATCGCAACATAAATTAGTAAGGCCATGAAAAAATGTATGTACCAGCCGCCAACTGAACACAAGGGTTAACAGCCCTATATGGCAGCCCTCAAACCCACCCGTAAAATGGTCTATAAAAAGTATCACCACACATTGAGCGTTGCTTGCTGAGTAACGTGGTTGGTGGTGGTGGTGGGCTCGCTTGATTGAGCATTCTTTTCTTCCACGTCTCCTTTTCCTCCCAAGGGCCGTTGACAGTTCTTAAAAAGAACGGCAATGAGTCTTCCTTGAGCGGCAATCCAACTGGCAAGACGGTGCTCTCTTCTAGTTGGGCCGACGCGCCAGAGTTTGTCCCCAAAAGTAGGTCCCCTTTGGTTTTTCTTCAACCGTTGTACAGGGCCATTGCACAGCCACATTTGTTCACGATAAAAGTTCATTCTGGGCAAACTTTTGTTTGGCCAAAAGCAGGCCAGCAAGCAAGGTAGTTCGAAATTTAACATAAGCAAGGCAGTTTAAAGAAAAGAAGGAAAAAAAAAAACTGCTGGAGTGGAAGGTGTGTTTGAAAAGTGTTTGCCCTGACACACTACTCATTTAATATCGGTAATCACTTTCAAAGAGTTGGTAGTGTAGTGGTAATTGGGTAGTGTAGATGTTGGCTTAGAATGGCAATTGATCGTGGTCATAGGGGGCAGCGAATTTACTGTGTGAAGTGCTTGAGTAGCGACTATCAATCCAAACAGAAGAACTTTTGTGGAGCGAACCACCTCTTTTTCATTTCTCTACACTGCAATTGATTGCCCTTGTTCCGTCTCTCCTTTTTTTTTTTTCTGAAATAAATCCTAAGCCGGGCCGGATTGAGAAAGAAAGTGCCCGTGCAGTGCTAGCGTTACAATCAAATGGCAAGACTGGTTTACATTGTAACGCCTTGCATTATTTACTTGTCTGTAATTCACCCTTGTGTCCTTTGGGCTCATGCTAGCGAAGCATAAATTGCATACTGTGGGAAATTAATGCTTATGGGTCGTGGGAATCCAGCAAGAGCTGAATCTTACTTAAACAAAGTACCTAATCTGGTGTTCAAATTGGCGACTTGCGCTGGTACGCTTGTGCGAACCTTGTTACTGTGCCATTTTAGATGCGATTTCATTAGAAACATAGATTAATTTATGTTGCTTATGGTCGCAATACATTAAAGGGACACTAAAGCCAACTATTAAGCCGACGTTTATTGTTGAAATGCCAGTCCAGAAACCTCGTAGTGTTACTTTGGAGCCAAGAAAGAGCCTGTTTTGAAATAAAATCGCATTTTGGTGCTCCGCATCATGTTAGCGCACTTCAAGTTACCCACCTCAAGAAGCGGACCGATCGGATCATCTCGCATCACTGTTGCCGTGCACAACGTAGCCCGGCTTTACTGTGCTAGTAGCAGCAGACGGAAAGCAGCGGGAGCCACAGCAACAACGACAGCCATTGGTCAATTTCCCGCCATTGACTTCGAGAATGCAGATGCTTTTGTTTCAACTGCACCCCGCTAGATGGCACCACCTGTCCCGTGTAACCATGCGAAAATTGAATTTTTGAACCACTCTCGCCATTCCCCATAGTAACGTTTAAGCGGTTCTTTTTTTTTCATAAATCAAACAGAAACGATAAAGCAGCATTTTATTGCTTCTCTTGATGCACGGGAGGTTCTTTATTTAGTGCAGTTACATCGATTACTAGTGTATAATTGTAGGCGGTTCGTCTGATGTCATCAGGATCATTTTGAAGATGTCCTGCTGCGGCGCTTGTGTTCTTGTGCATTTACCTTAATTTCTTGGTATGTAAGGCACTGTTGTTGATAATATTGTCGTTTTAGATGTTGTCATACATTGAGCTTTCACTCTGATGTAAAATATTATTTGACTTTAGTGTCCCTTTAACGTTTCGCATCCTCTGTCGTCGTGAAAAAGCTTGTCGATTTGACGACACAGTCTAACTCCGCTACAACGAACGCTGCTTCAACGAAATTTCTGCTACAACGAAAAATATACGATTCCCGTCAGCAGTCCATAGAGTCAATGCATAAATATTGTCGCCACAACGAACACTTTTTCTTCAGTCGTCCCGCTTCAACTAAATTTCGCGACGCAGTTCCAGGCTAAGATACTTATTGCTATGCAGTAAACCCAATCTTTAACATTTTGGTGCATTTTCAGAGCCTGAAAATGCATCAGCGAAGTCTAAAACATGCGTTGTCACCACCAGAAACCGCCGCTGTTTAGCAAGCATGGGCGTCACCATTGCTCGATAGCGATAGCAATGAGACTGCCCTGCTGGCTTGCTTTTGAGCCGCAGACAATCCGTAGCTAAGGCTCAGTCACTCAGTTCATGGTTTCCTTCTCGCAGCTTCTGGGTGCAATTGCGGAACGATGCCTTTTCGTTCAATTCGTTCCGTTGCAATTGCGGAACGATGCTATCATGATGTTGGCACTTGGCCAGTGTGGTAACTAGTCAGAGCGGCTGTTCGTCCGCATTATCAACAAAATCAGCTAGCCGCGCGTGAGGGATGATAAGAATAGCACAGAATAATGCAAAAGTCGCTGCTCCACAATACCCTGCCTCTATCTCCGCGTTTTCGGATACTTTTGACGGCGGACAGCAGCTGGTGTTAACGTGTTGAAGCAACTGCTTGGTTCGTTCATGAAAGTGGTTTTGGGTGTTGTTTCAGCGTGTTTTTCTCCATGGCCTCGCTATGCATGAGTGATAATCGCGTCGTGACGCTGCTGAGAAAGAATAGGAAGCAGCGGACATTTTTTCTATTTTGTGAAGAAACGTTCCTTTGTTTTGCTAGCTCAGATCAGCCATATTTTTTTTTTTTTTTCGATTTCACTACAACGAAATTTTCGCTTCAACGAAACTTTTCTGCACTTTGTCAGTTTTGTTGAAGCGGGGTTCGACTATATTTACTATTAGCATCCCAGAGACCTGACTGATGTGTGCTCAACTTTTTTAATATTAAAAAAAAGAAAAAACGGGTTCGCTGCACTGTGGCACTTCAGTCGGACATTTTAGGGCAGTGGTGCGATACCTTCAGCATGTTTTGCATGCAAAGGGCAAACTCTAGACCAAGGTTTTTTAATTTGGCATGTGCTCATCGTGGTTTGGCTTACTGATTGTCTCCCAAGTCGTGTACGTCAATCCGGATCTAATGTAAGGCCTGTCATGTCAAAATACAGCATTGAAATCGGAGGTAGTATAACGTATGTTTATAAGAGGTATAGCTCGTGTGTCTCGCATGTTGGCGTCGCTACTAGTGTCTTCGAAATGTGTCGTCGCATGTGCTGCATGGCCCACCTTTCCACACCTTTGGGGGCACCGGGATGTTAATCGTGCTGCTAACAGCGGTTCAGTTCTTGAGTCATTGCGAGTTCAAGTACTGCTTGACTTAGCTTTCATGGCAAATGCTCTGAAACTTGAACTCGCACTTGCATTTTTTTTTTTTTCAATCGCACTTCACTGTGGGGCAACCCTGCAGCCCTTGTAACCGGTGTATCGTTTGTTTGATGAACGCCTGTGAAATTTTACCTTTGTGTGGAGTAAATGGTCAAGGTGGTAAGTATAGGTCACTAAACATTTGCAGTCGTGTCCGTCCTAGTAGTGGAATTCACTCCGAGGGCTGTTATTTAGATCAGCAGACGGTTCCCTATGATCAGGATTGTTTTGATGCCATTGCAAAAATACTTGCCCCCTCCCCCCCCTTGTTTCATTGGCATACTGAATAAAAACGAATCTATTCTAGCGCAGGCTATGAAGTTCTGCATCCGATTAGCTTGGTCACACCAGCTGCATTCTCAAATAGGTGTATGTTCAAACCCCAATATAGCGAAAAATGATATAACGAAAGTATTGGTTATAACGAAAAAAACGAAAAATGGTCTTGCAATAATTAAGTGTTATGGATAACTTTATAACAAATTTCCCTTTATAACAAACACATTTTCTTGCAAGATGCAACTTTGCTATAATGAGGTTTGTGTAATACCTTTCTGATGAGGGTGTTCATGTTAAAACTTCTTATGTGTTACCTGAAGAACCAGGACGATGAAAATTTACTCAACAAAACAGGTGGTGTGCCAACTCGATCAATGAAGTCGTACGCGTCCATCGTGCGGCCCGATGGCAGCATCGAAAAGGCCCCACCGAGCAAGGAGGCCTCTCTTCCACTCTGCCCATATGAGGTGGCGAGCAATGGCTGCCCAATGCGCGCCACCTGCACCTACCTGCACGGCGAACTGTGCGACCTGTGCCAGAAGCCCTGCTTGCACCCCTATAACGAGCAACAGCGAGCACAGCACCGAGAGGTATGACGCTCGTGTGTGTTAGAAACGTGATCCTCGTGTGTATGTTGATGTCAAATCCAGAGGGAACGCCGACCGAAATTTTCAGTCGAATTGAAAGATTGGGCTCTGAAATCAGTGGCACATCGTTCATTTTAGGCAGGAAGTAGCAAGAAAATTAATGAATTTGATTCGTTTTTCACCAACTTTCGATCCTAGCAGCACTGCTATGAACTAGAGGAAGTTACGTAAGAACTGCCGGAAATAATCGTACCAACTGTGCTTACCCATTGACATTGGAAGCCGCCACTGCGTCCATGCATCTCGCCGAAATTGTGCTCTAAACCGAGGTGTAATGGAGAGGGTTGGAAAGGGGGGCTGTAGGGACGTCATCCATAATGGTCTCACAACTGAGTGTGTGGGTTAATCAGCAGACGTCGTGATGCAACAGCACACGTGGTTCTTTGCAGCCAAACACCTGTGCACGTGTGTCCGTTAGGTGTGGTTTGAATAAACAACTGCTAAGCCGGCGTAGTTGTTCAGCTTCTGCGGGCTCCGGACTCGCTCGTTTCTACTGCTCGTGCTGCGGCCTGTACTTGCGCACGCCGCATCTCGCGTCCATTTGACGGACCCTTATCACGGGACATCGCCCGTCGACGCAACAAATGGGAAGCAGTGAGGCAAAAAAGAGTGCGTCGATTGCTTGTCTTTTTGATTGGCACATCTGACATCACAGCCTGTCGACAGGAGCTTCGGCACACAACTGTCACACTCTCGCAATCCTCTGAAAATGCAGCCAACTCTTTAAAAGATACATGAATTATTGGGACACGACCCTTATCACGGGACATCGCCCGTCGACGCAACAAATGGGAAGCAGTGAGGCAAAAAAGAGTGCGTCGATTGCTTGTCTTTTCGATTGGCACATCTGACATCACAGCTTGTCGACAGGAGCTTCGGCACACAGCCGTCACACTCTCGCAATCCTCTGAAAATGCAGCCAACTCTTTAAAAGATACATGAATTATTGGGACAGTCATTTTTCTTTTTTACCTGCCCCCTCAGTATCTCTAAGAATTTTCAGTTTTCAATACAGATCTAAACTTCAATTCTGGTTGCATTTTTGGCATCTAATACCCACATAAAAAAAAGAATCAAAGGCGTTTGTCCAGTGCTACACTGATGTTAGTGATCGATAAAACCACGAGCCCACTTGTCCAGACTATTTTCACATAACCAGGTGGCAAGATGCACAGCTCACTGCCGTCATGCGCGCATAGTTGCTATTTATTGGTTGTTCAGGCGTGCATTTCAGAGGGATCAATCGGAGTTGTAGGCATCAAGGGGAGATGGATAGCAAGGACAGGTGTGCAATTACTACTGTCAATCACTCCATCATTTTAAGCTAACTCCAAAGATTTTGAGGTTGCTTGAATACAAACTTTACTACATGTTTTGTGGATTCGGAATGAAAATACGATACCATTCTGAAAATATTAAGAAACAAACCACTTTTACATCTTAAATGAACATTTGAGAAAAAGGTTTTGCATGGAAAGTAGTGAAATCTCTTCAGGTTTTCACATGTGCCCAGTGTATCCTTCTTAACCGAAATGATAATTGTAAACATGATTAATCTTTGAATAAAAATTTAGATGTGTCATGACTAGAATTTCAGGGCTCTTTTTTTTTTTTTTTTTTAAGAAAACTGTTGTTAAAAATGAAATTTTAGTGTTAACACCATTTTATTGCTTCAAGAGCAGCACATTTTATTTGGAAGGAAGTCACAAAAGTTTGCGCTTGATAGCTTCAGTGGTGACAGAGAAAACGGTCCTTTTCTGACAAAAAGTAATGTTTGGAGAAAGCGACATTTGAAAATTGGGTTGCCTTGGCGCAGTCATGGGATCAGGCGCATTTGGGACAGTTTTAAAATGGCTTCCACTGCACGTAAACAGGTGCCTCTTCGTGGAAGCACTTGTCAATAATGCTGGAATATTGGGCCATGAAAATTGAAAAATGGCATTCTCAGTCGCTTTCACCCTCCATCGCTGCCTAATTGAAAGCAGGAGTATACCACGAGTGCTCGCTTTGTATTCTTCCTGCATTCCTATCATTCTACTGCTTTACCGGTATGTCCTGTAAGGGAGTTCGCTTGGATGTCACATTTGTACAACACACGCACGCGATTACGAATCCTTCTAGGAGTGCGTCCAGCGGCACGAGCAGGACATGGAGCTGTCGTTTGCGATCCAGCGCAGCGCGGACAAGTGCTGCGGCATCTGCATGGACGTGGTGATGGAGAAGGAACCGCCGTCGGAGCGTCGCTTTGGCATCCTCGAGAAGTGCAGCCACATCTTCTGCCTCAACTGCATCCGCAAGTGGCGTGGCTCCAAACAGTTTGACAGCAAGACCGTCCGGTGAGGAGCAACTCTCTCTTTTATGTGCTAAGGCATGTGTGGCTCGGTAGATGTCAGCTGATCTTCGCTTACAATAGGCAAACATCCATCGTGGTACGTAATTAGTGCGTAAGGTGTCGCGCTGGTAAACTCGAAGGCACAGGTTCTAGTCCCAGCCATGGCAGCTGCACTTTAATGATGGGGACAAAGTGCAAAGAAAGCTGGTGGGCTGAGATTTAGGTGCATGTTAATGAACAGTAGGTGGTCACAACCAGTCATGCACACGTTATCAATAAAAAGTACCAGTTTTACAGTTACCTCGGCCGAAAAAGTAACTTTGTTACAGTCATAATTACCGTGAAACAGTAACGTCATCAATTTCCTGTTGTCATATAAAACAAGTAATGGATTACATATCAAGTGACAGAATTAATTTAATAAAAACATACAAGAAGGGATGCCAAGTGCACAACAAGTAAAGATGAGGTTCATTGACCATCGACGTTCATTCCCGGTGTTCAAGGTGCACCAGACCCTGTTCAGAGAGTCTTCCGTCTTCTGAGCATACAAACCGTTCGAACACCTGTTCGCGAAATCCGAAGATCGCACACCTGCGGACGACACGGGGATTGCAAAGCGACATAATTACATCGGTGAAACAAGGCAGCAAAGGACCAGGAAAGGAAAGGTCACTTAAGTCAACTATGCAACGTGTTCTTGGACAGAGCTTGATGAACACTGCAGGACAAGGCACAGCTGTTACCAAAATGGGGGGGGGGGGGGCGACGTTCGCAAAGACGTGTGACTTATGGACTGGTCGACATCCTCTCGTTTTTCCTTTTTTTTTTTTTACAAATGTTTGCCATGTTGTTAATCACTGCTCTTTAAGTCGGTGTACATCTATGAGAATTGGCTACAGAGAAGTTTTTAAAATTCCTTCGCTAGTTCACGTTCATCTGACTTTAGCCATTTCGCACTCCTGTTTGCCAGCCACCTGCTAAATTGGCTCGGAGCCTCGGGCCAAAGAATGCTCCACCGGCAGACAAAGAACACAGTTAGAAGCTCAAGGGACAAGCAGAAAATTGTGCCCACCACCCCACACCAACCCGGCCCGCCAAAAGGGACGCGAGCTTGCTAAGCTGTTCAGCTGCAATGTGATTGATTTACAACTTGTAGGTTACAAGTGAACTCTGTATACGGTATTTTGAACGAAAGTTATTTCTCTTTAGCACCATTATCTTCAAAACTGCAAGAGGAACCCTATTGAAGAAACTTGAAAAGTGAAGATATGCTAAAGAAGAAGGCTCGAATAAGTGAAAATCAATTAACAATAGCCTTTAACGATTGTTGCTGTTTTGTATTTGTTTATAATAACAAGTGTAGCTGTAATGGTATATCTTGCATTACAATTACTGTGTAAAAAGTAAGTGTTAGTTACAAGTTCCTCTCACTTAAAAGTAACTAGTTACCAGTACTGTGTTACTAGCAACTAGTTACTGCCCAAGACTGGTCAAAATTAACTTGATATCTCCCACTTTGGTTTCTCCATAACGATATTGGGGTTTTGGCACGAGGCAGTTATTGTTGTTACAGTCTGCAGATGGCAGCTAGTACCGTATTTTTTCACACTTGTTTTGGCAAAAAACCGATGCAAAGTTCGGGGGTGCAAGAACTGCGCAGGGAAAACTTTCCACGAAAACGCAGAGAGGGAAAAAGAAAACGAAGTGGCGCAAATTAAGATTCTCACACCAGCAACTAACAGCAAGCTTTGAGAAGTACTAATTAAAACTTACCTCAACAATAAAAGCACAGGTTCAACACAGGGCAAGATTTATTTGAGACACAAAAAGTGCAAGCAAATAGTCGAGAATCAGAATACCATACGCAAAGGTTGTGGGCATTGCCTGCGTAGCGGTAGCATTTGTCGCTCAACAGGAGCTCTCAAAAGGTAAGCGTAGGACTGTCAGTATAGGACTGATGGCTATTTAACAGAATCGTTCGCAGTTTCCTTCTGAAGAAATAAAGTTTACCATCAATCCCAGTTTTACGCACACAGCAGGCCCAACGTGTCTTGGTGGCTTTCAGCTGCCGTCACCGGTAGCGAACACAAAACTCGTAGACTCCGAAGGGCCTACTGGCGGCCCTGTTGCCGTTGTTTAGTGCATAATCTATCACTTTCAACTTGAAAGCAGCCGTGTAGTTTCAGTATTTTTCTATAACGTGACAAGATTACCGACACAACATACAAAACACGCCGCAACGGACACTTGCCAGTTTGGCTTGGCTTGGATTAAATCTCCGTGGAATAACAGTACGCTTGATGCTTAAGATATGGCATCTTATGGCTGTGCGCTATCATCATAGTGGCTGTAACGAGCAGACGACATTTTTGTGGCAGTTTTCGGGGGTGCGATAATTACTCGAGAAAAAAAAGAAATCTTATATTTTTGTTGGGCGCTGTGGGGGGGTGCGAGAATCATGTGAGTGCGAGGATTATGCGAGTAAATACAGTATTGGGCTTGCAGTTGGCAGATGTCAACGGATAGTGTTTCTTATGATGCCACTACTGAGGGTAGTGGTACAGCATCTATTAACCCTTGCGCATATGTCTTATTATTTGGTATTTTCTGTATCCAAAGCAGCTCGATAAAAATCGTTTCCCAAGTGGTTGCCTGTGTCGGATTACTATTGGCCAAACACCCTCCAGTTTTGCTGTATGTTGGGCGACGAAAGAAAAGTTTAGCTCTTTGTGGTCCTAAACCTTCACCCACCCTTTGTCTGTTCCGGTCTGAAACTAACACAGAGGACAGCTGAAGTGTGCATGAATCAACCACGCAAGAGCCTGTCCAGCACGGCCAGACAACAAACTGCTGTGACCCACTTGCATGGTCAGGCAGAACCTTACAATAGACAGCAAATGGTTATATACAATTAGCAGATGTCAGTCATCGCTTACAATTGGCAGGAAGTTGCCTGTTAGTCTTGGCGCACAGTTGGCAAAATTGCCAGTGCTAGTTTACAGTTCGCAGAAGTCAGCGGCTGCTGTTTCCAATAGGTGCCATGTATTGCGGTGTTATCAACGGTTGTACGTACAGGTAGCAGCGTGTACTCGCCCTTCCACGTATGCCCTGCTTTCTTGCATCTCTCTAAAAACTATTAGGTTGCTATTAGCGAAATAATCGAGTTTGCTGGCTTACTATTGGCCATATGTCATCTATTGTTGCCCTATGTTGACTTGGCAACCGAAAGATCAACCTAAAGTATGGTGAATAGACTTTCTTCTTTCTGGTCATGTATGCCTAGAATAGTACTATAATAAAAAAGCAAAAATCTGTTTTTCAGGTCTTGTCCTGAATGCCGAGTTCCGTCGGACTTTGTGACACCAAGCAGCTTCTGGGTGGACATGGGGGAGGAGAAGGACAAGTTAATAGCAGATTACAAATCTGCCATGAGGTGGGTCCTCCATTCTGCAGTACTCCTAGTACGCTGCGTGCACGCGAGCCCTCGTAGTCTTTTCTGTGGATTAAAAGAGTTGATCTTGATTTCGATATTGCTCACAGCGCGAAGCCCTGCCGGTACTTCCAGGAGGGTCGGGGCGAGTGCCCGTTTGCAGGCGCCTGCTTCTACCAGCACATGTACCCCGACGGAAGAAAAGCGGTCTTGCCACCTCCCCGGCCAAGACGCAGGCAGAACCACAATGGCGACCTCGAGATCATGGAGGTTGGTCAAACAAGGCTGTAGCCGTTGAAAAAGGCTGCCTATGTAGAGTTTGCGACGTGTTTTCAGATAGCGACGTTGTAGCCGTTGTAGAATGCTACAGATTTCTATGATCCAGTGAAAGACTAGCAACTTCATAATGAAAATAAGCATGGAATAGTACTAGATCCAGTAATGGGCTGGACTAAGAAAATGGAAGACAGTTGCTAGGTTCTATCTTACTGGTCTTATTAAATTTGGCTTAGCGAGATTCTGCTGCATGACAGGTCCCTTCAACATTTGCTGGGAACTTTGGCTTCAGTCAATCATCTATGTAATGCTCATTACAACAATGTCATTACATCATTGTAATGCTCATTGACATAAGAGTAAGTGCACATAAAAATATTGTGGAGAAAAGGAGCATACGTTATATAGTCTAGTGAATTCGGTAATCTATCACGTATAGTAGACTCCCTTTAAACAAAACTCTCTTAAATGAAATTGCTGCTTAAATGGAACAACTGCCACAAATATGTTCGGTTTCCTACTCGGATATTGTACCCCTGTTTATCTCTCAGTAAACGAAATTCGTCTGAAGGGTAACACGTCTTCCTGGTCCCTTCAGGTTTCGTTGAAGAGGAGTCTATGTTAGATCAGTTAGATATCTGTTCATCTGCCTTCTTGAAAGAAGTAAACATTCATCTCTATCCCCTTTCCCTGGACTTTCCAGCGCCTGTACCTGTGGGACTTTCTGGACGTCGCGGACAGTCACATGTTTGCACCTTTCAACTTGGAAGATATGTTCGAGATCCTCTCCGAGACGGAAGATTCGGACTCAGACTGGAGCGACATCGACATCCTCCTCAACTGAAACTCGTCCCACCCGAACCCTTGGGCCTGTCGACGCAGCATCTGCAGCTGTGTGCCCAGATGTTGCCCCCCCCCCCCCCTCCCTCAAAAACCGACCCTCCCGAAAAAGAATGAAACAAAAGAAAGAGGGGGCAAATAAGGGATAAATGCACAAAACAGGCACTGCATTACGGCCCTTGTCATCGCCCGCTTTATCAATCCCTGTTGGAGAACCATCCCTGCAACAATTCAGGCGTCATTATTATTATTATTTTTTGTTAGGGGCGACCGCCAAATTCGTGTGCATGCATGCTTCATGCATTGCCCGAAAACCAACTACGCTGTGATTGTATGTCTTTTATTTTTCTTTTGCTCCGTCGCCCCTCAAATGGGTTGCCAGGCAAATTTAGACAAGAGATATTATTATTACTAGTACTACTACTCCAGTCAGTCCGCGGCAATTGCCCATATTCCCACTTATGCCCTCCCCGTCGTTAATTTTTTTTCTTGCTCAGAACGAAAAAAAAAAAGCCTGGATTAATTTTTTAGGGGGTGCTTCCAAGTTTCCTTGTTGAGTTTGTTTTCAGAAGCTTCTTTCCTCTCTCGCTAAGCAGCAGAGATCTTGGATGCCACTCAGTTGTTAGCACCACTTTTCTTTTGGTCATTCATCACAGGGCTTGTTTGTTTCTTTTTTTTCTTTCTCGTTTTTTGCATCATGTAAATCATTAGTGAAGAGATGTGTGATTATTTTTGCTTCCAGTCTCGTCACCCTCCCCCCTTAGCATTTTCTGCACCAAAGGATGAAAGTAAAAAAAGTTTAAAGCAAGAGATATTAGCAGCTTACTAGAGTAAGATAAACTAGATTTTGTTTTCGAGTGTCAAGGCAAAACACTTCTCTCCCCAGAACGAACAGATAGGTCAACAGATGTACAATAAACATTTAACTATGCCTTGTTCCTATGGCTCCCTTCATGTATTCTGTATGAGTGTGCAGACCCGGCCATTATTTTGCTGCACGTCCCTCTTTTTAGCAAGCGTTTTGTGATTGTTGTTATCCAGATCTATGGCAGACAGTATTTTCTCGCGTATAACCCATTCCTACTTGCAACGAGCACCTGCGACATTGAACTGCAAAGAAAAAGAAAATCCGAATATGGCTTGGAATCTAGCTTGTGCACCGAAATTCGCATACAACCCACACCCTGACTTTACCTTCCGAACTTTCTATAGCATTCGCGTGGGTTATACACAAGAAAGTACAGCACTTGCCAAACCCCTCTAACCCCCACCCACCTACCCTGACCCTTATATCCATCTTGAAGTACAATGCATAGTGTGCCTATCTTTAAGAGAGTTGTTGCAGTGTTTTACAATAAGATGGTCGCTTATTTATTGCCATGTTCCTGGGAGTTTGTTCTCGTGGATATTGCAGTGGCTTTGGCTGCATCCCCAAGAGATTGCAGCCAAGCCATGCCAAGGTTATGTACATGTTAGAGAAGGAAGAGCTTGTGGGAGGAGTGCGTAGATTTATTGAAGTCTTTGGGACTGAGAAAATAGAGAGTTGCATTTTGTTCTTTTGAAGGGAGCAATGGAATGGCGTGTCGCTGCACACATTTCTTTTCAGTCATTGAGTTGTGTGCATTGCTGCTCTAGAGCTTGCGTGTGATTTGCGTGAACTGGCGTTGAATAAAGATAGAGTCTCTGAGCATGTCTTTTGGAGAGTTCTCTACGACCTCGTTAAAACGAATAATTCACAAGGTGCTACCTATCCATTCTCGTCTGGGCCTCCGTCAAAACCTCTGGCAACTATTGCGTGAGGCCATTGTAATGTTGCCCAGGGCTACATTGGAAGAGACAGGTTTGCTTTACAGGCTGAAGGGAATGTTGCCGACTACACTGACACGGGTTCTTTGATCTGTTGTCTGAGAACTAACTCCATGCAGGCCCAGCAATGCAGCCGAAGCACCTTCACCTCACACCTTTCCTTTTAACTGTGTGAGCTTGATGGCCTAACCATTCAACAGAAATAAGCTTCAAGCCTTTTTCGATTTACTATTTGTTTTGACCTCGGCTAGAATGTCCGGAAGCTTCTCGAGTAACTCGTCCGCCGTCAACGAGAAGTCGCTGTCGAACCAATGCTCTTTCAGCTTTGTCAGCACAGTCGCAAATTTGGGGACCACTCCGAAGACCCCGCTCAATGAGCATGTTGCCGTTGACTGGAAACTTGGGCACGTCCCAACACCGAAACCGTTCCAGGAGTTCGGCGTCTGCTCGATACTTGAGTACCTCGCAGATCCACTCCTGGACATCCCCGACCTTGCCCTTGGTAGTGAAGAGCAGCTGCCTGGAAGGGTTTCAAGTCTGTCCCCAAAAGAGGACTCGTCATCCCGGTGGGTGACGACAAACAGGGCGAGGTCTCGCTCGTAGGCGGAAAGCTTTAGCCGGTTGTGCATGTTTGTGACGTCCGATTCGTTTTGTAGAAGCGCGGACAGGAGAGTCATGGGCTGTGGCTCGAGCTGTTTGGAGGCGTCGCACACCTTGCAGAACTCGTGGAGGTCCGGAGAGACTGGGAGGCCCAGGAAGGGAGCCGCGCCCACGTCCACGATGCGACACATAAGCTCCTTGTTGAAGTTGCCCACTAGTATCTTCTTGAGCTCGGTCCAGAGTCTCTCACCAGATATGCGCGCGAGGCCGCCGACGTTTTCCCGAATGGCCGTCAGGGTTTCCGGTTCGTGACTGTCCGGCTCGACTGCTATGCGACCGTAGAACCGGAAGTAGCGCAGGATCCTGAGGTAGTCCTCCTGTATGCGCTGTGCGGGGTCCCCGACGAAGGCGACGCGCCTCTTCTCCAGGTCTTCGATGCCGCGGAAGTAGTCGTACACGGTGCCGTCGAGGCCCAAGAAGAGCGCGTTCACGGTGAGGTCGCGTCGGTTGGCGTCCGTGTGCCAGTCGGTGGTGAACTCGACCTCGGCGTGACGTCCGTCAGTGACCACGTCTACACGCAGCGTGGTGACCTCGAAGTTTGTCTTGTCGTTTATGCGCGCCGTCACGGTGCCGTGCTTCTCGCCCCGGGTGTTGATCATGCGCACCCCTTCGTTCTCGAACATCTCCTTCATCTCAGGTCGGTGTGGCGGTCGTGGCGAAGTCCAAGTCGTGCGGCTGCTTGTGCATCAGGAGGTCTCGCACGGCGCCTCCGGCGATGCGTAGCTCGTGGCCGTGCCGCTTGAATATGTCCACGAGCTCCTTCACCTCGGGAGTGAAGAGCGCGCGGAACTGAGGGCTGTCGAGCTTCATCGTTCGCGGCAACACGCGATTGCCCTCCGTGCCGCACGATGTAGCGGAGCCGCGGAAATCCACGCGCAGGCAGCAGCACCTTCGCAAAACAGCGCCGGCGATCTTCCGGCTCCAGGCCTGTAACATGAGACGCGGGTCACTGTCAAGGCTTTGCAACGTCTGCTACTGTTCGGAAACTTTTCCAACGCATGCTTCTACGGACACTGCGATGGATAACCAGTGAGTATGCATCATACAAAACAGGGATCACGCGGCAGCAAAAACCTCTGTGCAGTTGAGGCTATGGCTTCGGATCTACTTGCCTCCGTTTTGTGTCTTTGTTGATTATAAAATGGAATTAAAATTGTGTAGACTGAAAAAATTTCAAGAAACTTACTAAGACAAGCTTGCAACAAAATTCGCCAAATTCTACAAGTGTTATTTTACGTCAGTATTACTTTTATAAAAAAACATATTTGAAAGACCACTTGACGCACGAAGTTTCATAGTGTCTAATAATTTCACGTGTCTAATAATTTCAAAGGTTATATATTTTTTGTTTTTTGTTGCAACTTGCCAGTTTCGCTTTCTCGGACATAAGCGTACTGTAATAAGCGGACGCCGTGGCGGACGCAAACAAACAAGTCCACAAGTCGCGTTTAAAAAAATGGCGGCGACAGTAGGTACGGAAGCGACGCTCGCTACAAAGCGAGCTGCCGGCGATGGAGAAGTGGTCGATGAATCGGCGAAAAAGGCGAAGCTCGATAACGGTGCGACCGCTTTCCAACACGTTTCGACCTTCGGCGATTTCAAACCGCGCCGCATATTGAGCGAAGACGCGCGGACCAAGTTCATGGCTGTAGAAGGTACGTTCGGCGGCGATGCGTCTGATAGCGCTGCCGCCGCCGTTATTGTTGTGGAAAAGACCCCTTTCAGCCGTGAAAATTACGAACTCGTCTTCACCGCGGACACGAAGCTGGAAGAAACTTTCCACAACGACGTCTACACATCGTATGGGGGCAAGCTATCCGCTGCGTTGAATGGTGAGTTTGTAATGCTGCGATCATAGAGTGCGATGGAATCCGTGGAGTGAGGACTCCGTTCACTTGCATGCTGCCGGCGCTAAATAGTGTTGTATGGATTGGCAAACCCTACCAACACCTTCTCTATTTAGATGCCTGCCGCGTGAGAACAAAAACAGCTGTCACGCTTTCCCTTTTTCATTTTTGATTGGATGGATGGATGTATCCGGCTGTGCCCTTTAGATCGGGTGGTGGCTCACGCCAACTAGCCATAAAGTGAAGTACTATCACTGTGTGTTTGAGGGTTGAATTTCAGCCCCGCCGCGGTGGTCTAGTGGCTAAGGTACTCGGCTGCTGACCCGCAGGTCGCGGGTTCGAATCCCGGCTGCGGCGGCTGCATTTCCGATGGAGGCGGAAATGTTGGAGGCCCGTGTGCTCAGATTTGGGTGCACGTTAAAGAACCCCAGGTGGTCTAAATTTCCGGAGCCCTCCACTACGGCGTCTCTCATAATCAAATGGTGGTTTTGGGACGTTAAACCCTACACATCAATCAAATCAGGGTTGAATTTCACTCGCGCCTCGATTGTAGCCACCAATCAGTTAGCCTCCTCCTGATTATTTCTACCCGTTTAAAGTCTATTTTGCCTTCACTGTCCCTAAACCCCAATGCTTTGGAAAACTCGGCGCCATTAACTTCGTCTATAGGGTGGAGCCCTTTGCAGAACATTATGAAATGTTCAGCCGTTTCGTTCTCCTCTCCAAACGCACTGCATACCGTGTCTGTGCCTTCGTATTTTGCTCGGTACGTCTTGGTCCACAATACTCCCGTTCTAGCCTCGAAGAGCAGAGAACTTCCCCTAGAATTATCGTAGATCTTTTCCCTTGCAATTCCCTGCTTAAAAGTTCGGTAGGCTTCCAGTGATGGTTTCGCTATAATTCCCATCTTCCACATGTCCCTCTCTGTTTCCTTCACCTTCTTAACCGATGTTTCTTTTTGGCTTGGTATTCTGCTGTTGTCTAAATACTTGCTTGACAATTTTTGAATTCGTTTCCTCCATTTAGTATCGACATTCTTCATGTACATACAAGTAACTGAAAACTTTCCTAGCCCAATGCTCCTATCCCATTTTTCTCAATTGCTCCTCAAATTCTATCTTGCTGCTAGTTTCCCTGCACTCAAACGATATCCATCCCATGTCTTCCCATGTGCTCTCAAAGCAAATCTACCTATGCCACGTTGTTTAATTTCCAATCTTGCTTGAACTTCTGATTTCATGCACAAGACCGCATTGCCGAACGTCAAACCCGGGACCATGACACCTTTCCAAATACCTCTCACAACGTCATACCTACTCTAGTTCCACGGTGCCCTCTTTTTTATTACAGCTGCATTCCTTGTGCCCTTTGTCATTACGTATCTTTCGTGCTCCCTTAGATACTCAGCCTTGTTATTTATCCATACGACCACATAGTTGTATATATCTGTTATTTCTAGCGTGACTTCCTGTATCTTATGCTCACTGCCTTTGATTATCATTAAAAATCATGATTGCCGTTTTTCGCTGCTCAACTTCAAATTTAACCTGTCTTCCTTCATTGCCACAGATGTCTATCAATCCCTGCAGATCTTCCTTGTTGTCGGCTATTAATACTATGTCATCTGCATACATCAATGCTGGTAATGACTGTTCGAATGTGTTTTCCTTGCTTGGCAAAAGGGAGGCTGAATCCGAGTCGACTCCTCTCTAATTTTGCTTCTAGTCCCTGGAGATACAGCATAAATAAGAAAGGTGACAAGGGACATCCCTGTTGAAGGCCCGCATTGTATCTCTATAGGCTTCAGATACCTGTTCTTCCCATTTGATAACTACCTTGTTACTTTATCGATATCCTCTAGAAGATTAGTTATTCCATGTTCCACATCTAGTGTGTCCTGTATTCCCCACAAGTCTTCTTGAATCGCAGTATCGTAAGCTCCCTTGATATATTGAAATGTCCAGCTACAGGGGCCTATGTTCTTTTTCCGCTATTTTGAAACACTGCATCAATGAAAACAGGGTTGTCCTCCAACCTCCTTCGTTTACGAAACCCATTTTGTAGTTCTCCCAGCACTCCTTCGTTCTCCACCCATGTCTGTTGTCTTTTCTTTACGATCTGCATCACAAGCCTGTAAACTACTGATGTCACAGTTATAGGACAGTAGTTGTTTATGTCAACTTTGTCCCCCTTTTCTTTATAGATCATGCTCATCCTGCTCAGTTTCCATCCATCGGGAGCTTTATCATTCATTATTGCTTTGCCCGCTGCCTCTCAATGTTTGCTTAGAGTTTGGTCCTAGTTTCTTTATTAGCGTGATTGGGACGCCAGTCAGGGCCTGTTGGTGTGCTATTAGAAACTCTTTTCTCTGCCCTTTCCCACTCTCGTTGTCACAGTGGAGCCATTGAGCTAATTAGTAGATCCTCATTTAATACGGTGCATGCAGCGCTTTCTTGGTGTTTAAATTTTTCTATCATCATTGTTTTTATATATTCTACTGCCTCATTCCCTTCCAGTCTGACCCCTTAAACACTGCCTCATTCCCTTCCAGTCTGACCCCTTAAACTGTAGTTATAAACCTCTGTTTTATGCTTGTCTTATTACTCAGAGAATTGAGATGGTTCTAAAACTTTGCAGCTGCCTTTCTATTCTTTTTTGTTTACTTCCGTCATTCATTGGGCCTCTTTCTTCTAATCTTTTCACTGATCAAGTCGGACGCTTTCCTTCTGGAGCTCAAAAAGCTATCCCATATCTTTTGACATCATCTTCCGGTTCACCCTTCTGTTTAGTATACCTGTCTTCCCTGGAGGCTTCCTGACGTCTTACTATGGCTCCCTTAACTTCCTCATCTTACCAGCTCTTGGTTTTGTGTCTGCTTTTCCCGGTTGATTTGACTCGTACCTTAGCAAGCTCTAACTCAAACAATCAAGTTAGATTTGTGTACGTCCACTCTGTTTTAGTATCTTCAGTGATTATTTTCTCAATCTCTTTAGTTGCTATTTCTTTTTGTCTTTCTGAATAAATATTACTGCGTGGTTGCTCGTAATGCCGCCTTTCCAATTTCATTTTTCTTCCAGAACTCAGCTTGATACATTTGTGATCACTACCTAAGCTTCTGGACCCATATTCATTCATGTTCATCACCCTTAGCCGATCATACATCCTATGTGACATTATTGCGTAATCTATCGTCGATTGTAGCCTTCCCACCTCCCATGTTATCTGCCCTTCGCATTTCTCGGTGCTGTTTCAAATGATTAAGTCATGCCTTTCACACATATCCGTTAGCATTCTGCTTGTTGGGTCAGTACATCCATTCTATCTTCTATGTGCGCATTCATATCTCCTAATATAATTACTTTGCACTCTTCTCCTAGTTCGTCAATGTCATTCCTATGCATTGCACCATTTGTTGATTTTCCTCTCTGGCTTTTGCCCCTGTCCACAAGTATACAAAAGCCAGGAGCGTCATCTGCCTTGCCACTTTCCCTTTTAGCCATAAATGTTCCTTGCACTCTTGCTTGACCCTTTGCCAGTCTGTACTTTTATGAATGAATGCCCCAATACCACCCCCCTTTCTGCTGCCTTCTGTTCTATTACAATATTCCCACGCGTAGTCCGGATTGTTAGGAGTCTCGGTCTTTAGCGTCACCTTTAGCGCCACTCTCTGCCTTTAGCGTCACCTGTGGTGGATGGTGCAACAACTCGACATGTTGCATAGCCTCTGAAATAGTCGTGTGTATTTGCAGATCTCGAATAACTTTCAACTGATGCGCCCCTACGGGCCACAAGTAAAAAACACCGTAATAATAGTGTCGGTCGCGAGCGCCACTGCGCGGCGCTTGCCCAAAACTGAAAGCAGGACGACTTCGCTGGCAACACGAGCCATTCATCAGGCATCTTAATAAAAAAGGCATTGACCCTATTTACTATTGGCTTGCATTACGTCACGGCCAGGAACTCTGGGGTACTATTCCATCATCATGGAGGACCACCTGTGACAGTAAACATACAGTGGGGTTTCTGCGATCGCTCTAGCCATGGTGATATGCGCCGTATATGGGTGTTGGAACCACAGCAAAACAGCGAAGAAAGGCGAGTCGGCGGTCACAAATCTCTACCGCCTGCGAAGCGTCGTGCATGATCAGAGCGAGCATACGAAGGTGCTAAGCGTGAAACGGCGCCATCTGTGGCTTATGCGGGTTAGGCACGCGGATCTCAACGCTGACCGTGATGATGTACGAGTGAAGTGATGGAAGTGCTGCTTGAATTGCTCCAAAAGAGAAATGCTGCTCCATGCTACTCAAAAGTGCAATATTTGCTAGTAACTGCTCCCAGCCTGCTCCTGAAAGATGTTGGCAAACTATAAAAAAAAGACATTGAACTATGGGACCATACCGTGAATCTAATTGAAACCAAAAGCAAGCTGAATACACTATCATCCTAGTATGCTATTCAGTGGCGTAAATCCAGAAAAATCTCAAGGAGTTACACATATCAGGCCATGGTGTCCAATCCGTATATTTAATATGGGTTGTATTTTTATTTATGTAGGAATTCAATCATGCTTTCAAATAAAATTTAAAAAAACGAGCGTGGTGTCTGAGCTTGAGCAATTGAATTGCATTGTTCTATTCAGTCTCTTTTTTTTCCCCTTTCTTTTTCGATTTCCATAGTTCACACAGCTGAGGGGCATTTAGCACAGGTATGCATCAAGATAAAAAGCGTTCTAAGAAGTTGATCATGCTATACTTAACTGTTAACTTAATTATATCACAGATTAAAGCTAAATCTCAAGTGGGACACTTGCAAGGGTTGTCCTCCCCTGCCTGAACACCAGAAAAGTCCGTGCTTTCTTGACCCCCCCCCCCCCACCCATGATATACGCCAACCATACTGCTTGTATACTAGCTTCATACTAGGGTACAGCATGTTTAATAATGAATATAAATATTCATTGGATGCGCTTAAGTGATGTTTCCGACTTCAGGAGTCGTTAGGAACATGCATCTGCTCCGAAAACACCAATAGCAACCTTGAGCTATAGCTTTTTTTTTTTTTTTTTGCTCCGAAGACACTTAAAGCTGCTCCAAAGCACCATTCTTCTGCTCCAAAAAGCAAAATGTCACTTTCATTACTGCGAGTGTGTGGTGCCCACTTTGCATCAGGTGAGCTCGAAGCCTTCCAAGTGCGTAGCAGTTGAATGAAGGGTTCGGATTGTCGTGCACCCACAGTCTGGACGTGTGGTCATGCTGGGCTGTGGGAATGCAGGGCTAACAAAGACTAACAATGCTCAGAATGAGTGCATAAAAACTACAAGGTCTAAATTGTTATGAAGGGCAGAAGTCACCCAGAATTTATCGCAGTCACGAAGAAAGCTTATGAAACATCCGGCTGAGACACGTTGCGCGAGAGGGGGCGCCACCGTTTAGGCAAACCCGCGATTGTCAAGAGAGCCTCAATCACAGAAAGAAAGCCACATGGAAAGAAGTACACCTGGTTGGTAGCTTTCTCAGTGGACTCGAACACTTTCATGACCTTCATAGTCACAAAACCTTGGAGCAGACGAGGCAATTCACCATGTTCTGGTGCATCACTTCAGGTGCAGCATTGATTCCCACTGGCGTGATGTTCAGTCGTGACTTTCAGGACGGTATTGCACTTGGAAAGCCGCAACAACTAAAAAACACAGAGTGAATGAAAGTAATAATAGACTGCACAAAGTGAAGCAAAATGAGGCGACAGATGGTCCTCCGGTATGGCCACCGCTTTGACGAAAGGATGTTCATGACGTCACGTGCAAGCCATCAGTTGCCTAGTGTTGGCTACTATTGCAAAATGTTTCCTATTGTTTGTGAACTACTGCCGAATGTCAGCTGCTGTTTTTTGGCCAAGTCATGGCTTGAACTTACTCTACATTTGCTAATGTCAGCCATTGTTGCCATGTCTTGGCCAAATGATGGCTTGTGTTCTCTTCGAACTGGTAAATGTCGTTAAAATGATGCCTAATGCATGCCAGTGTAAGCATACTGTTAACAAACTTCTGGTGGTGGGCCATGTCTTGGCTGAATAATCTTTTATAATGGGTAAATAACGGCAAATGTTGGTGGGTGTTGATTAACGCGGTCACTTGACTGTGACTCGGAACACTGACACGTGCTTTCACATTCACATAAACAACCCCGTTCCGTTTAGCCAGACTTTCTTTTTCCCCCAAATTGTGCCTTTGTTTTCATGCTTCAAAGGTCTCACGGCCACTGTGATCTGTCCTGCGACTCAAAAGCATGTGGACAAGTACCTCTTTAAGCCACAGCATATGATCACCGAGACTCCAAAGCTGTACAAGGAAGTGACAGAGCCGTACATCACCTCACAGCAGCTTTCTTTGCAGGTAGGAGATTATGTTTTTTGTAACTAATGACTATGCTCGAAGACAGCTTTCTGTGGCAATGAAAAGAAGGCTACAGAACCAAAATGTGTGTGTTCCACTGCTGAAAAATATAGTCCTACAAATGCGTCATGTTTTCCACGTAAAAATCATAAAAAACAATATTACTTTATTTGTTACAAGATGCTGATTATAAAGACAGGCTGAAAAAAAAAAAAGAATGGGATATAAATATTTGTTTTGCTTTATTAAGCGTAATTTTGCATTTTGCATGTCTGAAAACGTTGCACGTTTTAGGTGCACCTCATAGCCAAAATTGCGTCTTCGCCTTTAAGTGAGTGCGCATCGCCCTCCTGCGATTTCGACGACTCGCTGTAGGAGCTTGTGTGGAATTTTACTCGCAAATGGCTGTGTGAGCAGACGTAGCAAGTTTTATGCTGTGTTATTATTCAAACTCGGCCGTCATTCGAAAAGCGAGTCTAGCCGGACTATTTCGCAGAGGAGTACCTACATGTGCGATAGCTCCGCCCCCGTTGCTCTTCCTTCAGTATGACAGAAAGTAGTCCACGAGTATAGCAGACTAGCAGACATTTGGCTCTGTTTAAAAAGTGCTGGGTAAACAACGAACTGTTGTAGTTCAATACGATTTTTAGATTAGGAATTAGTGCGTGTTCACTACATTACATAGAAACCTGGTGCATTCACTTTGAGCTAGATTTATAGTGGAGTTGTACACTGTGGTCGACAACTCTGTCACGATAGTGATGCGTATGCACTTACCCATAGATATGTGCACCCTAGTGGACAGGCATGCTACCTTTCTCTGAGAAAAAAAAAAGAAAAACATGAAAAAATAGTGATGATGAGGCTGTGTGTGCTGTTTGCTGGTGAGCAGCCTCTTTAACATCTACTGCCTATAAATATGCTTTCTAGATTTTGCTCTATCAGTTCTTAAGTGTATAACCCCCAAATACGCAGTGCGAACGCCTAAACACTGCTGTTTCCAAATCTCAATAAAAGCCAGGAGAGTGCAGGAGAGGGGACACAACACAGGCGCTCAGTGTTTTAGGGCGAAAAGTCCTAGGTGCCTCATCAAACACGAAAATTGACTATTGGCATTGACACATGATGGGATCTGGGACAACATAAGTGTTGAAAAAAAATGTCACTCTACGACGTCACAGATCAGCAAATTTGTGAAGTCATGGGACGTAACGTGCACATGATGATATCATCGCGTGATATTACAGTTTGATTACAGGCGTGCCAATCCTGGAGGGAGTGCTAAATCAGGTTTGGTGCCTCCGATTCTGGAAGCGGTGCAAGGCCACAGTTAGTGCAGGAAGCTTTTGGAGAGGGGCAACCAGAAACAATACATCGACTGAGAAGGAAAAGAAGGTGGCATTTGCCTTCGAGTTGTCTTAGGGGAATGCATAAGGAACGCTGCGAGTTCTTGTGCCCTTTCTCGTGTCCCCATTTCACTTGCGCTGTGCTAATGTGTCGATATTGAATCACCAGCTAGTCCCAACCTGACATTGTGGCATGTTAAGCAACACCGTCTGCCTTGAATCTCAACCTAGTGACTGAGTCGTCTAAAACTTCTCCTCGCTCGACTAGTGGGTCTACAACATCCTCGAGCACAAGAAAGAGTCTGAGCGCATCCTGTTCGAAGATCCGGACCCGAAAACGGGTTTCATCCTACTGCCGGACATGAAGTGGGACACCAAGCAGCCGGAGAACCTTTATGTGCTCGTCATCTGCCACAAGCATGGCATCAGGTCGCTCAGGGACCTGACGGCCGACCACCTGCCACTGCTGCGCAACATTAACGACAAAGTCAATGTAAGCCATTTTCACATGCTAAAGCATATCTTGGTCAACCCACTGTCAACAGTGACCAGTGCACCCTGGACCACCATGTTTACTTACCCTACCAGCACTGATCAGCACTGGATGATTGGTTAGGAATGTTTGCTACACTGAAGTGTAATAATCAGGACAAAACAAGTGAGACAGGTGGGACGAGTGTTAACTAACATACATAAGGAAACATACATTTTGCATTTTACATAACACACATAACATACATTTTGCAAAATCACTGTTGCTGCTAGACAACGTGCATATGTGCTCGAGACCCAAAAGTAACTATAGCTACTAAGGCTGAAGCTGACATGAAAAACGCTCGTGATAACATGTGGCAAATATATATGTAAAAAGCAATAGAAGTGCGACTAGCTGTGGCAATGTTCCTAAATACGTTCACAGTTTTCAGCACGTATACTGGGCTGTGTCACTTTCTTTATCTTGTATGTTGTGCTTTGATTTTCCACAATGCATCAGCCATTAGCCCAAAGTATCACTCTTCTAAAGCCCCTAAACCACGTCTGATAATTTTTAACATTTCAGGCAAACTCGTGCAAGGTTAACTGCGGTAAATGTAGCAGCGCTACTAGCCGCGAACGCGCTGCAAGTTCCTAGAAACAGTTCGTTCTTCTCGATAGGCCTTCCGGTAATCCTCAGCTATGCCACCTCATCGAAATTGCCATCTGGTCATGTCATCCGTAAAAAGAACCTGCTTTTTTCTCCTCACAGGTACACGTGCTTGCTGCTCTTTCTCCTTGCTGTGCGAGAAGGAGTACTAAGCCGGGAGGAGAGGCAAGGTGATAAATGTAACTTAGTGAAGGAAAGTGTGAAGTAACCTAGGGCCAAATTTGGATCATGAGTGGCATGTAACTTCGCTATTATAGCACCGTTTTGAAAAATTCCCATGACTGCATGTTTCTCAAACTCATGCACAACTGTAACACCACAACTGAATTTTGATCTCTAAGTGGCGTAGGGATCCGTAATGGTGGTTAGTGTCGGTTATATCACTGATAATGTTGGGCAAATATGTCTAAATAGGTTACCGTCAGCCCACTACTGACTTACGTCATCTAGTAGTGCCATTTGTTGACTAAATAATAGTGGTATCCAGTGTCAGCTAATTTAGATCACCTGTTGTGAATGAGACTTTCTTCTTTTTTTATTCATTATCAATCCAGTGGTGTTTGTTGGGACATACATAACTTACAATGCGAGGCGATTTCCCTCAGAATTTTTTTTTCTTTATTTCAAGTCACTGTTTGTCTCTACCTATGAACATCAGCTGCAGGGACTACTCCAGCTGTGCAGAAAATGGAGTTTTGGATTGCACTTTCTCACGTGTGGACCTTTCATCATGAGGTTATCTTAGAAAGCAGAAGCTGTGCTTTTCATGTAATGTACTTAATACACTTACAGTGGTGGCTTGGATGAAAATTTGTAGGACTGTTCACCGTCAACTGGAATCGCTGCAATGCCAAGTTGTGTGATACTTTCACGCTATAAATATGTCAATATATCCCTGCACAGGTTCATTGGTAACCCTCTACTGATGCTCCCAGAATCAGGAAACGTGTGCAATGAAGTTGTACTCTGATTCATACACAAGGGGCAACGCCATGAAGCTACAAAACATTTCAGGAATTTTACCATCAGTAATGAGATTTTTGTTTTTAGACTGAGTAATGATTTAAAATGCTTTTTTCATTAGGAATAAATAAACACAGTTAATTATGCAGGTTGTTTATAGGTTGTTCGGCAGTCGCTTAGCATGTCTTTGTTTTTCTATCGTCGCCTCCGAGATCAGTCCCAGTAGTGTACGTACATCTGCTGATACTTGCGAAAGGCCACGTTTGCGGTGACCAAATTCAAGTGCTAGATGCACGGATGTACACATTTTTTTGATCAAACATATTGCATAGCTACCACGGTGTTGCGAAACTCCATAGAGCGGGAGACGCCATAGAGGTACCCATTTTCTTTCCTCTCACAGGCGGCGTTGCTACTGCAGTTTGGCATTCCTTCACACCGGCTGCGTGGCTACCTGCATTACCAGCCTTCGTACTACCACCTGCACGTGCACTTTTCGGTGCTTGGCTTCGATGCGCCTGGCACGCAGGTTGAGAGGGCGCATCTACTGTCCACAGTCATATCGAACCTTGAAACGTGCCCTGACTACTACCAGAAAGCTACACTGGGCTTCACTGTCAAAGAGGGCGACGGTCTGCATACAAAGTATAAGGAAGCCGGCTACTTCGACTAGACTGGCATCGAGCTTTGATCTGTATTACCTTGTTTTTACGCAACATGTTTGTTTGCTAACAATGTTTGTCGTGCTTGTTTTAATTGGGCGCGTGTATAGCCCTATGAATTGTAGAGGCCTGTCACAGGGATGACTCGTGACCTGGATAGATGACCAGTGGTATAAGTGAGCAATCTAATAATAACATAGAGTATTTTACATCCTAAAATCACAGTGTGATTGTGAAAGACACCATAGTGGAGGGCTGCAGAAATTTCGACCATCTGGAGTTCTTTAATATGCACCGACATTGCACAGCACTATATCAGGACAAAGTTGTGACATAACACTGTGCAATATTTGCTGTGCAATATAGTGCTGCGCCATATATATAGTGCTCATACAAATATATCGCTGACAGAGTCGTCATATATTTTTACTTCGCGTATAGAGTGTACCTACTCCCGAACCCCAAATTTAATAGGCCTCAGAGCTATTAAGTTTGGGATAAGATGGTCTTCTCAGGTTACAGTAAACGGAGATGTACCCTAATCTGATCTCCCTACGCTGTTCATTTGAAGGTGTTCTCCGCGACTTGCCCCACATGTGGGGATCTGATAATGCTAGAACGCATGCTCTGGGAGTGAAAACCGCGATACTACTAGTTCAGCAAGGTAGGAGGTGGCCCTCTGCAGCTCCCTCCTGGCAGGGGGGGTGCTAGGGAATTTGTGGGTAAGCTAAATACCCCCCCCTCCCCAAATTTTCTGCTGCCCCCCTCCCCCCCTCGACCGAGCAAAAAAAGTGCTGGCGCCGCCCCTGCCTTCTGGACTACCAACTCTGGGCCTTCCATCAGGCCCACAGATTGACCAACAGGTTTGGCTCATGGGTCTCGACATGGGTCGCTCGCTGCGTGCTTATGCGCATATTGCCGGACCTCAATAAAGTTCCACGCACCCACCCTCCCACCATCATGATACACAGTACATTGCAAGGCGGGGGGGTGGGGGGGCTATAATCATAGGTCGGCAAACTTGCTCATGAGCCGACTCACTCGGACCCACCCAGAGTCGGATCAAGCCTCGAGTCTGAGTGAGTCCAGGTGAGTAATATTTTCGGGAGTGTGAGAAAATTTTCGGGAGTCGGAGTACGTCTCAGGAAAATTTGGGGTATTCGGAGTCTGAGTAAGTCCAAAGCGTGACATGTACTTCATGAGTGAGTCTGAGTTAGTTCCACCTTCGTTTGCCAACCTAAGATCTTATCTAGACATCTTCAGCGTTACTATCAGCCTTACCTGGACTCACGTTTATACTCACGAGTCGCATCTACTCACAGGTATTCCAAAGCAGTGTCATTCATACACCATTTCAATACTTACTGATCAGTGGTGTGAATTATCTAGGGGGGTGTCATGACCGGCCCGCACCAACACTTCGAGAAAATTTGTTTATAACTACATCTTATGCTATCATCACCTTACTAGTTTTGCAAGCACCCAGAACTAGTTTTTGAAGATACTGTCAAGAGGGCTCGGGAAGGGCACCGATTACATGAGGAATTGGTGCTAAAGAGCATTGACACCATGGTCAAAGCAGCTCATTCTAGGCTAGCGGAGTCATGAGTTGACTTACTTAAACTCAGAGCGAGCTGTGAGTCCGGGTGAGTAATATTTTCGTAAGTGCGAGTCCGGCTGAAGAACATTTTCGTTAGTATGAATCCAAGTAAGTTTGAAAAATTTGGTGAGTCTGAGTCCGTGTGAGCCCAAAGCTCGAAATATATTTCATGAGTGAGTCTAAGTAAGCTCCACAAGTTTTGCCGACGTATGGCTACAATACATGAATATGTCAGCCTATCAGTCTATTGATAGCACCACAAAGAAGTAAAATGAAAGACTAAATAAAAGCGATCAATTAGTTAACAAGGCATTTTAATAACACACCTTACGGGATTATGGATGCTTGTCATAGATGCAAAAAGCTGATTCTATTCTCTAGCAGTTTTGGACAGAAATGGCAATGAATGGGCAATTGTGTTATGCTTGGGAACCTGGACCTTCTGACGATGGTCTAGACGCACTGATAAGAAAGGTATGGCATGTAGCAAGAGTGAAGACAGGTATATGCAATTAAAATCGTATTATAAAGACATAGAGGAGAATGTTTCCTGCGAACAGCTCGTAAGGGAAGTTGTAAAGATGCTTTAATTTATGGACGATACACTGTATATTCCATGATATTTACACAAGATAAATTATGTAGCATGGTTTCGTATTGCCTCAATGTTCTGCATTAGTGTAATAGGGTGAGTGTCCCACCGTATCATATTAACTCGTTGATTGGCCCAGCTCTCAACATTGGGGCTGCACATTTCAGCTTTGCTGGCTAACTATCCACACAGACAATGACTGGTCGGTGATTTTTTTTCTGGCTATGTACGCAGTCTGACGTCTGTGAGCCTAGCTTTCTCTCTCACTTCCTTCTTTCGTTCCTTTCTTTCTTTTCGACGTCTCTATGATAGTTGCCTACGTGTTCTAAATGTCTCCAAGTCGTTTAGTTTTTTCTTCGTGCCGAAACACCTACTGTGCATAGGCTGCCTTACAAGTAACTGGCCTCTATGTCTAGGTTCTTATCTGTTTATGTTTCGTCCTGGCCCCGCCACGGTGGTCTAGTGGCTAAGGTACTCGGCTGCTGACCCGCAGGTCGCGGGATCAAATCCCGGCTGTGGCGGCTGCATTTCCGATGGAGGCGGAAATGTTGTAGGCCCGTGTACTCAGATTTGGGTGCACGTTAAAGAACCCCAGGTGGTCGAAATTTCCGGAGCCCTCCACTACGGCGTCTCTCATAATCATATAGTGGTTTTGGGACGTTAAACCCCACAAATCAATCAATCATGTTTCGTCCTGCCTCGTTCCTCGCATTCATAGATAACGCCGAGGATATGGAGCGATAATCATACGAGAAGTTCGTTATTGAACTTTCGACCGTGTAATATGCAAAAGGTCATCATTAAATGTGAGGCCTTTCTTTGCCTACTGCAGGCATTTTTAGCATCTATCTATCTATCTAGCCACCTACGTCTGAGTGCTCTCATGATCACCCCATAACTTGGGGTTCACCAAAATTTGTACGGGAGGGTAAAATGGTGTGACGAATGTGACGCGCTGGTCATGACATGAATAATGTCAGCATCTCGTCACCAAACACTTTCCGAAAAACATACCCCGGGGCCGGGTATGTGTCACTGGTAATTGACATTTTATATATACCCAGTAAAGGCAAGAGCAGGCTTGGGTAATTTTAACGCTTGAGCGTTAAGAAACAGCTGACATAGGCAGCGTTGACCGAACGAATGCAAAGAATAAATGCATTCGCAGGAATTGGGGCCATCTGGACGTGGCGCCATCTCTCAGCAACAGGAACGGCGCCCTGCCATAACTGAGTGGGGCATAGGCGAGAAAAATCATATCCATTGAAAAAGTTGGTTATCAAAAACGACTCCGGTATATATCTAGCAGAGACCCACTGGTACGTCTTGATTGATTGATATGTGGGGTTTAACGTCCCAAAACCACTATATGATTATGAGAGACGCCGTAGTGGAGGGCTCCGGAAATTTAGACCACCTGGGGTTCTTTAACGTGCACCCAAATCTGAGCACACGGGCCTACAACATTTCCGCCTCCATCGGAAATGCAGCCGGGATTCGAACCCCCGCCCTGCGGGTCAGCAGCCGAGTACCTTAGGCACTAGACCACCGCGGCGGGGCCACTGGTACGTCTTGGCCATAGAGTTAATATAATGACAGTTATTATACTGAACAGAGAAAATGGTGGGCGTAATTGCAGCATGCGGTGGTGACTGCGAGTGAACACGAAAGCCGAGTATCGTTCCATCATGGCGGCACCCGAGTGGTTATAAGTTCTAATGCATGTGCCCTATGGGGAGCATTTCCTTTAGAGTATGTATGTATTATTACCTCTGCAGTTTTGGCAAAATTGCAGTATCGCGCTACAAAGTGAGTGGCTTACAAGGACAAATGAATATCTCCCATAGAAACACATGGGATCAGGCCGCTGTGGTAGCTCAGTGGTTAGAGCATCGAACACGTTATTCGAATAACACATGGGATCCCATTGCTAAATAATAAACGCTGCGGGGGGAAGCGAGGGGGTTTGTAGTGCGGCGTAGTTACTTATGGAACTCCCTGCCCCCCTGAAGGCACTGCGCCGTGCTCCAGACCGGGTTGCAGAAATTAGGTGCCTTTTTCTCATCTTCTAACCACCACCACCACCCCTGAAGAAACACACCGCGGGCGCCACCACCCCACCCCCAGCAAAAATGTCTTGGCGCCGCCCCATCCTCCTGCGCAGCCAACTGTGGGCAGCAAGTAAACCTCTGCTGTTTAAAACGGGGTTTCATTTTCGATAACTAGCTTTTTTGATCAGATACGATTTTTTTTTTCGCCTATATTCCGTTCAGTTCTTGCAGACCACCGCTTTGGTCGACGAGAGATGGCGCTATATGTACATGTCTTTAAAACCTGGCCAAGTGACTCTGCAGGAATCGAACTCTAGCATTCTGCGTGGTAATCAAGTATTCTACCACAGAGCCATGCCAGGTCTCAGAAGTGCTTTTCCAATAGACCTTAATGTTCGTAAAACGTCAATTCTGGTTGCAGTGCTGGCTATCAAATTCTATGAGCATCACACATCTACTCCTATGATAGAGCGGCCACGTCGGGTTAACGTCAATTGTCGTTAGACGCCATACTCTGAGGTTGATTTGCGTAGCAGTGTTGAGGGCTACATCCTCACGAGCACCAGCGCTTCATACCAGCTTACTGCTTCTGGTGTTGCTAGTACCCATGTTGCTGTTGGCATCGTTGCGCAACTGCTAATATAAAACATATGCGGCTGTTTAACGTATTTATTTATTTATTAGAATACCCTCAGGGCCCGTAGGGCATTACAGAGGGGGTGGGTACAACATATATAACACACAAGAAAAAAGACAAAATAAAGAAACAAGTATCAGATGCGCAAATCAGGAAGGCAACATAAGTCAACTAAAAATGTATAAGAAT